TAAAAGCACAGTTACGCCTGCCCACCTTTCGTTTTGTGTGTCCCAACCCCTCAGCAGGGATCTTCACCTTCCTTCTGTTAACCACGACTTCCTTAGAAAGAGTGGCCAAAGGAGCCGTGGTCTTTTGCTGCCACCCGGGGCCTGAGGTTAGTACAGAACTGTAGACAAGCTCCACTGACATGAATGGGAAGCCACCTTGTGCAAGGAACGTGGGAACGCCTGCCCTGTAATCATAGAATCACAGAGTAGCAGAGTGGGAGGGGGCCATTGGGGCCACCCCCTGCTGTTGCAGGACTCCAAGTCACCCCGCCCCACTCAGAGGGCTGCCCACTTTTTAAATGTCTCCAGTGAGGGAGACCCCCCCACCTCTCAGGCAGCTGGTCCCCCTGTCACATTGCTCTAACAGTGAGGAAGCTTCTCCTGATGCCCAGCCTGAACCTGGCCTGTCGCAGCTTGACTTGATTGCTCCGCATCCTGCACTCCGGCAGCAGCGAGAAGAGATCTTGGCCTTCCTCTTTGTGACCTTCCTCTTTGAGGTCCTTCTAGCGGGATCTCCTCTTCTCAGTCTTCTCTTCTCGGGGCTGAACATACCCAGTTCCCTCAGTCTCTCCTCACAGGGCAGAGTTTCCAAACCCTGGATTGTTTTTGTTGCCCTCTGCTGGACCCTTTCTAATTTGCCTGCATCTTCCTTAAATCTTGGTGCCCAGAACTGGACACAGGACTCCAGGTGAGGTCTGCCTAGCCGAGCTGGACCCGCTGGTGCATCTGCAAGCCCCACCCCAACCGGCAGCGCTTCCCCAAGGTCTCCAGCAGACACAGCTGGCCATGCCGGCCAGGGTGGCAGGAGCTGCTCCTCCACATATCCGGGGGCACCCGGTTGGGGAAGAGGCCTCAGGCATTTTTCCCTGGGACTGCCAACAAGCTTTGGTTAAAGGCCGTCCTCAGAGGAAGGCTCTGGAGGAAACGGAGCTGTGCTGGGATAGGCTGGGAGGTCCTCATGGCTCAGCGACTAGTTAAACCGCCAGAAGCAGAGCTCAGTGGCAGAATAACTGGCAGGGTGCATGAGGGAGAAACATCAAAGGGTCTTTGGTACTGGGGCTGATCCTGTCGAACTGATTCGTAAATGGGGACTGCTGTGCTGGCCCAGATTGTGCCGGGTGCTGAGCACCCAAGCTGGCTCCAAAGAGCACCGCAGCCTCTCCCGCCTGGGGGATGGGAGCACGGTAGCAAACGAAGGGGCAAAAGCGATCCTGGTGTCACGTTGACGCTGCTGGAACCTGAACTGGTCCTGTCGAGCTGGGGATGGCTCCTGGGGTGTGGGGGACAGCTCACGGACACCCTCGACCCCCTGTGAGGCCGCTGTGAAGAAATTGCCTCTAGGAAAGGCTCTGGAAAACAAAGCTTCCCGTATTGTAATCTCTGGCGGGAAATCTACAGAGATCAGACCCAGGAAACCCGTCCTGCCTGCTGGATCTCATAAAGGAGGGAACTGGGGCAGGTGAGGGACACAGTGAGCCAAGTGCCCAAGAGGCGGAGCTGCTCTGCTTTGGGGAACAGATGCCATTTGAGGGCTTTTGCTTTAGATGGATGGATGGGCTAAGGCTTATAGCATCGTGGAGGAAGTGGATAGAAGCGCGCTCCCTCCCTCCCTCCCTCCCTCTTGCTCTCCCCCTCCCCACTTTAGTGTATTTGAACTCAGAGTCATCCAATCACATCGACGGGATGTGGATTTAGGCAGGCAAACTAAGCCCCCTTCGCAGAACACAAGCTTCATTTATGGAATTTGCTGCTGTGAGCTAGTGAAGGGGACTGGCTAAGCTGGCTTTCCGGGGGTGGGGGTGAAATGTATTCATGGAGGAGGAGGAGGAGGAGGAGGAGGAGGAGGCCGTGGCATCAGTCAGTGGCTTTGAGGCATGCCTGGGTCTCCTCTCAGCTTCCTGGGGATGGCTGTAAAGCGTTCTCCAGCCACAACTGGGAGGGCTGCCCCTCGGGTCCCACGAGCTCCCTTTTCCCGCCCTCACGCAGGGCTGCTCCACAGCCAGCCATGAGAGCTCCCGCTCCCTTGGGGTGGGAATGGGGCTATCCAGGACAGGGAGACCCCTTGGAGCAGGGGGCCGGGCACAGTCCCTGATGCTCCAACGGTCCAAGCCCACTCCCTGGCCCTGCCTCCTTCCAGAGCAACGCGGGGGCAGGGCACATCGTAAGACATAAATAAGCGGTGCTCCCCTTCTAAGAGGAATTTTCCTAAGCAAACATTATTGTTCCGGTCAGTCCAGAAAGTTATTGTTGGCTATGTATTGTGAATTTCAACAGAACAAAGCTACCAAAGAAAAAAGACATAATTGTCTTAGAGAAATGTGAATACTTCACTTGCAATGATGCAGGTGGGACAGGTGCCGATGCCTCTTTGTGCAGGTGAAAATTCAGCAGCCAGTAAGAGCAGCTGAGCAGAAGCTTCGGGAAAGGCAGCCCACGCATGCATCTATTCCTCATCCCCAGGCGGCCTCTAAAGATTATCGCTGTCAACTGCCTAGAGAGCTTTGGCTATGGGCAATATAAAAATGTAATAATAATAATAATAATAATAATAATAATAATAATAATAATAATAATAAAGACCACTGATTCAAACACTGAAAGCTTTCTTGGGTCCTCAGACCATCATGTTCATCCTTCCAGAGTCTCAATACAGTCTTTTAGCTGCCAAAAGGGCACTGGAAAGTCATTTGGATTGACTTGCATTAGCTTCCAGGCAGCAGGTAAATAATTTGAGAGAATATGCATTCCAAAGCATGTTTAAAGAGCACTCCCATGCAAAGTTTCTCCCTATTATGACCTCCTCCCCAGCAGAGGCATATACTGGGTGTTGCAGAAGCATATGGGAAGCAAGGTGACACCTTCAGAAGATGTAATTTACCCAATATTCTTTGACTGCTGTTGCTGAGACCTGCTCCTGTGCAGCTGAAGTCAAGACGGGAGGCCCTGGCATGGTCCCGCCCTCCAAAACAGGTGGCGGCCTTGACGGCTGCATGCAATTTCACCAGTGCTTCCTCGTTGTCTTTGAGGGACTCGCGGAGAGCCTGGAAAACGAACATCACGCAGTGCAGAAGGAGACAGTGTCCTTGTGTGTTCACAGGGAAAGAAGCAAGCAAAGGGAAGCTGGGATGGGGCGGGAGAGAAAGGCTGCTCAAGGAAGAGGTAGAGGTGCTGCCCGTGTGCCTGCAGCATCGCCGTTTTAATGCAAATGGCATACGTATGTTGAGTATTGTTATTTTATGCCTATTGTCATTGGATTGGCCTTCTCCTTCCTCCTTCCTTCCACAGGCCAGTCACCGCTCCTGCCTTTTTTATCCTCTGCCCAGGAGACAGCTGGAAAGGCCCCATCTGTGCTGGTGGCAGATCGCCGTGCGCCCCATTGCAAAGGCCCCGTGGCTGCTCCCCCTTTTCCTGCTGCTCAACCTCTAGGCAGATTCCAGAGCGGCAAGCCAGAGGAGGGGAAACGAGGGAGGCTGCGGACCCCTTGCCAGTGGGATGCCGCGTTCACTGCAGTTTGTCTTTGGAGCTTTCTAGAAATCGCCCATGCTGCTCCACTGGGGAACCTATTTCGGGGGCGCTGTTCAGCAGCATGGAAAGCTTCCGTAGAGCTCAGAATGGAAGCTGGCGTGGATAAGCAGCCCCTGACCCAGGAGCAGCCACAAGAATAAAAACCATGCAGCGAGGAAGGGTTCCCACCACAGATATATTCAGAGGAGCCAGAAACACCATGGGGGCCCACGGAGGCAGGCAGCTCCGTAGTGGTGGAGCCCCTGGAAGCCCCTCTCCGGGTGGACCCCATGCAAAGGAGGCAGCTCTCCTCCAACAGACGTGGCCCTGTTGATGCTGCCAGTGCCACCACTAAGAGGCAAGTGGTGTGTTGCAAACAGGCCGAACCTCCCTCCGATGCCTCAGCAGCCTGTCTCCTCGAGACATGTCTCGTTCCCTTGCCCTGGGAGAGTTTCTACCAGCCCAGGCGAAAGCCTTTCTCACTGTTTCCGGGACTGAAGGCCAAAAGGCCCAGGGGCCCCGAGCAGCTGCTCTTGCCCCTCCCCTCCCAGTGGCATCACTCCTTGTTTTTACACACCACAGAGAACTCTTCTCGCTGTGCTGGCACGTCATAGAAAATGCTGGCTGAGCTGAGCATGCATGCAAAGGCGAGTAAGAAGATGCGCTCGGCTGCTAATCTTGCGGACTCCGCTCTGCTCTCAACTCCAAGGTCCCCTTGCACCTTCGTGGTCCACAGGGAGAGAGGCCATCCGGAGGAATCTAGGCACGGGTCCCTGGATTTCCCTGCCACATTACGGACCCACCCAGAGCAAAGAGGCCTTGAAGGTGGTCCAGCCAGCCGACACGCTGCAGGCGACCGCGGCAGGGCTGGGCGCTACTCGGGTGATGAGCAGAGCCCCCCAACTGGGGGCGGAGGGCAGTTTTGCTTTCCCTGGCAAATGCACATTCAGGCAGGTTTTCAGAAGGAAATCCTTCCTGTAGGACCCCAAAATACACAATGCTAGCCAATGGCAGAGCTTAATAGAGCAGCACCCCGAAACTGCCCGGTGAGAGTCAGGGGCAGGGAGGACTCCCTGCCGGCTGTCCACTGTTGGAACTGTAGGCCCTACACGCGAGGAGTCTGTGGAAAGGGGGCCTGCTTGCCACTCCACCACCACAATTAATAGATCCTCTTGGGGCCCACAGTTAGCCATCTGCCCACCAGCCCTGTGCTGGCCACCCAGCCTGGCGTGGCCCTGGCAATTGTCCCAAAGGAGGAGAGCAGGAGCCAGCCAAAGGCCTCCAGGTGATGTACAGCTAGAGCCAAAACAGCCTTTCCAAGCCCTGCGGGGGAGGGCGAATGAAGAGACCACCCCCCCATTTGAAAGACTCCTGCCAGTATGAGCAAAGAGGGCCACAAGCACCTGCTTACTCTCCATGTTAACCTTTGCTCCTTCCTGTTCTCAGCACCGGACCTGATGGAGCCCACGGAGAGCGGCAACTGGTCGCAGCAGACACCTGAGTTCGTCTTCCTGGGCTTCTCGGGTGCCCCTCACGGCCACATCCCCCTTTTCCTGGTCTTCCTGGCCATCTACCTCACCACCGTCATCGGGAACGCCACAATATTCGCCCTGATCCAGCTGGACGCGCGCCTGCACAGCCCCATGTACTTCTTCCTCAGCCACTTATCCTGCCTGGACGTCTGCTGCTCGTCCGTCACCGTCCCCAAGATCCTGGCGAACCTCCTGCGCCAGCAGCCCACCATCTCCTACGCCCAGTGCATGGCCCAGGCGTTCTTCCTGATGGCGTGTGCGGGCTCCGAGTGCGCGCTGCTGGCCGCCATGGCCTACGACCGCTACCTGGCAATTTGCCGGCCACTGCACTATGGCAGCCTGATGGGCAGGAGGGTGCGCGTCCCCCTGGCCGCCGCCTCGTGGCTCTGGGGCCTGCTGGACTCGGCCCTCCACACCGCCCTGGCCACCAACCTGGCCTTCTGCAGGTCCCCCCGGATCGACCACGTCTTCTGTGACGTGCCCCCACTCCTGAAGACCGCCTGCAGCGACACCCGCGTCAACGAGGTGGCCCTCCACGCCGCCAGCGTCTTCGTGGGCCTGTGCCCCTTCTTGCTCGTCCTCCTTTCCTACGCCTACATCCTGACGGCCATCCTGCGGATCCGCTCCAGCACCGGCAGGCACAAGGCCTTCTCCACATGTGCCGCCCACCTGACCGTGGTCACGGTTTACTTCGGGATGGCCAACGTCAACTACAACCGGCCCAGCGCCGGCTACTCCCTGGAGGTGGACACGCTGGTCTCCACCCTCTACTGCATCGTCACCCCCATGCTGAACCCGCTCATCTACAGCCTCCGCAACGAGGAGGTGAAGGCAGCCCTGCGGAAGGCCCTGCGCGGCCTGAAGAAAGGCCGCTCCTCTGCCTGACGGAAGGGTTGGGGCAACGCTGGCCAGGCGTCTTCTCTGCCCAGGAGTCCCATGCTTGCCCTTTGTAAATGGCAGGACGCCGACAGGACCGCGTTTGCAGGTGCTCTTGGGAAAGTCCACAGAGAGGCAAGCTTCCCAGAGTTCTTCTTACAGCACGTCCCTTTTCAGAAAGACGGCCAGAGAGCTGCAGAGACTCATGGAGGCCGGCCAGGACCACCCCCCGCAAGCTCTTGCTTGGCTTGTCGGTTTAGGTTGAAGAGCTGTCGATGAATGAATGCTCTGTGAATTTGCTGGGCGGCAGCGAACTGCGCTGACTAGTTTTCCTGCCTGCCAGTACTCACACCTGAGCCCGGCTGCAGGTCCCGTGCCACCCTGATGCTCCCTAATCACTGATATTTCCCGCCCCGTTATGTCACGTTCCCCCTGTAGCTTCCGCTCATTGTTTTGTTTTGTTCAGGAATACATTATCTGTTGGTGTGTGCGCATGATTTGGGTCCTGCTTACCTGAAGGAGCGCTTACGTCCATATATGCCCGCTCGCCCCCTGAGTTCTGCGGGAGAGCCCTTCTCCGGGAGCCCTCCGTGAAGGAAATTAGGAGGGTGGGTACTCGGAGGAGGGCTTTCTCTGCGGTGGCGCCCAATCTATGGAATGCACTCCCCAGAGAGGTCCGCCTGGCGCCGTCGTTATTTGTTTTTCGGCGCCAGGCGAAGACCTTTTTATTCAAATGTCATTTTAACTGTTAATACTATTTATTTATTTTATTCTTCAGCCAGGGCGACTTATTTTATTTTATATTGTTAACTAGTTTATATTTGATTGTATTATATTTTAATTGATATCTTTGTGAGCCGCCCCGAGGCTTCGGCGAATGGGGCGGCATAGAAATTTTCTAAATAAATAAATAAATAAATTGCCCATCCTCAGCCCCAATTCCGGTGTACGGGTAGGTGACTTTATACCTATAAAACACTCTGTACATGTTCTGGGACTTGCAGCTGGTTTGTGCACCTCCACTCAGCCGCGCCGCTGCAGGTCGGTCCTCGGCCGAGGGTTGACCTGGGCCGTTCTCCCCAGTGAACCCGCAGAGGCTTGGGGCGAGGCCGCCGCCGTGTGGGTTCTCGCGGCTGCTGAGGTGCCCTGGCACTACATGCAGCTGCCCATTCGGCTAAAGAATTGGAACGATACAAAAGCCAGTAGAACGGCGTGTGGTCCAGACTGGTGGCTGCCCAGTCCCACCAGAGGCCTTAGGAGCCCCGGCTCCCAACCGGCACCAGAGGGAGCGGCAGAGTGGTGTGTGGGACTCCTGGATGGCGGGGACCTGCAGGCGCTCTTCAGGAGTGGGGGAAGGCCCCAGGAGACGGGGTCGATCCGGGGGCCCCGCAGAAGGCCAGGTTGGTGGCCAGGGCGGTGTGGAGGGCCGGCTGAGCCCCCAAGGCTGCCAGGCGCCTGAGGACCACTCCGTCTCTGGGAGAGGGGGGCTGTCGAATGCGGGGTCGGAGGGGGGCCCTTTGACCCTGCCCTGAGACAGCAGGGTACGTGCATGGGCCGACTGCGGGCTGCCAGGGGTCCAAGCCAGCCGGTCTCAACCTTTCCACAGCTGGGGATGACGAACGCAGGAAAACCACCTCGGGGACCTCTGAGGCAGAAACAAAAAGCACCATACACCTAATACACTATTCTGTGCATTAGTTTCCAAAGAAAGAAAAAGAAAGAAAGAAAACCAAAATAAAATTCTCCAAAACAGCCAGCAACCAAGCAACAAAAAGTGCCATTAAAAGAGCAAAATACGGAACTCGGCACAGTGTGGCTCCCAGCCGGCTCCCACTGAGCTGTGTCTCCCCTCCCTGGCCCCCAGCGCTCCCCCCAGGAAGAGGTGGTGGAGCGGCGCCAGCCCCCCGCTGGCTGCGGCAAGTGGGACGCAGCCCCCACAGACCACAGGAAATCCCCCGAGGGCTGGGGCCAGTCCGTGGGCCGGTGGTCGAGAACTGCTGCTCCAAGCAGCGCTAGCCCACCCCGCCCAGGCCGGAGTGAAGGAGTGTGCAGCTCGTGGGGGGCAGAAGCAGCCCCCCCCCCCTTTGCAGGGAGCTGCCACTTCGATTTAAGGCCCTAGTAAAACTGCCCGACTGCAACAGAGGGCAGATTCGAAGCTTTCTTCCATTTCCCCCTGGGGGAAAGGGCAAAGGGGGGGGGCAAGAATGGGCCAGGCGAGCCGCCCCAGGGGGAGCATTCGATGCCTGGGAGGGGCAGTGGGGGGAGCCCCGAAAATCCCCCTCCCTGTGCAGGCCCTGTGAACAGGGCTCGGGGGCAGCCAGAAATCGGGGCAGAGAGACAGGGCGAGAGCCAGGTGTCCCAGCCGGGCCCGTCGAGGGCTCCTGCTCGGCACCCACGGACGTCCAAAGCAGCGTTCAGTGGACACGTTACCGCGAGCGGGAGTCTGCGGGAGCTGCAAGCAGGGAGGCGCGTTCCCATGACCGAGGTTCCGCAGGGCAGCTTCAAGGGCATGTGGATGGCTGGGCAGCCTGAGGCACACGCAGCGGCTGCGGGATCACAAACAGCTGGGCCTGGTGCAAATCGCTGGGAACAAACTGAGCAGAGACACTCGTGCAGAGATGCAAAGACGCAAAGCCAAGTCCGCGGGCAGATCTGAATGCCCCCACAAATCGCTTTGCAGAGGCCCCCCCCCCCCGCCCGGCCACTCATCAGGTGCCTGCTCAGCTGAGACCTTTTCTGCTCGGGCACCCGGCCCGCTTGACGTGCCGCATTTTCTTGCTCCAGCCGGTTTGCCCGCTGGTTCCCTGACCGAGTCCTTGCATAGAAGCTGCAGGGGGCGCGCATTGTTTAAAGGGCTCCCTTTGCAGCTGTTTGGTGCTTTGTGCCCCCTTTGCACTAAAAAGGGATAGATAATATTTCAGATGGGCTGAGTTGTATGATATCCAAATATCCCACTTTATGTATTGTTATTATTGTCACTTTTGTATTGCAGTAGCTGAAGCTGTCTGGGAGGTTTACAACAAAGTATTAAAACAATACAAGATGATAGATAAAAAAATTTAAAAAAACTTTTATATGAATTAAACATTAATTTAAAATGACATAAAAGAAGAAGAAAAGATGATTGAAAAGACCTTCCCAGGAGTTTAAAAAAAGGCACTTGGCAGGCGCCTGAATGGCGGGGGGTCTTTTAAGTCCTCCACAACCTGGTGCCAAAAAGATGGCAAATTTGGCACCAGAGAGGCCACGACAGGGAGGTTGGGTTGTGTCAGGGCCATCCCTGAAAAGGCCCTCCCTTAGTCGCCACCCTCCGAACCTCTAGAGGGGTCGGCCCCCAGGGGAAGGTCCCGGAGGCTGAGTGCCGCGTCCAGGAAGATCTGGCTTGGGAGAGGCACCTCAGCATTTGAATTGCCCGGCAGCAAGCCACCCTCCGTCCAGAGGGGAGGCCACCCCCCGTCCAGAGGGGAGGCCACCCTCCATTCAGCCCCAGGCGGGGTTGCTCAGGACACTGTAAAGGGAAATGCCCAGGATGTTGGTGCTGTTGACCTGGCTGAAAACAGCGACCAGTCCTGAGGCCGGACCATGCAGGTGCCCTGGCAGCAGAATGCCCGCCCCGGGACCTGCTCTGAGACCTTTGGCGCTCCGTGGTGGAGGCCCTCTGCCTTTCCCAGGGCGCTTGGCTGCGCTGGAGTCCGGCAGAGCGATCCGCCATTGAGTTTACGGCTGCCCTCCCTTGTGGCATCGGTGCTTTCAGCTGTTTTAGGGTCCACCTGCTTCGTGTAAGGACAGTTTCGTCGCTGAAGCAGTTTCTACCACCGCCACGCGCTCCGCACGGGGCTGCCTCCGAAGACGGCGCGGAGGCTGCAGCCTGGGGGAAACGGGGCAGCCCGACTGAAAGCTGGGCCCAGAAGCTCTTGGCCCAGCAGGCCACCTCTCCGTCCCTGGCAGAGCCCGGCCAGTCAGTGGGCTGCCCGAGCTTTTCTGTGCCAGGTGAAAAATCCGCCTTACTCTGCTAGAGCTCCGGCTGAGAGACACCATCCAGGGGCGCGATGTCATCAGCCTGCCAGGCAGCCGGTGTGGGAGGCCTCTCCCCCCCCCCCCCCGAGACACGGCTCCCTGCTGCACGGCCCGGCCCCTCCGGCTCCCGGTGGGCCCAGTCCCCCAGGCCCAATCACCCGGCACTGGAAGGGGAGCGTCACGGCCAGCACAGACAAAAGGCGCTTACTGCCGGGCTGGGATCCTCCACGTCCATGCCGGGCAGCGCCTTTGGGGCTGGGGGAGCGGCCCGGGCAGAGGACAAGCCCAGCCTGCGTGCTGACCCCGGCTCGGACACTCTGCTTTTCCGGGGGGGCCGGCTGCCAGGCCCCCATTCCTGAGCTGCAGCAGCATCACTGGCCGGGCTAGGGAGAGCAGGTGGGTCGCTTGTGCCACCGTCCAAAGGGCCAGAGCCTCCCTTTGCTCTCCTAGGGGGAGGACACCGAGTGGAGGGGGACACGTGGTCGGCCTCGCAGGGAGCAGGAGAGGCCGTGTCACTGGGCGCCACATGCTCGGGGGGGGGGTGGGCTCCTGCCCGGGGGCCCAGTGGGGGCCCAGGACGCTGGCTGGTGGGAGGTCCAGGCGGCTTCTCCCACCGTGTGCCATGGAATCCCTCCCCCTGAGATGCGGAGGACTGGAAGGGGACGGAGGACGTTCGCGGGCGGGAAGGCGCTCCGTGCTCCCAGCTGAGGTGGCCACAGACTGCCGCGAGCGTGCGCCTCTGTTCCGCGTTGCCGGGGAACATGGGCGAGAGGGTGCAGCTGCCTGGCCATGGAGGAAGAGCAGCCAGGCTGGGAGGACTCCCGTGGCAAGCGGCAGAGCTGGGGGGGGGGATGGGGGGCAAAGCAGTCCCCAAACCATGGTCACTGGTCCAGACCTGGGGAACCCCTGATTCCAGTAATGTGGAGAACCACACCTGTTAAAGCAGGCAATCTTTGGGAGCAGTGCCCCCCAGAAGGAGGCTTACTCGAAAGGTTTGGGGTTTAACATGCATGGACAGAGAGCACAGCTCTGGTTTTGCATTCACACAAACACAGACACGTGCAGCAGAAAGGAAAAGAAAGCTTATTCAGAAGAACAGAGCGGGCGCCAGTTCTGCATTTTTAAGGACTTCCTGACTTGCAGAGGCGGGAGGGGAGAGCAGTCCCTCCCCTGCCCTGCAAGGCAGTTTCTCAACAGCCACGGGGACAGGAAGAGGACAAGGGGTCCACAGGACGGGGGCAGACCTGTGCTCAGAGCTTGCCTCCCTCTTCTTCCTGGGGCATTCAGAGCACGTCTTCTTTGTTTCTTAAATTTATATCCCCTTTTTCTGTAACAATCTCAAAGTGACTCACATCATAGAATCATAGAATCAGAATAGCCAAGTGGGAAGGGGCCATGAAGGGCATTGAGTCCACCCCTGCCCTTGCAGGACACCCCGTCACACCACCCCACTCAGGGGGCTGCCTGGTTTCTCCTTGAGTGCCTCCAGTGGGGGAGAGCCCCCTCCTCTCCGGGCAGCTGGTTCCACGGTTGTATTGCTCTGACGGTGAGGAAGCTTTTCCTGATGTCCAGCCTGATTCTGGGTTGTTGCAACTTGAATTGCTTATTCCACGTCCTGCACTCTGGCAGCAGCAAGAAGAGATCTTGACCTTCCTCTTTGGGACAGCCTTTGCGGTACCTATAGAGGGATACCATCTCCTCCCTCAGTCGTCTCTTCCCAAGGCTGAACATGCCCAGGTCCCTTAGCCTTTCCTCACAGGGCAGTGTTTCCAAACTCTGGATTATCTTTGTTCCCCTTCTCTGAACCCTTTCTAGTTTTTCTGCATCTTTCTTAAATCTTGGTGCCAGCATCGTATTGTTGGCTCATGTTTAGCCTGTTGTCCACAATTGCTCCAAGATCTTTTTCTTTTTCAGTTCTGTTGAGCCACGTGTTCCCCATCTTGTATCGATGCATCTTTTTCCTACGTGGGGGACTTGGAACTTTTTCTAATTGAAGCTCATTCTGTTGCTCTCAGCCCAGTGTTCAAGTTCATCAAGATCACCCTGGCTCTTCATTCTGTCTTCCAGGGTGTCTGCGATTCCGGCCAGTGTTTGTATTGTCTGCAAATGTGATTATCTCTTCTTGCACTTCTTCTTTCAGAATCATAGAATAGCAGAGTGGGAAGGGGCCATGAAGGCCATCATGTCCAACCTCCTGCTGTTGCAGGACACCAAGTTACTCCCTCCCAGTTAGCTGGCTGTCCAGTTTCACCTTGAATGCCTCCAGTGTGGGAGAGCCCCCTCCTCTCCGGGCAGCTGGTTCCACTGCTGCATTGCTCTGACGGTGAGGAAGCTCTTCCTGATGTCCAGCCTGAATCCAGCTTGTTGCAACTTGAACAGATTGTTCTGTGTCCTGCACTCTGGGATCAGCAAGGAGAGATCTTGACCTTCCTTTTTGTGACAGCCTTTGAGATACTTCTAGGGGGATATCCTGTCCCCCCTCAGTCGTCTCTTCCCAAGGCTGAACATGCCCAGTTCTCTCAGCCTCTCCTCACAGGGCAGCGTTTCCAACCCCTGGGTCATTTTTGTTGCCCTCCGCTGGACCCTTTCTAATTTACCTGCCTCTTTCTTAAATCTTGGTGCCCAGACCTGGACACAGTATTCCAGGTGAGGCCTGGCTAGTGAGGAGTGCAGGGGAACCACTACTTCTCGTGATTCAGACGTAATCCTTCTGCTAATGCATCCCAAAATAGCATTGGCCCCTTCAGTGGCTGCATTGTATTGTTGGCTCATATTTAGCCTATTGTCCACAATTACTCCGAGATCTTTTTCTTCTTCAGTTCTGTTGAGCCACGTGTTCCCCATCTTGTATCGATGCCTTTGGTTTCTCTTTCCCAGATGGAGGACTTGGCACTTGTCCCTGTTGAATCTCATTCTCTGGACCTCAGCCCAGCGTTCAAGTTTATCAAGACCGCCCTGGATCTTCTTTCTTCTTCCAGGGAGTTTGCGATTCCACCCAGTTCTGTATCATCTGTAAATCTGATTATCATTCCTTGTACTTCGTCATCTAAATCGTTAATAAAGATGCTGAAGAGCACTGGGACCAGGAATGAACCATGTGGTGCCCCACTAGTTACTCCCATCCAATTTTGGGAAGGTGCCGTTGACGAGCAGCCAATTTTGGATCCACCTAATAGTTTTTCCATCTAGTCCAGTGTTTGCTGATTTGCTTATCAGAATGTTGTGCGGCGCTATGTCGAAAGCTTTGCTAAAGTCTAGGTAAATTATGTCCCCAGTGTTCCCTTTGTCTATCTGGGAGGTTACAGTAAAAAAAAAGAGACTGAATTAGTCTGACAAGATTCATTTTTGAGAAATCCATGCTGGCTTCTATTAAACACTGCATTTTCTTCGAGATGCTTGCAGATGGACTTTTTAATAATTTGCTCCAGAATTTTTCCAGGGATCGATGTCAGACTAACTTGTTCTGTAGTTCCCAGGTTCATCTTTTTCCCCTTTTTGAAGATAGGGACAACATTAGCCCTTCTCCAGTCGTCTGGCACTTCTGTTTTTCAAGACTTATCAAAGATAATAGCCAGTGGCTCTGCCAGCTCTCTTATTACTCTGGGATGGAGTTCACCGGGCCCTGGAGGTTTGAACGTGTTTATTCCATCTGGGGAATCCTGGACCATTTCTCTGTCAGTCTTGGGCTGCCTCCCTCACTTCCCGCTTGTGCTTCCTCTTCAATACAGATTTCCTTGTGGGAGAAGATGGAAGCGAAGTAGGAATTGAGTGCCTCTGTCTCTTCCTTGTCATCTGTTATCACTCTGCCATCCAAAGTAAGTAGCTGGACACCCTTCTCTTTCTCATGTCTTTTGGATGCGTCTGAAGAAGGCTTTCTTGTGCTCAGCATCCCTCGCTCGTCTCAGTTCATTTCCTGCTTTAGCCTTCCCAGTGCTATTCCTGAGATTCCATGCAATCTGTTTACATTCTGCCTTCCTGGCCTGGCCTTGCTTCCACTTCCCGCACATGTTTTTTCCCTTCTTCCAGGCCGTCACTTGGCTTTCTGCGGAGCCACGTGGGCTTCCTCTGCTGTCTCCCACGCCTTTCTCTGGATGAACTTGTTCGTAGTGGTGCTTGGAGAATCTTCTTTTCCAAGAGTTCCCACCCCTCTTGGCCACCTTTCCCCATAAGGGTGTGTTGCCATGGCACTTCACGTAACATTTTTGAGTTCGTTAAAATTGGCTTTCTTGACGTTTAGGATGCGTGTTTGGCTCCAGTTGCCCTTTGTCTCCCTCGTATAATTGAGAATTCAAGGATCGCACGGTCGCTTTCCCCCAGAGGCCCCATGGCTGCTATTTTGTCCACCAGGCCATCCCTCTTCGTATCAGATCGAGGACAGCTGATCCTCTCATACCTTCCTCTCCGTTTTTCTGGAGAAAGTTGTCAGCAACGCATCAGGATCCCTCGGAGGGGCCGTGCTTGGCAGGAGTGGTCTGCCAAGAGCCAGAGAGGAGGGTCGGGGTCCCGTGCCGGGCATGGGGTGGTCAGACCAGGGGCCGGGCCGGGCGAGACGAGGCGAGACAAGGCCAGCCGAGGCAGGGCCAGGAACACGATGCAGCCCCAGGAAGGCCTCTCCCCTCCCGGCTGCGCCACGTGAGTGGGCAGTCCCGATCCTTGCAAGGGCCTCCAGGTCGGATCCTGGTCCTGTGGGCCCCTGCAGGGAGACTGAACTGCCCGTCACTCCCACAGGAAACGGGGAAGTTGCCCAGGCTGAGCCCGGGGCAGTCTGGGCTCCTCAGCGTGTGCCGCTTCCTTAGCACCCAAGGGCCAGCTGGCGCCCTCCCTCGTGCAAGCACCCTGCGAGCGGCAGCAGAGCGGAGAAGCCCCCTCCTGGCCCGGAGGCTCTTGGCGTTCCCCACACGCCTCCATTCTCCTTCCAGGCTCGCCCTTTCTCCCTCATGGAGGCAGAGAACCGAACCCGGGTCAGGGAGTTCCTCTTCTTGGGCTTCTCCAGCTACGCCGGCCACCAGGCCTCCCTCTTCCTGCTGTTCCTCACGGCCTACTCGGCAACGGTGACGGGCAACCTCCTCATCTTGCTCCTGATCTCGCTGGACTCCCGCCTCCACAGCCCCATGTACTTCTTCATCGGGCAGCTCTCCTGCCTGGACATCTGCCTGTCTTCCGTCGTCGTGCCGAAGATCCTGGTGAACTTCCTACGCCGGAGGCACAGCATATCCTACGGCCAGTGCCTGGCCCAGACCTTCTTCCTGGTGGGGTTCGCCGGGTGCGAGCCGGCCCTGCTGGCCGTCATGGCCTTCGACCGCTACGCGGCCATCTGCCAGCCTCTGCGTTACGCCTCCCTCATGAGCCACAGGGCGTGCCGTGGGCTCGTGGTGGCCACGTGGGCCTGGGGCTTCCTGGACGCGGCCGTTCACGCCTGCCTAACCTCTACGCTGTCCTTCTGTGGGGTGAATCAGATCCCCCACATATTCTGTGATGTCCCCCCGCTGCTGAAAATCGCCTGCAGTGATACGCATGCCAATGAACTGACCAATCACATCACCAGCATCTTTGTGGGGCTGGGCCCCTTGATGTTCATCTTCATCTCATACTGCTGCATCCTCTCCTCCATCCTGCAAATCCGCTCCGGCACCGGCTGGCGCAAGGCCCTCTCCACCTGCGCGTCCCACCTCATCGTGGTCAACCTCTGCCTTGGGAACGCCTTCCTGAACTACAACCGGCCCAGCGCCGGCTACTCCCTGGAGGTGGACACGCTGGTCTCCTCGATGTTCTGCATCGTCAACCCCATGCTGAACCCGCTCATCTACAGCCTCCGCAACAAGGAGGTGAAGGCAGCCCTGCGGAAGGTCTTGAACTATCAGGGGGCAGCTTCACGTTGAATTTTGAGGGAACCGTCCTTGAAAATTTGCCAGATCGAATGCCTTGGGAGCATAGAATTGCAGAAGTACCTGGAGGTGCCCCTGGAGATGCAACCACCAGGAATTCCACGGGGAGGAATAATGTGGGACAGCAGTCAGAGCCAATGTGGTTGCGCAAAAACCGAGCCAGGAGCCAAAACCTTTGACGAGTCCTTGACAAATTATCCCCGGCTGGTGGCAACAGCATTGGAGAAGCCACAGCTCAGGCTGAGGTGTTATTTGCAGCGACAGATTGGGAAACGTTGTCCAGTCTTCAGATGGTGGGAGAAGGACAATCCGGGGAAATAAAGATTCTTCCAGGCTTGGTTCAGTTCCAAAAAAGATTGTGAAACTACTAGGAAGGGTTCCCGTTGCGCATGTCTTGACGTCAGCACCGTGATTAGGCAAAGGGACAGAAGGCCCACTGGCGCCCAAACTTGCCAGGGTCCGAATTCCTCGGAGGACAGAATCAAATTCAAAAGGGTGGGGTCCCTCATCCTCAGAGGACAAAGCTCCTGGTTAAGGACCTGGGGCGGGGGGGGGGGTCCATTGCTGCAGGGGCTCTGTCCAATCACCACACCCGGGGGCTGCTGGGACAGCCACGGCCCCCTGAAAGGGAAGTCCTCCATCAGTGGGGAGGTGGGGCAGCCAGCCTGAGAGCCCCAGCCAGGAGGAAGGCTCAGCCCGGCCTGCTCGATGGCTCCACGCCTGGGCGAGCTCATCCGGCTTTCACCCCCAGCATCGTGGCCGTGGCCGTGGCCGTGGCCTACTCTTCTTTCTCTCTTCCTGCAAGCCCACTAGAGCTGACTTGCCTCGAGTCGTGGGGTGGAGCCAGCCTTGGAGAAGCATGGGATGCTCATCCCTCTGCACCTGACCGAGCAGAAGACGGGGCTGGAGAGGTTCTCAGGGCTGCGGCCGGTCGCAGACGGACACGGGCAGCTACAGAGGGCAAAGCTGCTTCGAGGGGCCCCCGACGGCCCCATTGCCCAAGTCTCTGCCTCATTCTGCATCACCTGAGCACCGTGCCTGGTCCAGGGGCTGCACCTGCATCGACAAACTGGGGCCGGGGAGGCTGGCTGTGGGGAAAGCCGCCTCCCCTCCAGGCACTGGCATGACCTGCTCGCAGGCGCTGGGCCATGGTGTGCTGGGCAAGCTCACAGGTGCCCGCTTGGGAGGGGGCATTGGGTCTTGCATCCCGCGAGCTTTAATGCCGGCTGCGTGCGCACCCCCCCAGCCCCCAATGCCTCCATTCCCCGGCAGGAAGAAAAGGACCCCGGCCGCGTCGGAGTGGGCAGCCCCGGGGCAGGGGGAACGCCCTAGCCGGATATTCCCAAAGCCGCCCGCGGCCCTGCCAGCCCGGCGGGGGAGCGGCTGCGGCATCCCCAGGGGGCGACCGTGCGCAACGGGCTGCCAGTGCAGGCGTCTCTGCAGCTTTCCTTCCCCGCCATTAAGTGCCGGCCAGATGGGCTCCAGTGGGGCAGGCCAGCAAAGAAGCAAGGCCACAAAGCTTTGGTTAGTGCCGGGGGCTGAGCTGGCCTTTACTGCCACAGTGTGCAGAGAGGAGGAGAGGAGAGGCTGGTGGGCGAGACCCTCTGAGATGAGCACCAGTGTCCCAGTGGGGCTCTTGAAAGGGTTCTGAGGAAGAGGAGCCGCCCCGTGGGAACTGCCCCGTGGCTTCTGACCTGAAAACTAGCCAAGGGTGGGCTAGAGAGAGCGACTGGGGGACCCACAGCTGGCCACAGAATCAAACGCAAGGCGTGCTCAGCAGCGGTGCATCCTCACCCTGGGGAGAGGTAACAGGTGGGGCCCCACAGGGCTCGGTCCTGGGCCCAGCGCTCCTCAAAAATTTTATTAATGATTTGGACGGAGAAGTCCAGGGAGCAATGGTCAAATCTGCAGAGGCCGCAAGGCTGGGTGGGAGAGCTAAAGCCCGGGAAGACAGACGATTCCAGGGGATCTTGATGGGCTGGAAACAGCAGCATGGACTTCTGCTGTCAAGCACCGAGTTCTGCACCCAGGAAAAAGCATCCAAAGGCCTTCTTGCAAGATGGGGGATCCTTGGCTCAGCAACACTGCAGATAAAAAGGATCTTGGAATTGTTGCAGATCCCAGGCTGAATATGAGCCGCCGATGCGATGTGGCTGCAAAGGATGCTGGCGCCACACTGGGCCACTTCTGGGCCACCGGAGGTTTTGGTTCCCCTCCGTGCAGCACTAGCGAGGTTCCGTCCTGGGTGCTCCACCCAGTTCTGGGCACTGCACTTCAAGAAGGAGGCACACGAACGGGAGAAGGTTCAGAGGAGGGCGACCAAGACGATCCAGGCTGGAAACAAAGCCCCGTGAGGAGAGGTAGAGAGAACCGCCGCATCTCTCCCCTCTGGACGAGAGAAGACGGGGGCAGCTAGGGGGCACTCTGAGCACTTGAGAGGTGCTGAAGAGAGCCGGGCTCTCCTCTCAGCCGTTCATGAGTGCAGGACACAGAATCATGGGCTCAGGCTGCAGGAAGCCAGATTCCAGCAGGGCATCGGGAAAAACTTCCTGACTGCTGGAGCAGTGTGGCAACGGAACCCATGGCCCCGGAGGCGGTGGGCTCTCCCACACGGGGGGCATTCAAGGGGCAGTGGGTGGCCCTCCAAGAGGGACGGTTTACCTTGGAGCCCTGCGCTGAGCGGGGGGGGGGGGGACCCGAGGGCCCTTCCACCTCCGCTATTCCAGGATTTCTTCAGAAGGACCCATCCCTTGGAAGCCCAGCAAAGATCTTCTCACACCAAGGCTGTTTCTCTGATAAATTGCCTCCCGGCTGCAAAAGTTGCGGCTATTACACATAATCTCCATATCTTCGTCTGTAATGCTGGGGGGAGGGGGAGCTTCGGTGGTTACAGCCCATCTTGGTGCCAGTGATGTGCGAACAGTCCCCAAGATCCGGGTGACCCTCCTGCACCGGCAACACCCCATCGCTCACATCGACGCAATGGCGGCTCACCCCGCGGGCACTTCTGCGGGCCGAGTCCTTCTCTGGCGATCGTCCTTCCCGACGTCCGCAGCCTGTGCGCCATCTTGCAGATGCAACCCAACACTGGCCGGCGCGAAGCTTTCTCCGCCTGCGCCTCCCGCATGATCGTGGGCTCCGTTTCCTTCGGAAGTGGGCTGGTTAATTATGGACACCCCAGTGCGGCTACTCCCTGGAGACCAGCTCCCATCATCCACAAAGACAAAGGAACATTGGCTGTCTACTCATGGAAGCAGGAGCGCAGCACTGCCTTGTCACCGGATGGGGTTCCTCTCAGATCGCATGTCCTGTGTACCCCAATGCTCCCGGCACTCTGGGCTCCGAGGAACAGGACTCCCGGGCCATCTAGGCGGGGGGGCCCGCGGGCAAGCAGTCGCGAGGCACCGGCGATGCGCTTCCCTCACCCTGGGGGTGGGGGGGGGGGCGGGCAGGGCGCTTGGCCAACCCTTCCCCCCCGGGGGAGCCCAGGAGAGAGGCGGCTCTGGGGACACAAGCGCCTCTCCCCCGGGCTCCGCACGCCCCCAGTGAAGCCCCTCATCTCTGCCCGAGTGGGCGCCACACGCGCCAACAGGCACGGAGCAGCGCCGAGGCCGGAGAGGTGGGAAGGGGCGTGCAGCAGGGAAGCGAGACCCTTCCTGGGGCAGGGCCGGCGTGGCGTCCCCACAGGTCTCCTGTCCTGGGAGGGGAAAGGTGAGGCCGGCACAAGCCTCCTCCTCCTCCTCAGGCCCGGGGTGCTCCCGGCCGGTTCCCTCTCCATGGAAGCCCCCACCGCGGCTGCCACCGTCCGACCTGGCCGGGTGGGCAGCTGCAAGGTGAGGTGCAGAGCACGGCCCCCCACGTGGGGGGGGGGCCTTTTTGCCAGGCACGGGGCGGGGGGAGGGAGCGCATCCAAGGACACCAATCCATGGAAAGCCGGCCTGCTTTCAAGTCCATCCGAGTGTGGTTAGCCGCTGTGTGAACTGAATGCAAACTGGCGGGGGGATGCTGGGCACTGTAGTCCAAGCGAGCTGGAGGGCACCAAGGCTGGGGAGGGAGGGAGGGAGGCTGGCTGGTTTTCAGCGGCCACAAGCGGTCCGATGCGCCTGGCAGGGCCCCAGGGAAGCCCCAGAATCGCTCGGGGCAGCTTCCCAGGGTCTTGTGAGTGGCTGTGCGCACCGTCCGTCCCTGGGCAGGAGATTCAGGGGCGCCCCCTCCAGCCCCACCCGCCGGGCGATGGGCGGCAAGCGCAGGGGGCGAGCAGCAGGCGGGGGCCCTTTCCACGGCGGGCAGCTTGCTCTGAGCCGCTTCGAGTCAGGGTCCCGGCACACGCGCCTCTCGCTCTCCTTCTTCCCGGCCCCCTCCCTCGGGGCGGCTCCACGAGCGCTGGGGGGCCCTGGCTGGCCCTCCCTGGGGCACAGCACCCTGGGCCAGCCCCCACCCGCCATGGTGCAGGCCCGGGCGTGAGCCCCTTGGCTGCTGTGCCCGAGGGGCCGGGGCCGAATCCTGTGCCTGCAGCAGGCAAGTGCCCGGGTGCGTCCACTGAGAGGGCCGAAGCGAGGCCGGGCTTCGTCTCCCCCCCAGAGATCGCCGCTTGTCTTGCGTGCCGGGGAAGCATCGGGAACGGCTGCGGGGTTGCCTCCCGCTCTTGTCCCGCTGTCGTTTCTGTGTCGCCCATTCCCAACTTGTGGAGACAGCACAGAAGCGAATCTGCGGGGAGGGGGCACCCCACGTACAAATCCCATCAGCCCGGAGCTCCAGCAAGGCTGGGGCACAAATTCGTAAGCGGGGGAAGCAGCTTCCTTCACTTGCACAGAAAACGGCACATTTCCCCCTTCTCTCACGAGAGAGGATTCGCCTGACGAAGAAGCAAGACCCGGAGGGTGGTCTGGGCGGGGGGCACTCACCCCATTGTCCACACAACCAGGAGCAGGAACGGCAAACACGCAAAACTGCCTCTTGCAGGAACGTCTTTAGCTTTAGCTTAAAGCAGCAGGAAGCTAAAACCTTGAGGGCTACTTGATTATCATCCATCTTTACTAGACCGACATCCCCCTAAATGCGGAGCGCGAATATATTTGCTAAATGCACGCCGACGCTCGCAGCGCGGTCCTCCACATCTCTGCTCGGAGGGAAGCTGCACTGAACCCGGCAGCCCTGACTCCCACGAATGTGTGCACAGGATGAGGCCCGGCCCCAATCCTGTGCGCACGTACTCAGTGTAATGCCTGATGCCTCCCGAAAGCTGGCAGAACGAGCGACACGCGCTTCGCCGAGCGCAGCCTTCCTGGAGCGCCAGTCCTTTTTCTTAACCGTATTGCTGGGTTTTAATTTTTTAAGAATGGCCCTTGGGCAGCTGGGATCCACCCGATTTCCAGTCTTCCGTCTCACACTGGGGTGACTGAGAGATGGCTCCGCGTCGACAGGCGCAGGGCTGCCCTCGGGGAGGGTGCTGGGCACAGACGCCGCTCCCACCCCATCCCTGGGAGCACAGCAGCTTTCCTCTCGTGGGAGTGTCTGGCTTTGGCAAGTGCGCACAGGATTGGGGCCGAGCAGTGCCTCCGATGCACACATAGCAAGCTCCATTGCAGTCAGTGGGCCTTACTCTTGAGGAGAGATGCGGAGGATTGCAGCGGCTGCCCATTTAACGGAAAAGGGGCCATTTGCAAAGGGGGCTGTCAGCCCTGCAAAGGTTGTTGACTCTTGTTGGGAAAATTTGGATAACTGCTGCCTGAAAAGCATTACTCCTGTGTGCCTTTGCACTGTGGGATCAAATCCTGCCTTCCTTCTCAAAACCAAGCTGCCACCGTTTAAAATGGCATTCATCCCCCGCTCCTTTCTCTCACCTTTAGCTGTGGGCTACAGCAGACAGGCCATTTAGTCCAAATTTACATGGTATACCTTCACAATGATTAAATAATCATTGTTGGAATTCAAGGTAGTATCTTTCTAGCCCAGAGGGCTTCATGTGCCCTGATCATGCAGAGTGTTTAGACTTGAGATGGGGGTCTGAGCTTATCATGGGTAGTTGCTAGTGGCTTGAATTTGCATGTCTGAGCAGGCCTGGAGATGGGTTCAAGTTACTCAACTAAAGTGTCAATACAGGCAATTAGCCGCCCCGAGGCTTCGGCGAATGGGGCGGCATAAAAATGTTTTAATAAATAAATAAATAAATAAATAAATAAATAAATAAATAAATATTGTAATCTCATTGTTACAGTGTGATTGACTGACATTCCTTTATCTGCTCTGCATGTGACGACCTCAGAATCTTATTGTAATCTCTGCATTCTGTCATCAATTGCCCTGTACCTGTGTACCTAAAAAATACCCTGCAATGTGTTGAAACTTTGCAGCAGAGTTCACCCCTGCCTGCCCGGTAATGCAGCCTGCATTTTCGAGTACCGCGGGAACCTGGCAAATACAATAAAGCCTCAGATGGTCTGGACGCTTGGTCTTTCCCACGAACCCGAGTTTCATTCCCTCTTCTCGAATTGAGATTCCGGGATTCTGACACTCTCAGTCCCACAAATGACCCGTAATTCGGAGTGAGGCGCAGCGGAGGCTGGGGCTGCTCAGCCTCGGAAGGAGGCGAGGGAGGGGAGCCGCGCCCGGGCGGTCAGGATCATGCACGGCATAAAGGAAGTGGACGGGCGACCTTGCTCTCCCGCTCCCACAACCCCCAAACCCGGGGTCCTCCCACGACTCCGACGGGGGGGGGCGGTCTAGGACAGATCAAAGGCAGTCCTTCTTCACCCAGCAGGTGGTCAAACTATGGAACTGGCTGTAGAAGGGGGCTGGGGGAGGAGGGGGAGGAGGGGGAGGAGGAGGAGGCGGCGGCATTCTGTGGCTACTGGCCCCGCTGGCCCCGTGCCATGCATGCACCAGTTCCTGAGGAGCTGGCGGGGGGGGGGTCTTGGCCTCACCCTGCGCGAGGGATCCAGGGGCGGCTGGCTTGCACGTGTGGACCAAGCGCTGGGTGGGACGGGTCCCGGGCCCGATCCAGCAGGGCATTGCTCACGTGCTTAGGCTTGGTCTTCCTGGGAGGGTCACTGGAGACCCCAAAGGAAGGATCAGCCCCCTTCCGCTATAGGATGCTCAGTCCCCTGTGCGTGCCCTGGAGAGCAACCACACGGCTGTCCCCACTGGGGCTCAGCTTCTGGCACAGCTCCCCTTTCTGCTGTCTAAATGACAAACTTGAACAAAAATGGTGGAAAGCAAGAGCAGGAAAAACTAAACCGGCCTGTCGGCCGGGATCCTGCGTCTGCAAGTGCTTGCGGAGGTCAGTCTTGCCGAATCTCAGACGAAATAACCTCATCCACACTCTTGGGCGGAGGGGCTCAGTTCTGTTCCTCTGCAAATGTTGCAGCCAAAGTCCTCAGCAGACCAATCGTTTCAAGTCTGCTGCGAAATGTGCCTTGTGACAAAACGTACATTGCAATTAATATTAAGGTAGCTGTGCTTCTTAAATTGGCGCGTCTTGTGGTCTTAAATTTGCATTTGAGGAGATTTAGGGGATTTCAAAGAAATAAATACACGGAAGAATGCAAAAAGGAGCAGACATACAGGCAGAAATGGGCGGAAGCGAAGTACGCCCGGGCTGTGCGGCTCCAGCCCTCGGGCAGCCGACCGGCTGCTGCCAAAGGAGCCGTCCAAGAGGGCAGGACGCAGCGGCCCTCTGCTTGCCCAGGTCCACTGCTCCATCGCGCGGCCACTCGCACTGTCCAGAACGACCGCCGTGGTTCGGCCACAGAGGGCTGGGCCGGGCCGAATGCAGGCGAGGGGCAGGATGCAGGAGCGCGGGCCTGGCAAAGGGGAGACCGCAGGCCCCCTTCCGCAGGGATTCCCCGCAGGCATGTTGCAAAAGGGCCACAAGCACCTGCTCGCTCTCCAGGTTAACCTTTGCTCCTTCCTGTTCTCAGCACCGGACCTGATGGAGCCCACGGAGAGCGGCAACTGGTCGCAGCAGACACCTGAGTTCGTCTTCCTGGGCTTCTCGGGTGCCCCCCACGGCCACACCCCCCTTTTCCTGGTCTTCCTGGCCATCTACCTCGCCACCGTCATCGGGAACGCCACGATATTCGCCCTGATCCAGCTGGACGCGCGCCTGCACAGCCCCATGTACTTCTTCCTCAGCCACCTGTCCTGCCTGGACGTCTGCTACTCGTCCGTCACCGTCCCCAAGATCCTGGCGAACCTCCTGCGCCAGCAGCACACCATCTCCTACGCCCAGTGCATGGCCCAGGCGTTCTTCCGGATGGCGTGCGCGGGCTCCGAGTGCGCGCTGCTGGCCGCCATGGCCTACGACCGCTACCTGGCCATTTGCCGGCCACTGCACTACGGCAGCCTGATGGGCAGGAGGGTGCGCGTCCCCCTGGCCGCCGCCTCGTGGCTCTGGGGCCTGCTGGACTCGGCCCTCCACACCGCCCCGGCCACCAACCTGGCCTTCTGCGGGGCCCCCCGGATCGACCCCGTCTTCTGCGACGTGCCCCCACTCCTGAAGACCGCCTGCAGCGACACCCGCGTCAACGAGATCTGACCGGGACCTGACCGTGGTCACCGTCTACGTTGGGATGGCCTGTGTGAACGACAACCGGCCCAGCGCCGGCTACTCCCGGGAGGCGGACACGCCGGTCTCCACCCTCTGCTGCATCGTCACCCCCATGCTGAACCCGCTCATCCGCAGCCTCCGCGACGAGGAGGTGAAGGCAGCCCTGCAGAAGGCCCTGCGCGGCCCCGGGAGGGGTGCGCTCCCCTGCGCAAGCAATGTGGCTCGTGCGCGCGGCCGCTTCCTCTCCCGCCGGTCTCCCCGCACCCCATTCCCCAGCGCAGCGTCTCCCGGCCTGGGCAGCTGCCTCGTGTGGCCCTGGCAGGGGTCGCAGTCCCGATCCTCTGCTCCCCCCACACACCTCCAGTCCGCGTGCCGCCTCCCCCGCTGCAAGCGCAGGTGCAGCCGCGAGCACAGCCACAACACACGTGGGGTTGCAGTGGCGTTTATTGGGCGCAACGTCTTCTCCAATCAGCCTTTCAGGCTCACGGTGTAGGAATCCCCCTCCATTTCTCACCCTACGAGCACATGCCGTGGGGACGGTCCGGCAGAGGACGCGGGGGCCCCGAGGCCCCCCCCGAAGGAAGGACGTCGTCTCCCCAGTGGCGAAGCAGGGCGAGAGGGGCCGGGTCTTCTCCAGGGCCCGGCCGTGGGCAGCCGTGGAAGTCGCTGTGGCACGTGGCAGATGGGGGGCGGCCATGGGGGGGGGCGGCACGGGGGGGCCCGGCGGGCGGCGGGGGAGCTCACGGCAGGAGCTCCACGTAGTTGGCGGGGAAGAGGCCGAACCGGCCGTGGCAGCTTCCACGCCACCAGCCCTCGTCCACCAGCTCGATGCTGGAGATGGTGTCCCCGGGGAAGAAGGAGATCTCGTCGTCGCCCTCTGCCGAGAGAGAGTGGGAGTGGGCTGGGGCGGGGGGCACGACCCCTTGCGCCAGAGCCCCGGGTGCTGCAGCCCCCCTGCTCGGAGGAGCTGGGCAGACGGGCGGCCAGGCAGGGGGGCAGCCAAAGCACCTCCAGCGCCAGCGTTCTGACCCCCGCAACAGGCTCCGGGGCCTGCAAGGAAAGGATGATGCCCCCCCGGAGGCCAGCCCATGACCCACCTCCCTGGTAGTCATAGAGGGCCACCGCCGACAGGCCCCCCTCGCCGACCTCGTGCGCCAGCCCTTCAGCGCCTGCTGGAAAACAAGCCAGGAATGTGAGGGGGGGACGCCCAGCTCCTGCTGGGCCCACATGACTTAAAGGCACCCCCAGCGGCCCCCATGCCCCCCCATATCCCAGCGGCATCCGACTTCCCAGCTGCTCCCAAGAAACCGGCACCCCTCGGGCACGGCAGAAGCACAGCCCACCGGCAGCAGCCGGGGAAGTCGGGCTTTCACCCGGGGGGCTCGTTGGTGGGGCAGGAGAGGCGTGCCCTCCTCCCCCGAGGTCCCCCGAGGTCCCAGCCAAAGGCTGTGAGCCAGGCCTGCTGAGAGCTCGCCCCGGTTGCCCTGGGGGCCCCCAGACATGCCAACGGGGGACTCCAAAGCATGAGCCCCGGCCGCTTCCCTGAGCACCTCTGCGACACAGAGGGAACCCCTCGGTGCTGCCCCGTCAAGGTGAGCGTGGCACGAAGGTGAGGCCCGCCGGGCGGACGTGGTCCTGCCCACCCTCACCTGCGGACGCCGCCGCCCCGCTGCTGCCCAAGTTCTGGGCAGGGATCTCCTCGTAGTCCTGGCTGGCGCTGTCCGGGACGCTCGCGTGGTCGCCGTCCCCGCAGCCAAAGCTCGGCATCTCCTCGTAGTCCCCGCCAGGGGACAGTGGCGGCTCCTCGTAGTCGGGGAGCCCCCCCACGTCCTCGTAGTCCTCGCTATCGGCACCGACGGGCTGGGTTGCGGCAGGGGGTCTCGGGGGCTCGTGGACGCCGCCGTCCAGGTCTATGCTCCGTGGGGGCAGCGCTGGGGGCCGCTCCTCCTCCTCCTCCTCCTCAGCTGCAGCCTGGGCAGCAACAGGGGCAGGAGCTGGCCGGTCCCAAGACCCTCCTGCCTCCCGGCCTCAGGAGGGCTGCCCGGCCACCGCCACGCCGCCCTCCCGGCCCACCCCGCCCAGAAGGCTGCAGCAGCTCCACCACCTACCTGCGCCGCCACGGGAGCCACGCTGGCTTCCGGACACACCTCCGCCGGCTCCGGGGGCAAGGGCCGTGGGGACAGGTCCTGGCTGCGTTGCTCTTCACTCCTCCGGGTTTCCTTAAAGAAGGAGGACGCTCGGAGTGCGGGGGGCCCCACGCGGCTCCCTGCCTGCCCCTCCCCAGCCCTCCACGCGGGCCTGCCCGCCAGGTCGGCTGCTTCTAAATCCGCCGAGGTGTTTCTGCACCTCTCTGTTGCTGTTGTGCCCCCCCCAGTCACGTCGCCCCGGCAGCGGCGATTTCCGCGTGGAGACGCGTGCGCCACTCCCACCACTCTCGCTGGGAGCGCCTCCGGGCCACCCCCCCCCCCGTGTGGCCACCCTCTCCTCTGCTGCCGCCGGTCCCCTTGGGCGGGGGGGGGGCCGGGGGGAGGAGGTGGGGCTGCTCACCTGCCGCTGCTGCTCCTGGCGCTCCCGCTGCTCCCGGGCCAGGCGCCGAGCGCGCTCCTCCTCGGCCCGCCTCTGGTTCTCTCCCTCGGCTGCCTTGGCCATGTCCTCGAACCGCTGCCTCAGGTTGCCCGCCCCCCCGGAGGCTGTGTGCGAGGGCACGGGTGAGGCCGGGGGCGGGCAGAGCCCAGCCCGGGGACCTCCGGAGCCCCGCCGCCCAGGCAGCCAGGAAGTGGCTCGGAAGGCCCCCCAGGGGCTCCAACCCCTCCCCCTCCAGCACAGAATCCGGCAGCTGCAGAAGGCCCCCCCCAGGCCCCCCTCTCCCAGACCGCTCCCACCCCGACGCCTTCCAGGCGCTCTTCCTTGCCCGGCCCACCCACCCCTTCTCAGCTGCCCTCCTGCCCGGGGGTTTTGCAGCCCCTCTCCTCCCGCAGAGGCGCCTCGGACCCCCGGGGTCAAAGTGCCACTCCGCCTCATGCCGCGCCCACTGGCTGGGCCTGCCGGGCTGCCCCGGGGGGACTCACCGGCCTCCACGGGCTCCGTCTTCTCGTATGAGCTGGTTGGCGCTTCCATCTCGCCGAAACCAGCCGCGCTCTGCCAGGAGAAATCCCCCGGACGCTCAGCTGGCTGGTGGGGGGAGCCGTGCCGCCCCCTGCCGCGGCTGGCCTCCCTTCCATTCCCCGAGAAGGGCCAGCATGCCGGCGGGCCGCACCAGCGGTCGCCCCGACCGGTCACTCGGCCACCTCTCCCGTCCACGTGACCCCCGGGTGCTTGAGGGGGCAGAGCCCCACCACAGCCTTCGCCCGCAGAGGCCCATGGCGGGGTGCCGGCGAGAGTCCCCGCCTGGGAGCAGCCCTCCTCCTGGGGCGCCCCTGAAGGCCACCCCAGCCCTGCCCTCCTTGCCCGAGAGCCGGCTGCCGGCGGTCTCCAGGCCCTCGCAGTCCCACCGCCCGTCCGAGAGGAGGAGGGCCTTTCCCGAGCCCCACTGCCGGCCCCGAGGGCTTTCCGCAACAGCAGGCTGGCCCTCGGCCATGGCCGACCCACGGGGGCTGCCTCGAAGTGGACGTGACCCCCGGGCGAAAGCGGCCTGCGCCGCTGGGGCACGCCTGGACGCCGCGCCCGCCCGCCCTCCCACCCCTTCTACCCGCGTGTGGTGCTGTGGGCACGGATGGGACTGAAGCAGCGGAAGGAGGGGACGCGGAAGCTGCCCCCGCCCAGAGAGGCAGGAAACCGGCCCGCCGACCAAGCTCTCCAGGCTGAGTTAGCTCCTCTGCACTAGAGTGACGGCGAGAAGCCCCGCGGCTGCCGAAGCGGCAGCACTTGACCCGCGGGACGTGGAGCAGAATCAGGGGCAAGGGCGGGCCCTGCCGAGGCCTCCCCGGCCCCCAGACCCGCAAGCAGCTCTGCCGTGCTCGGGGCTCCCGTGGGCACTTCCGGGCGGGGGCCGAGGCCGGAGCGCCGCTTACCTTGTCCACCCTGTCCTTCTGCACCCCGAAGCGGCCGCCAAAGCCCTTGGCGTAATCTGCAAGGAGCGGGGGACCCTTCAGGGCGTGCGGTGGCCAAAGACGCGCCTCTGGCCAACCCCGCTTGCCCCTCTGGACAGCAGGCCCCCGTCCCCAGAGCGGCTGCCGAGCCACGGCCTCTCCCTCGCCTGTCCGGGGCACCTGCAACGGGGCTCCGGGGTGGGGCACTGGCGAGCGCGACCCCAAGGGCCTCGGCCCGGCCCGCCTCCTTCCCGAGCCGGGGGCCCGGCACCCACCTGTCTGGGACTCATGGGGCTTCACTTCCTCCTTGTGTGCCCAGCCCAGGGCGGACTTGTCCTGGCGGTCCTTCTGCACGCCAAACTTCCCGCCGAAGCCCACGGCGTGGTCTGTGGGCAGGAAGCAGCACTGGTCACCCACGAAGTGCGAGGCCGCAGGCACCGCCGGGGGCACTGAGAGCCGCTACACGGAGCCCCTGGGAGAGCCAAGGCGGAAGCGGCATGCCCCTCGGGGGGAAGCGGCTGAGCCTCTGCCCACGTCCCAAGGAGCGGCGGGTGCTGCAGCGGACCGAGCCCGAAGGAAGCTGGCAGCTGCTGCGGCATCACTTTCCTGCTCCCCAGGGCGACAGCTGAGCGGTCAGCGGTGGTCCGGGAGGCAGGATCTGGCCCTACTCCTGAGCGCAGAGTTACAGGCAGAGCCGGGGTGCCAGGATCGGGGCAGGGGGGAGTTGGGGGACCAGGAGCTCAACGCTCTGAGCGGCCACAAGGCTTGCTGGGTGGCCTTGGGCAAGGCCCTGCCGCTGAGCCGAGCCGAGCCCAGCCCAGCCAGGCCCCCCGTCTGCCGACCAAACCTCCCCGGGAGGAGGCTGGCCCTGGGAAAGCCAGGCGGTGTCTCGCGTCTGTGAGGAGGAACGTGGGAAGGGGCTTCGGGCCGAGCCTGGCCCTGCTGCAGCCAGCTCAGCAGCAGCTCCTGCGGGCCGTGGACCCCCCCAGCCCCCCTGCCGGCCGAGGGGCCCCAGCATCCTCCTCTCGCCCCCTGGACTGAGGGCGAGTGAGGGGTCTTCCCCAGGTGCCCCCTCCCAGTGGGCTGTGGTACAACCCCGGCAGCCCCAGCACAGGCGAGCGCAGCCGGGGGTGCCTTGTGCCTGGGGGGGCCTCCTCCGCTGGCTTTGCAAGCCCCCCCCCCCCACTAACCTGTCTGGGACTCATGGGGCTTCACTTCCTCCTTGTGCGCCCAGCCCAGGGCGGACTTGTCCTGGCGGTCCTTCTGCACGCCAAACTTCCCGCCGAAGCCCACGGCGTGGTCTGCAGCGGGGAAGACGTGGCGCAATTCAGCGGACCCCACGGCATGGCGGGTGCCCCCTGCAGCGCATCGCTGGGTGGCCCCTGGCAGGCCAGTCCAGTTCGTGGCCCTGGAGGTGCCCGCCGAGCGCAGGGTTCGCAGCCGAGCGAGTGGGGACTTTCCAGAGATCGGCCCGGGCTGTAGCCGCAGCCGAGCACGGGGGGGAGGGGGGGGGCAGCGGGAAATGGGCACCCGGGATCCAGAAGCAGCTGCAGGCAGGCCTCCAAGCTGGGGAGCACAGTGCTCTGCCCGGGCGATCCAGGCAGGGCCGGGGAAGCTGCCGCGGGAAACCGGCGGCGTTTTCAGCCAAGGCAGAGGGAGGATGCCGGCCCATTTTCCCGGGGCCTCCTGCCTCCCCCGTGCGATTCGGCTGCTGCGTGTGGCAGTCCTTCCTCCCGAGAAGGACTGCCTAGCTGGGCAGCGCATTACAGAGGAGCGAGGCCACTGCTGAAAAGGCCCCGTCACTGGCGGCCTCCCTCAGATGAGGTGCTCGGGGTAGAGATGAGCAAGAGGAGTGTGAGGCCCTGCCCAAGGCGGGCGGCAAGAGCGGGCCCCCGAGTGGCTCTTGCTCTGCGCCTGCTCTGGGCCCACCTCGCTCAGCGCTGCCCGCAGTCCTCTGGGGGTCTTGCCGGCCCTCTCGCCTGGGGGCCGGCTCTCCGCTCTCGACCTGTGCAGCGGCAGCCCTGCAGCGCAGGAGGAGGCCGACCGGCGGCGTGGCGGACGCTTCCTCGAGCACCCGGCCCGGCCGCGGCCCCGGCACCCACCTGTCTGGGACTCATGGGGCTTCACTTCCTCCTTGTGCGCCCAGCCCAGGGCGGACCGGTCCTGGCGGTCCTTCTGCACGCCGAACTTTCCGCCGAAGCCGAAGGCGTAGTCTGCGGGAGGGGAGGCCCAGGCACGTCAGAAGGGGCACGCGTGGGCCAAGCGGCCGGGCCGACCCGTCCCGCCTGCCCTGCAGGCATCAGGGGAGCCAGGCCCCCAGCAGGTCCCCACACGCGCAGCCCCCGAGGCTCTCTGAAAGAGCATGGCCAGACCGGGTGCTTTTGGGGGGCTCACGCCCTGGCCGCCCCCCGCAGCTGCACTCTCCGTGCGCGCACCTCCCGGCACTCAGCCCCCCGCGTCCGTCTCCACGCTCCGCCAGCCCCACTCCTGGCCCGGCGGGGCTGCCCCACCGGGAGCTTCTCTGCCTGGCCGTGTCCTCGTCCCCACGAGGGCCCCAGAGCACACGGTGTGAGAGCGAGAGAGGAGGCTGCCGAGCGCCTGCCGCCCTTCGGACCGGCCCGCAGAGCAGGGCACGGCGGGAGCACCGAGGCAGCCTGGGGTCCGACCCACCTTTCTGCGAGGCGTGCTGTTCCACCTCGCCCTTGTACTCGAAACCCAGGGCCGACTGCAGAGAAGGGGGGGAAACGGCACCGTTAGGCCCTGTGGGTCGATCCCCAAGGCAGTGGGAAGCACCAGGCGCGTCCCGCATTGCACGAGCGGCACGGTCCCCTTCCTTCCTGTTTTTGTTCCCCTTGTTTTTAATTGTACATTTTGGAGACAGACAAGCATATTGGTAAACAAGAACAAACATAAATTGCCAATTTATGTACAGCTGACTTTCGAGAAAAACTCACTGCAAGCCATTTCACCTAACCATTAAAAACACGGATTCTGTACCGGTCATATATATATATATATATATATATTTTTTTTCAGCCACATCTGGAATGAATAAAAATGTCTTATTCTGGTTCAAGGTGGGGGAGCGGGCAGGTTCTGGGAGACAGTGGAGAACGGTTGGGATTGGAAGCATTTCCCTAAAGGAGGAGTGCTTGATGAGGCCGTGAGAACATTCACACTGCCCTTCCCCAGGGAGGCAGTATCGGCATCCGTTGTCCAGAAGGAAGGAATAAAATGAACGGGAACGGCCTTTTTGCCCGCAATCCCAGCCTGGAAGCTCTTCCGGAGTGTTTGTCCCCACCCCGCCTCCAGTAAATTCCGCTGGGGTCTTGGGGCGACCCGAGCAGGAAACGAAGGGGCGGCCGCCGACTGGCACGAGGGGGGCTTCCTTCTCGAGGGTCCCGGTCGGCCAGCACAGGGTCCGTTCTGGGGGACGACGGCTGGATTCCGGGCCCGGTTGTCCGGAGCTGGCTCCGCACCAGCTTGCCCCAGACACGGCCCCTCGGAAGAGGCCGGCGAGGTGGGACGGGGGGCGGCCCGGCCGCCGGGCGGAAGGCCGCAGGGGCTCACCTTGTCTGCGCGGTCCTTCTGCACGCCGTACTTCCCTCCGAAGCCCTTGGCCGCGTCCGTCTGCGAGGAGTGTCTGCCCACCTCCGCCACGTACTCGTGGCCCAGAGCACTCTGGGAAGCAAGATGGGCCAGGTCAGCGCCGGCCGAGAGGTCTGATCGCAGGGAGGGGGCCCGGGGGCTGCAGCAAGCCGGCCCCTCCAGGCGAGCCGAGCCCAGAAGGGCAGGCAGCCGACGCTGCCGGTACGTGTGCGAGTGTGTGGGGGTGTGCGTGGGTGTGCGCTGCTGCCAGGTGCCCAACAGCCAGGACCGTGCCAGGCCTGGTTCCTGGCGCCACGCCGAGGTCCGGTGGCCGTCCAGGGCTGCGGAGGAGCCCAGGGACCATCGCCCCGAAGCGGCTCCCCCCGTCGATTCTCTCCGTAAGAAATCTGGCCACGAGCTTGCCCGCGGGGGCCGGACCTTTCCCGCCCAGGCGCTGTGCGTCACAGGGCAAGGAGCGAGCAGAGCAGAATCCCTGCCCGCTCCCACGGAAGCCGTCCTCCGCCTGGTGCCCCTGGATGCCGTCATGGGACTTGTCGTCCACGCTCCTCCCAGGGGCATCAGGTTGGAGAAGGCTGACGGAGAGGAAAGCGTGCGTGTGGCAGAGCTTACTCCAGAGTGAACATTAACCGGGCTTGCTATTGGCGTGGGTGGGGGCTGCCTGCCTTCAAGGGAGGGGCGAACGCCACGGACTTTCCGCAGCGTGTGCAGGGCGACTGTGGAATTCGCTGCCACGGGAAGTGGGGTGACCAGTGGGACTGTGGGGGCCTGAAAGGGGGACTGGGCAGGTTCTCCGTGGCTACTAGCCTGCTGGCCACGGGCCCCCTCCTGCGCCAGCAGGGGCCTGCCTGCCCGCCCCGGTTGCTGTGGAGCCTGGGGGGGGGCTCGCACCCCTCCTGCCCGGGGGACCCCATGGGCAGCCGGCTTGCCTCCGTGTGTGTGGAGGGCCAGGCTGGGTGGCCCGGGCCCGAACCAGCAGGGCTCTGCGTCTGTCCTCGTGCCTTCCAGGAGCAGCTCCTGCAGGCCAGTGGGCCCGGCCACGCACAGAGGCGCAACCCCCAGGCCTGGGCGGCACACGAGGAGCAGCCCCCACCCCACGCCCCTCCACACCTTGTCCATGCGGTCCTTCTCCGTGCCGAACTTGCCCCCATAGCCGTAGGACGCTCTGGGCGCCTGCTCCTGTTCCTTCTTCTTCAGGACCTCATGCTCCTCGGAGACTTTGCTCCTGAGCTGGTGGATGCTGCGGAGGAGGAGGAGGAGGAGGGCGTGAGGAGGGCCATGACGGGGAGCCCCAGCCGGCCGCCTCTCAGGCTCCTTGGGGCTTGCGCCTCCTGCTCGAAGGGGAGGCCGCTCGGGGGCCAGCCGGACACGGCAGCCCCGCGGGGGACGGCTTTGCGGCCAGGAAGCCCTTCCCGGGCGGGAGGAAGGAGGCAGCTCTCCCGGCCGGAGGCAGTCCTCCTTCCCCCACGTGCCAGGATGAGGTGGGACTCCACGGGGAAGGCCTTGCCAGCGGCCCCCTCCGCTACGCAAGCTTTCCCCAGGGGGCCACTGGGCCCTTTCCACAGCTCTGGGGCACCCGGCAAAGCCCCCTTATCCTCTGGGGCGTCTCAGCCCTTAACCGTCTATGTCTCCACGACGCCTTCGTGTTTTGGGAAGGTGTCCCTTCGAATGCTTTGCGTCCCGTCCCGTCCCGTCCTGCTGCTTTTAACCAGCAATCGACTGTGCCGCTTCTCTTCACACTGGGGTTTTATTTATTTATCTGAGGTATTTCTAGCGCTTCCAGTCACTTTCGTCTCGCAGAGCACTTCCCGTTCAGCACTTCCTTTCTTTCTGTTCTATGTTGCTTTGTGGGATTTTGCTGTTGCGATGACGTGATAACTTTTAGAAATGAAAACCCAACGGTGGGGGGACCTGCTTGGCAACCGGACCCAAGCCAGGCCAGGTTTGCTCGGAAAGCCTCCCCGCATTCTGTGGGTTTGCCCCCCAGCCAAGTACAGCGGCCGCAGCGGCCCATTGCAGAAGGCTCCTCTGCTACCTAGCAAAACCATTTATTTGGTTTGTGCTGCAGAAATTGTTGCTGCCTCTGTTATCAAAATAAAAGCTCAACATTACGCCCAGCCCTGTCTCCATGAGGAGCAGAAACGGGCCTGTCGGCCTGTGGCTTGCCATGAGAACGCAATGGGCCACGGGAGGGGCTGGTATTAGGAAGGCCTGGTTTGTTCGCTAGTTTCAAATATTTAAAATAAATTAAAGCATGCAAGATGCAATGAGCACAAATGGAAAATCCCACTAATTGTCAGAGAAGGGAGGGCCAGGTTTGCAGAAGGGCGGCGAAGGGGGAGAGCCGGGCAGTGGGGCCGAGAAGCAGCTCCCACGGAGAATTCCAGCTGCAAGGAGAGGAGGAGCTGGGGAGAAGAGGCCACTCTCGCCAGGGCCACGTGGGCCCGAGAGGACGCCGGCGCAAGCAGGAGGACGCAACCCTGGACGGGGGCCGGAAGGAGCCCGCAGCCCATCCTGCGAGGGGGCAGCCCAAGGCGAGCCCGGGAGCCGGAGGTAAAGGGCTGACTCAGGGGAGCGGAAGGACGACGGGGGGACCCCGCGGAGAGGCTGCCGTCGTGAAGGCGTGGGGGGCATCCGCCCCACGAACCACACGGCCCATGGGCTCTCCTTCAGAGGGGGCGAGGTGTGGCTTTCCACGATGCAGCATCGCCGTGAAAGGGGGCCAGGAGGGGGCCGGGAGCCGGTTGCCCCCTCCGTCCCCAGAGGACAGGCAGAGCCACAGGCAGGAGCCCCCCGGGATGGGGCCCGGCCGGGCGGGGGGAGCGCTCGGCCTCGGGGCAGTGCTGGAGCCACGTGGCAGGTGGCCGACTCCACGTGGCTCCGCTCGGCTCAGGGTGGGCTACGGCCTCTTCCTTGGGGGACCTCTGGGGCAAGGCCGGGGGGAGCCTAGACGCTGGCGTGAGGGAGGGGGATCTGCCCCCCCGTGGAGGAAGGCTGGAGGGGCGACGCGGAGACGGTCTGCCCTTCCACACCTTCCGGGAGCGAGGCGGGGGGGGCGCCATGGCCAGCCCTGCTGGGCAGCCCCCCCCGGAGCCTCGGGCCCGCTCCCGCGGCCCTCAGCCCCACAACCGCCGCACATGCAGCCCCGGAGGCTGGAGAGGCGGCCAGCGGCACGTGCGGTGCGGGCACCCTGGGCAAGGCGCTGGCCCGTGGCTCGACATCCCCACACGCCGCCCGGCCGGTTTTGCCGCATCAGCATCGCCCCCCCGCCCGCCCGCCGCCCTCCAGAGGCGTGTGGTTTGGCCTGGAAAAGTCCCTATTTGGCAATGGGCTCAGAGACGCAACCGCTTCCTCTTCCGGCAGGTGGAGACATCGCCATGGCAACCGCCAACGTGACGCAAAGCGGGACCTCAGGCGGGTCCTCCAACCCGCCGCCCACACGCAGCGCCCCGAGTGCCGAGCGCTCGCGATGCCCTCGAAGGCACGACCCGCAAACGCTGCCCGTCTTCAGCGGGACACGGGGGGCGCAGAGCCACGGTGCAGAGGGGACCCGGCTGGCGGGGGCGCGGCCCCAGGACCACCCTCCGTGCCGGGACATCGCCCCCGCCGGCCTCTGCCCCTGCCTTCCCGGTCCCCCTTGGGCTCAGCAGCGGTGTCAGGGGCCGGGGGCGGGGGCATGCCTCAACAGCTGGCCACCCCGCTTGCAATGCACGGTCCCGGTGGAGACGGGGCCACCAAGCCTTGCCCTGCCTCTGCGGCCACCCGGCCTCTCTCTGAGGCTGCACGACGAGCCCAGCGATGGTGCCGTGCCACCGCTGGGCAGAGGACCGCCGGGCCCCGGAGCTCCCGCTGAGGCCACCCCAGCCGCTGCGCCGCCACAAGGAGCTGGGCTGGGGCTCATGCGGCACGGGGCAGCCAGCCGGGCCGAGGGGCATCCACAGGTGCAGCCGCGGTGGCCCCGAGCCTCTGTGGGGGCGGGAGGTGGCCAGGGCACCCTCGCACAGCACGCGGAGCCCCCGGGACCACAGGGGCGCACTGTGCCGCAAGCCTGAGCCCCCCGCCCCCCATGGGCCACGCAACGGGGCGCCGGCCGGAGAGGGCCGGCCTCAGCTGCGCCGGCCGACCTTGCGGGCCTCGCCATGGGTCCGCCATTCAGGGACAGAGGACTCACTCACTCGATGTGCTCCTTGCGGCCGGAGCCTTCGATGGTTTTCGCCCCCCAGCGCTGCTCTTTCTCTGAGATGTCATTCTGCAAAAGAGCCCCCCCAGTACAAGATAACTCATCGTGCATCGGTCCGAGGAGTCGGGCGGCGTTTTCAAGGGTCTCCCAGGCCCCTCGCCGGCCTTCTCTGGAGCAGTTCCACCCGCGGTGCCAGAGAGGCCGAGGCCGCCGGCGTGTGGTGCTGACGGACCCTCCCCGGGCCCGGCTTCTCGCCGCCTGGTTTCCCTCGCCTTCCAGGGGCCACCGCCATGACTTGGGGGGCTCCAGCATGGCACCCCGCGGCCAGGGTTCCTCGCGGGCATCTCTCTGGGTACCATCCTGCCTCCCTGTCCCTCCCACCTTTGATCGTCCGACTTAATCGTGAGGCAAAAAGCCTTTTTCAGCCAGGCGGTTGGCCTGCCGCCAAGCAGTCCTGCCCTGCAGCACCCTCTTTATCTGGTTCGAAATGAAGTTTTGTGCTTTGGTGCCCGGAACGCCCCGTGCGCCGTGCATTTGGGTCCTCGGCGAGTTGCTTTCGTGTAGCCTCACAGTCCCCCTTCTGGCAGGTGAGCGCTTTGCACCTGGTGTGCCACTTTGCTGGGGCTCCCGTGGCACCTCTGGGGCTCCAGCCCCAGCCCCACTGTGGGAGGAGCACCGCCAGCCGGAGAGGGGCTGGGTGCGGGGCCGAGTCCGCCGAGGGGATGCCTCGGCCTGGGAAGCCTGAGCCACCGCGGGAGTCGGCCAACCGGCCCGACCGGCAGCCCTCCTGGAGTTCGGGTTGGGCTGCCTGCAGCTGGGAGGGGGGAGCCCACGGAGCTCTGGGGAGCCCCGGGAGCCGGAGGGGGCCCCGGGGAGTGCTCCGCAGCACAGCAGTGCGTGTCCTCCAGGCTCCGACTTTCTATGCCGCCTAGATATGGGGTGGGAGCAGATCAGCGATCAAGAGGATCTCGGCAGAACCAGGCTGCTGGTCCGCCCCCCTTTCCTCGCGCTCTGTGCTCAACCAGGTGGCAGCGGGGCTGCAGAAGTAAGCGCACCCCGCAGCAGCGGATCCGTGCTCAGCTCAGGGCTCCCCTGCTCCAGCCAACGAGGCAGTCCGGAGCACCACATCCGGGCGCCCGGAACAGCCCCAGCCCGGGGCACGGAGGAATGGGGGCTCACCACGAAATCGGGGTCCGTGTCCCAGTCGTCCCCCTGGGCCTCCGCCTTCACCGACACGCTGTGGCCTGCCGCAGCCTTCCACATCTGGGGGCCAGAGAGAGACAGCTGCACCCGGCTGCCATGCTGAGGCTTCGGGGGGGCCTTCGCCCCGTACCCGGCCCCTCGCCGCAGCCCCAGCGGAGATCCGGGCAGCCGTAGCCCCAGCACCCGCTGCGGATCGGAGCTGCCAGGATGCGGGGAGTGGCAGCGCTCTTGAGCAGGAGGGGGACGAAGGCCAGCACAGGCAGCGGTGGGGGATGATGGGAGCTGTGGGCCAAAACCACCGGAGTGCCGCACCGTGCCTGCGTCCTGGAAGAACAAGTCAGCTTGGGAAGGGAGCCGAACAGCCCAAGAGCTGAGCCTGCCAGGCGGCAGCCGAGTGGACGGAAGCGTCCTTCGGATGATGCCGGAAAAAGGGGGCCAGGCTGGGCAGACTTCCTAGTCCTGTGGGGTCTTCTCTGGCCCGCGTGACCGGTTTTACTACATGCTTCCCTTCGATCCAGCACTGAGGGATCTCCCCGTGGAAAAATCCTGCTCGGGACGACCCGTCAGAAGACACGGGCAAGCGGATGGTGCGCCCATGAAGGGTGCTGGCTTTTCCCCGCCCAGAATCTATGGGAAGTCTGGCCCTGTTTTGCTTTCGGCACCAAGTTAAGGCTTCTTTTATTTAGCATCTGCTTGTAGGTTAGCTTATTGGTTTGCTGCTGGTTTATGGCTTTCTTGGTTATTGTTATTGGTTATGATCTGCCTACATTCCCCCCGTTTCCGATTTATATGGCTGCAGTTATACCGCATTTTAGTGCCTTCCCCGCACCTTTCCACAAACGAAGGTCAATCACAGTGTTGGTCCCCTTCACACCTTCTCTTCAGCAGCCGTTGGAGGAAGCCAAAATCAGAAATAAGCCTCGGGGCGGCCTCGGGCATCCAATGACATGAGGCTGCCTCCTGCACTTCCCCAGCAGACCCCCCCCCCGCCCCCCAGCACACTGGACACACAAAGGTGTGCAAGGGCACACCTGCACACATCTGACTGGAAAAATAACATTTCAACAATTGTGCACACTTGGGGTGCATTTAGAAAAGGGGGCGATGGCTCACTGACAGCCCCTCCAACGCGCCTCCTGGGAGCTCGGAAGGGGCTTGCGCCAGCTGTCGCCTCGGAGATGCAAACATCGATCTCCAGGGGAAAGTGGATTTGAAAAGCCCCGGGGAGCCCAGAGGGGCTTGTGCTCATGGTGGAAGGGGGAGACAAGGGGGGGCTGCCCTGCGCCCCCCAGGACACATCCCGATCCCGCAACACGCTCTCTCAGGGTCACTGCTCAGAGAAGCCCCCACTTTCCCTCAGAATATCTCCCCACGTTGTCTCTGGTTGCTTCGACCTGCATCTTGGGCTGGTCTGGTCACATACTTTGTCGCCTCTTCCGGGAGAGAATCCGCTTTTAGAAATGATTCCTCACCTCTGGCACGAAGCATTTCTCCTCCATAATTTGTCTGCTTCTTCATTATGGAGTTTGCAAATGGGTTGTTAATGCTTCTGTTAATGTTTTGCATGAACGCTTTTTGTTTTGATTGTACATTTTTAAGGTTCACTGCGATGCATTTAGTCTCCCGGTAAATTTAGGGATCTGTTTCTAATATGATAAGGTTGCAAGCACAGGGCCGAAGCGCTGCTTGTGGGGCAGTGCAGGATTATTCCCCCTCCCTCTCCAAAGCCCTGCAGCCCCTGGGCTGGTGTGCTGTGCTGGGGGGGGGGGGAGGCTGGTGGTGCGGCACATCCACACCTGCCCGGGCCCCCTTCCCGGCCCTTCCCTGGTGCGTAAGCCAGGTGGCCAAAGCCGGCACTGGAAGCGTGGGAGCCGAAGCGCGCCTGAAGCAGCCCCCGTGCACCTGGGCCCGCCCCCCCAAAGCATTAAGCAGTCACTCAATTTTGCTCCCGCGTATGGCCTCAGCGTTACTGTTCTCATTGTTTGCTCTCCTAAATGCCAGTTTTCGCTTCTCAATTTGGCACGATATAATTTGAAAGTATTCCAGCTGAGATGAATCCTTAACATGTGGTCTCTCTGTAGAGCCAAGGTTCCATTTGGATGCCAGGAAGCCCTTCCTGACAGTCAGGACCCCGAGGGCGTGGAATGGGCTTCCCCGGGAGGTGGTTGAGGCCCCATCGGGGAGGGCGTTCCAGGATAGGCTGGACATGCCCATGGTGGGCATGTCGTGAGCGGAGCCGGCTGGGTCAGACTAGATGGCCCGGGAGGCCCCTTCTGACTCGCTCTGTTTCTATCTTTCTGTGTTTCAACATATGGCAATACACTATTGTAAAATAATAGGGCTTGTAATGAAAAGAGTCACTTTCTCCCTGCATTTTAAAGCTGGCTCTGCTGTTCAGGCCTTGCTGCTCAGCCTCCGGGCTTGAAGGCGCATGCAGGGGCTTCTCCGGCTGCCATCATACTGCGCCTGTTCAGGGAGAAGGACGTCCCGCAGCCTTGATGGCAAACGCCGGGAACCGCGGGACACCAGCCGGTCCAAGCACGCCCGGGATCGCACTGCTCTGCCTGCACGAATCCCCTGCCAGGCCAGTTTATTTATTGACGTGGAGCATTTCTATACCTTTGGGCTGGCACCATGCTCTCAATGCGGGATCCAGAAGCAGCTGGAGGTCCCTCGGCCCAGGGGCCCCCTGCCTCTGCCGGCTGCGGCGTCCCGGGGCTGCATCTGGGGCGCCCGTGAATTGATCCCGCGGAGGCGCTGGGCCGGCCGAGCCAGCTGTCTGGGCCAGGTGCGGGCAAGTGGACCGGGGCAGTGCTTGGAGGGTGCTGGCACAGAGCACTGCTTGGGGGCCTTGCTTGACACGCCGGCTGGGCCTGTGGGGAGCGTGGTCCACCGGCCTCCCTGCTTGGGCCAGCTCAACAGGCTGCGCCAGATGCCCAGAAGCTCCTGGGAGCCCAGCAGGGCTGAGAGTTAGAAACAGAAATATAGAAACAGAGCGAGTCAGAAGGGACCTCCCGGGCCATCTAGTCTGACCTCCGGCACCAGCCGGCTCCGCTCACGACATGCCCACCATGTGGACGTCCAGCCGAGTTGGTTCAGAGGTCGCCGCTGCCCCATCTCCTTCGGGGGTTGTGCTGACTTTCCGCCTGTTTCTGGGCCCAATTGATTTACAAAGCTCCAGGGGGGCTTGCTGCTGAGTAGACCTATCTAGGACTGCGCTGGAAATGAAAGCAGACTCGGCAGAGCACGGCAGCTCTCTCTGCCTGGGAAGGGGGGCTCTGTGGCAGCGAGGGGGACTGGGCCGGGGCCGCTGGCCGGGCTGGCCGCAGGTTCAGGGAAGGCTGCCTGGGGCCACGAGCCGCTGCCTTGCCTCACGCATGGGGCAGGGGCAGGGCGGCGGCAAAGCGACTCGGGTGCCGCCACAGAGAGCTGGCGTGCTTCTCCTGGACTGTGCTGCCCCACAGCCCCGGCCCCGGGGGCTGACGTGAAACCCCACTGGGCCCCGGGGGTCCCTGCAGAGCGCATCCGAGAGCTGCCACCTCTGTCTGTGGCCTGTGGCACACGTGCCCAAACCCGGCCACCCCGGCAGGGCAACACAGGTCCGGCCGGCACGCCCGTCCTCAGTCAGCCTCAACGCGGGGCAGTGCCCGCCCCCCTGCCGCCCCTGGCGGGCTCCGGAGGGATCCAGTGCCCAAGCTGGGGAAGGAAGTGCTGCGGGGGGGTGGCAGGAACCTCCCAGAGACACTGCTGAACAAGGTCAGCCTCCCACCAGGAAGCACCCCAGGCTGGCAGGCAGTGCCCCCCCTGCACACAGAGGTGCCCCCCCCCCCCATTGGGAGCCGTGGTACCTTATCTAGGGAGCCGCCCTTCCTCCACCGCTCGGCTGCCGCTTTCCGCTTGCTTTTCACCCCAGTTTCGGCTGCGACGACGACGTGCGCACCCAAGTTCCTGTTGCAACTTCACCAAACTTGTTCATTTCCTCTGGGCCCGTTTTGCCGCAGAACAGCCTCCCCTGACACGTGCGTGGGGTGGGGGGGTGCCAGAATGCGGGCCTGCAAGCAGCAGAGCAGTCAGGCCGTTTCCGACCCTGAAATTCAGGGTTTTATTGGGCAGGGGGGTCCTTTTTTCCTCCTTAGTTCCCCCCACCTTTCTTCCTTGCAACACCCTCCCCTTTCTGGCAAGACCGTGCTGTTCCCCTGCAGGGAGGACACGGGGAAGCACCAGCTGCCGCCACAGGCCCAGCAAGCCGGAGTCGCACGTGTGGCCGAAGGAACGGGCCCCGTGGGCTCCCCGGGTGGCGACCTGCGCCGGCTGCCGTGCCTGTTCCCCTGCCTGAGGCCAGCTTGGCCCGCACACGCAACCGGGCAAGCCACTAGCCCTGCCAGAGGGACAGGTGGGAGCGCCGGAGCAGCGAGTGCCCCCACCCTGCAAGGGAAGGAGAGAAGATGCAGAGTTTTTAGACAGAGTGATGGGACTGTGGCCGCTCAGAGCAGAACGGAAGCGAGAGGAGCAGCAGCGGCGAGCCGAGGCCGGGGAGGAGGATGAGGAGGAACCTGCTCGGAAAAGGGCGACGGGTGCAGGAGAAGCAGCAGCAGCGGTGGAACCGATGGAAGCACTTTCCGTTACTCAAGGATGAGGAGGCAGCCCAACAAAGACTCTGAATCTTAGGAAAGTCCATCTTAATAAACTCGGGACACTGATAAGCAGAGTTCCATGGCAAGCCATTCTAATGAGAAAAGTACTCCAAGATGGATGGGGATTTTTTAAAAAGGAAGTTCTAGAGTCACAATGGCATACAATTCTGATAAGGAAAAAAGGTGTAAACGAACCAGAAGCCCATGTGGCTTGTTGAAAGCCCTACGAGGAAAGATTGAAAGAGCCGGGCATGTTTAGCCTGGAGAAGGGAAGGCGGTGGGGAGGCAGGATAGGAATCTCCAAGCACCTGAAAGGCTGCCGCGAAGAGGAAGGCCCGGATCTCTTCTCGATCGGCCTGCAGCGCAGCACACGGCGCAACAGACTCAAGCTCCCGGCAGGCAGATTCGGGCTGGACATCAGGAAGCCCTTCCTGGCCGCTTGGCAAAGGAACCCACGGCCTGCGGATGGGGTGGGCTCTCCCCACACTGGAGGCACGCAGGACGCGGCCAGCCCGCCATCTGAGGGCGGTCTAACGGGGAGGCCTGCACTGAGCAGGAGTCGGACCTCCTGGCCCTCTGGCTCCTTCCAGCCCAACCGTTCCGAGATCCTCGCGTTCCTCGTGCATCACTCCAAGCAGCGAAGCACAGAGCGCGTGGTGCTGCCTTGCCTGTGGGAGAAACACCCGAACGTGTCCCGTCCCACACTTTAAACTCATTTAAATAAAAACATCAGCACGGCCGTGCCAAACACATTCACTTGGGAATAAGTGGTTCAGAGAGAAAGCCCTGTTAAAGTCACGATACAGGAAGCAGCATCCGTGGACAAGGACGTGTCCCTTGACTGGCTGCTGCCATGGAAGTGAGGCTGCCATGGCAAGCCACGGCCGTCCCCCTGGCCCCGGTGCCGATGCTGGGCCGCCTCGCCGCCACGCCATCACCCCGCACCCCCTGCGGATCGCTGACGGCTCTCTCCTCCAAGCGCCAGTCAGGCCTCGTCCAACGCTGCTCAGGGTGAGGGGCCACCGTGGCGTTTTCAGGACCGAATCCCATGTTTTAGCTCTGCACTAAGTGAAGACGTCCTTCCTTGCACGTGCTGTGAGTCTCCCGATCGTCTGGGTTGACTTCCAGTATTATGAACGATGCAGAAAAATGTCCCCCATCCGCCGTCTCCATGTTGCGTCTCCATGGACCCGCCGTTTCTCTGCACTGCACCCTCCCAGCCGTTGCAAACTTTCCAGCCCCTCAGCCCCTTCGGCAGCCCTGCCCTGCACTCTCTCCAGCTTCACCCCAGCCGATGCTTGCGTTGCGCCCCGTCTGTGGTTCAGAGGCCCCTTCGCCCGCTCTGGGGAGACCCTTGGGAGCTGCTCGCCATCCCTTCTTGTTTCAATTTAAGTTAGGAATAACTTAGTGGCGTCAGCAAACTTGGCCACCTCGTTGTTGCGATATTTCGGTGCTGGTCAAGTCATCTTCAATGTATGGGGACCCTAAAAAGGAAGAGCTCTAAAATGCCCTGACCGTCACATGATAGACGCACGGCTGTGGCCTCCCTTCCGGAATCACTCCGTCGCACAGTCGGCCCTCCGCGTCTTCCTCTGCCTCCGGCTTTCGCAGCATCATTGGCCACCTCAACGCCCACCCTTCATGCCAGAGCATTCATGAAAAAGCCAAAAACCACGTGTCCCAATACAGATTCCTGTGGGACCTGCCTCTGTTTATATCTCCCATCACAGTGATGGCGAGATTTTAGAGACCAAGTGCCCAAACAGCAACCCAAAACCCAGGTTGGGTGTAGGCACTTTGGCATTATTATTTTTTTTATAAAGGTTTTTATTTAAAAAATATAAAAAATTTGTTCTTTTGTCATATAATTGCTTCTGTCATTTCCATAGCTGTTACTTCTTGATCCAATAATTTTTGATACTTTTCTGGTAGCTTTGGTAAGTCTCCCTTTTGAATGTATTCTTTTACCTTCAAGTTCAGAATCTCTTCCTTCTGGTATAACCTTGGGAAAAAGTCTTCAGCTATTTTGCGTATTTTGCACCTAGAGTCGTCGTTCACCATCTTTCAGTTTCAAAATCAGTCTCTTCTCTCTTTCTTTTTTTACTTTATATGCTAGCCACCTCCCCGGTTTATAAGCATTTTCAAAAAACTTATGTTTGGCTGATTTCATTTGCTTAGTAATTTCATTTGTACCCAAGAGATCCAATTTGTGCTTTAAAGTCTTCATTTGGACCCTAAGATTTCTTTTTGTTGGATCCTCCTGCAGTTCTTGTTCCCGTTTCCTCAGTTCTTCTACTAATGTTGCTCGCTCTTGCTTTTTCTTTTTTGAAAAAACCTTCCTTGAGTAGCTTTTTCCGCTCAGCTCATCATGTCTGCCAACTCTAAACACATTGCAACCCTCAGAATCATGCCGGGACAACTCCTTTTTATAACCCTAACCCTACCCTGGTGCACACCCCTAACCCTAATATAGGGCTAAAGTTCCATGGAAAGGTGGTGATTTTGAAAAAGCCTTCCTTGAGTAGATTTTTCTGCACAGCTCGTCACTCCTGCCCATTCTGAACACATTCCAACCATCGAAATCATGCTGAGATGCCTCCTTTTTCTAACCCTAACCCTACCCTGGTGCACATCCCTAACCCTAATGCAGGGCTAGAATTCCACTGACAGTGGGTGATTTTGAAAAAGCCTTCCTGGAGTAGCTTTTTCTGCCCAGCTCATCATTTCTGCCCATTCTCAACACAATCCAACCATGAGGATCATGCCAGGACACCTCCTTTTTCTAACCCTAACCCTACCCTGGTGCACACCCCTAACTCTAATACAGGTCAAAAGTTCCATTGAAAGGGGGTGCTTTGGAAAAAGGCTTCCTTGAGCAGCTTTTTCTGCACAGCTCATCATTCCTGCCAACTCTAAACACATTTCAACCCTCAGAATAAAGCCAGGACACCTCCTTTCTATAACCCTAACCCTACTGTGGTGCACACCCCTAACCCTAATACAGGTCAAAAGTTCCATTGAAAGGGGGTGATTTGGAAAAAACCTTCCTTGAGTAGTTTTTTCTGCACAGCTCATCATTTCTGCCCATTCTAAACACATTGCAACTCTCAGAATAATGCCAGGACACCTCCTTTTTCTAAGCCTAACCCTACCCTGGTGCACACCCCTAACCCTAATACAGGACTAAAATTCCATTGAAAGGGAGTGATTATGGAAAAGCCTTCCTTGAGTAGATTTTTCTACACAGCTCTTCATTTCTGAGAACTCTAAACACATTGCAATTCTCAGAATAATGCCAGGACACCTCCTTTTTCTAAACCTAACCCTACCGTGGTGCACACCCCTAACCCTAATAAAGGCTTACAGTTCCATTGAAGGGGAGTGATTTTGGAAACGCCTTCCTTGAGTAGATTTTTCTACACAGCTCATCATTTCTGCGAACTCTAAACACATTCCAACCCTCAGAATAATGCCAGGACACCTCCTTTTTCTAACCCAAACCCTACACTGCTCCACACCCCTAACCCTAATAGAGGGCTTATTTTCCACTGAAAGGGGGTAATTTTGAAAAAGCCTTCTTTGAATACTTTTTTTCTACACAGCTCATCATTTCTGCGAACTCTAAACACATTCCAACCCTCAGAATAATGCCAGGACACCTCCTTTTTCTAACCCAAACCCTACACTGCTCCACACCCCTAACCCTAATAGAGGGCTTATTTTCCACTGAAAGGGGGTAATTTTGAAAAAGCCTTCTTTGAATACTTTTTTTCTGCACAGCTCATCATTTCTGCCCATTCTAAACACATTCCAACTCTCAGAATCATGTCAGGACACCTCCTTTTTCTAACCCTAACTCTACCCTGGTGCACACCCCTAACCCTAATACAGGGCTAAAGTTCCATGGAAAGGGAGTGATTTTGAAAAAGCCTTCCTTGAGTAGCTTTTTCTGCACAGCTCGTCACTCCTGCCCACTCTAAACACATTCCAACCCTCAGAATAATGCCAGGACACCTCCTTTTTCAAACCCTAACCCTACCCTGGTGCACACCCCTGACCGTAATAGAGGGCTAAAGTTCCATTGAAAGGGGGTGATTTTGGAAGCGGCGTCCTTGAATAGCTTTTTCTGCCCAGCTCATCATTTCTGCCCATTCCAAATGCATTCCAAGTGTTTAGAATGCCAAACACCTCATTCTACTGCCCATTCTAAGACATCCCAACCATCGAAATTATGCCAGGTCACTTACCTTTTCTAACTCTAGCCCAGTGATGGTGACCCTAAAAGGGTCTAAAAGAGACTGAGTGCCCAAACTGCATCCAAAACCCGCTTATTTATCGCAAAGTGCAAGCACAGCAATCAAACCTGAAAACTGAGGTTTTAGTTCAGAAAAAACAACTCTCAGCCGGTCCAAGCAAATCTATCTACCTTTGGTAGCACGCCGACCTGTCATGCGAAAGCTCCGGCAGGTCACAGCTTGTGACATCATCAGCTGGCGCCGCTGCTCCTTTCCCAGCATGCCCATGGCCCTGTGTGCGCCATTACCCTATGCTCGGATGCTGGGGCGACCTGGCTCGCCTGCCAACAGAGCTGTACAGGTCTTATTGGAAGTACTGGCCCTTTATTCCTAGCCTGCTTTCTCTTCTTTAACCACGTTCTAGTCAGTAAGGGGACCCTCTCCGCTTCCATTCTGCATCTTCTTGGGTTGCTCAAGAGTTTATGGTCAGCAGCTTTCTGAAAAGCCTTTTAGAAGTCTAGGAAAAACGCCTGTCAGGCACAGGCTGCCCACCTGTCTGACGCTCCCAAGGAACCCCGAAAGGCTCGCGGGCCAGGCGACACCGTGGTGGACGCAACGGCAGTTCTCCCTCTGCAGGGCTTGCCCTCCTACGCGCTTCCTAACTGTGTGCTCAGTGTGGCTTTCAACTAATTTACCTGGAAGAAATGCTGAGCCAGTCAGCCTGACACTCCCGAGTCCCCACTGGATCCTTCCCGAGAAACTGTGGCTAGGCTGGCCGGCGTCGCGTCCGCTGGTGCAGAGGCTGGTCTCACCGCGCATGCAGCACGTCCTCAAGATCAGCAGCGCCACCGGTCACTTCGTAAGAAATCCAGGCTAGACCACATCTGGGGGCGCTAACTGGCTGGCCTTCATGTTGCATTAAAACAGGCCATCCTTGAACATTGTGGCTCATCGGCCCAGGAAGCCTCTTGCGACGGTGATGCTCTCAGAGGTACCGAGGACGACATGGTGCAAGTGCCCACCCGGCCACCCAAGGCGGGAGCTCCACTGGGGAAGCGCCACGTGGAGCCCACAGGCCCCTGGGACCAAGGCGGGAACGACCCCAACGGCCTCAGTGAGCAGCAGGGCGGTAACGGGGAAGGGCTCCTCCCAGGCATCCAGGCCCCAAGTTGCTCAGGGCCTTGTGCATCAATGCTCGGCGCCCGGCCGGCAGCCGCCACGGTCCCTGGACCAAGGAGCTGCAGGCTGGAGGGGCAGGGCCCACAGCAGCCCCACGGAGCGGACCGCAGCGCTCCAGCCCCAAGGTTGCGGATGCCGACAGCGCTGCCCAGGAACGCTGCAGCCGGAGGCCCCCGAACACGCTCCCCAGCGGCCGCTTTCTTCTTTTCCGTGTCAGGGTGAAGACCTTTTTATGTTCCCAATAGTTGAACATATAATTGCTTTTATCTTTGAGCTTGTCATTAATGGTTGGATGCAGTGTGTTGTGTGTGTTTTGTTTTTTGGAAGCCGTCCAGAGACTTTGCACAGCATATAAAAACTTTAAAGAAAGAACGCAATAAAGGAAGGGCCTTTGGTTGGTCCTCCTGTGGCGCCGGCACGTCTGTATTTGTTGCCTTCTGACACGGTGAGGCTGGAATGGTGAGGCTGGAATGAAGCCTCGTCTCGCAGAAGCGGCTGGAAAGGAACGGGGGACTCCAAGGAAAGCCGCCCGTTTGCCTCGGCACGCTTTTACGGAGGCATCCTGCTGGCCTCCACCGCGCCTTCCCCCCCGGCATCCCCAGGGGCTGCTTGGGTGGGGGCGCCCGGGCCACGGGGTCCGTGGCAGAGCGACACCCTGGCATGGGCACGAGGCACTTTCCACAGAGGGAGGGAGGGAGGGCCTGGAGCCCACATGTGGGGCGCCAACACCCAGGATATGAGTACAAAAAGCCCCCCTACTGCAGATGCTTAACCCCCCCCACCCCAACCACAACCGTGCACACAGAAATGGGGACGAGCAAACACCCTTTTCTATCAAGCTTGCCGTTCGCTGGAGGGGGGGGGACACCGGAGCGGCTCGTGACGAGCCTCACTCTGCAGGGAGCTTGTCGTGTCGGGGCTGCCCAGCACCTTCTCAGCACGGCAAGCAGCCCGGCAGGCCCAGGTGCCCCCGGGGTCACCACCTGGGGGGTACCATGCAGCTCTTCTGCCCTTTCCTCCGTAACCGATGGCCCGCTGCACGAACGAAGACGGAAGCAGCAGCGAAAAAGCCTGGAGCGTTCCAGGCGGAAGATGACGACGTGCCGCCACCCCAAGTGTGGAGTGTCCGTGTTTCCGCTCTGGTACTGGGCAGAGGAAGCCGGGCACTTCTCCCCCTCGCTCACAGCAGCAGAGCCAGTGAAATCCAGCGACGGGCTCCCGGGCAGGCGGAGCGGCCGCTTTTCGTCACGACACGAGGGTGCGTTTCCAGCACACGGGGCGTGGGCAGCCACGAACCCGGACAAATGCGCGAAGGGGAACCTGACACGCTCGCGGGAGGCCTCCAGCGGCCACAAGGCGCCTCCTGTCCCAAAGGCCGTGCCTGCTCGGAGCACGTCGGCGGATTAAGTGGCACCCGAGTTCCTTGCTACTCGCTGAATGAAGCTTCCGGGAGTAGCCGGGAGGGACATGGAGCCGTGCCCGGGGCACTCTGAGCCATCCTCATCCTCCCGGAAGGGGCGGCTGTGTCCCGGTGAGCACGAGGGCGACGCCAGGCCTTGAGTCGGGGCCCCGTGCCACCAACCGCCCACCCTGGCCTCTCCGCCAGGAACGGCTGTTCCCGAGGCTGTTCCAGTGCGGCGTGTTTCCAAACACGCCCATAAAACGGAGACCAAACAACTGAGGGCAGCCTAAATCTCTCCCCCCACCCAGCCACAGGAACGGCCTGCAGAAGGGGTGTCCGGCCGTCACAGCACCCACTCCACTCCACTCCACTCCACTCACTCGGAAAAATAAGACTCTTTATTGCACAAGGAGGGGGTTTCAGAGGATCGGGAGAGAGGACTCAGGGGCGCCCAAAGCAGTGCTGCCGGGCCTACGCCGGAGGGGCAAGGCCCCCGACAGAGAAACCGAGACCTTCCTGCTACCAGGCCACTGGGGACCGTGAGGGACGGGCCCTCCAGGCTGGCGCAAGGGAGGCGGGGGGCAAGGGGACGCCCCAGGCCTGTCCTGCGCCTCCGGAGCTACACGGAGCCCTCTGGCAAGGGAGGGGTCAGCACGGGGCTCCCCACTGTTTCTCCCCCCACATGCAGTGCAAGGAACTGGCCAAGGCCATCACCCCGCCAAGCCCCAGGCCAGACCGGTGCCGAGGGACGGCCGCCCGTCGTCTGGGGAGACGGGGCCAGTCGGGGCTGTGCCCGAGGCCTCCCTCCCCGCAAGTGCAACCTTTCCAACCGCTTGGGCTCTCGGAGAATGACAACGGGTGCAAAAGAAAGGCCCACAGCAAGCTAGCGGTCCATCCAGTGAACTTGGTCCCTTCCCAGAATCAAGTGGAAAACCTGAGCCAAGGCCCACGCACGGAGGAGCCACGGCGTGGGCACGCTGCAGCTGCACCCCGGCCTGGGGGAGGCGCTCTCCGCAGTCACGCACCTGCCCGACCGGAGAGGGGGGCGTCTCCCCTCCAGCGGCCTCCCCCGCCCCCACCGAGCGCCCGGCAAACTGTACGAATGTCAATGCTTAGAGAACTCAAACCCTTCATAACAGCGGAGTTAACGGCCGTGCGCTGGCCGGGGGCCGTGCGCGCCTCCACACACTGGAAGCCTGCGCAGGCCTTGCAGCGCTCCCGAGCAGCACGCCGCCGCCATGCCTGGCCCAGGCAGCAGCCACCCCAATGCTTCCACACTCCCCACGGCTGGCCGGGCCAGGGGCCTCGCTCACAAGCGGCCCGTGACACAGAGCAGCAGCAGCAGGTGCACCGCGAGAACGTAGACGGAGGCGAGGAGGGGCAGGCGCCTCCGGGAGCAGAAGAGCGAGCGCAGGGCGCGCCGCAGCCCCGAGCCTCCACGAGCCTGCGGAGAGAAGCAGAGGGGGGCGCTCAGAGGGCAGGCGCCATGGGGTGGCCTCACCCCGAGGCTCCTGCCGACAGGGAGCGCCCCGGGGGAGGAGCCCCTTGGGCTGGGCTTCCAGAGGCTCCCTGCGTCAGCGCCCGGCCCGGCCCGGCCTGGCCCAGCCCTGGTGGGCACACAATTCTTCCTTCTGATCCCCAAGGAAAATTGCATCCAGGCATGCAGGAAAGTTGGAGGGGGGCAACTTCAATGGGCAGGGAAAAGAGCAGCTCCCCCCAGGTGCGATCCCAAGGGCCAGACGGGGAGGCGTGGGCCGTGTCCCGCAGCAGCGCGTGCCTCAGGGCCTGAGCGCATGACGGGGACCCCTACCTTGCTGAAAGCGCCATCGGACGGGCCCACAAGCAGCGCCTGCTCGGAGCTGGAGCGCATCTCGATGGCGGTGTCCAGGGGATGCGCCCAGTCACTCAGCTCCAGCCTGGGCAGGGGGGAGGGAGAGACAGACGGGTCAGTGCCCCCCGCGACTTACGAACGGGGGGCCGTGCCAGGGGAGCAGAGACGGCTGGATGCGTGAACGGTCGCAGAAGCGCCCCTTGAGTGCCTGATGCGCAGACTGCGCTTCTGAGAAGGGAAAGGAAACCGGCAGAGAGCATTTCCTGCTCTGGGTTTGCTCTCTTGGGGTCATGCACCCTTCCTCGAGTCGGGGGGCCGGACTGCGAGAGCGAGCAAAGGACCGGCCCCTGGCGGGGGGGCACAGCCCTCCGCCAGCACCTCCCGAGAGAAGGCTTCCCGGTGCCAGCCCCCCGGGGGCGCCGCACTCACCTGCGGAGCTGGCCCTGGGCCGCGCAGAGCGCCTCCTCGGCAGCCAGGCGCCGGTCCCGCTCCTCCTGCAGCAGCTCCTCCAGCTGCAGCAGCCCCTCCTTTGCACAGCTCTGCTGCTGCTTCGCCTCGGAGAGCCTGGGGGGGAGGGGGGCGCTGTGAGGAGACCGCGGGGGCGCTCCCGGGGCACGGGCCGGGCGGGCCGGAGGAGGGGGCTGCCCACGGCCGGGGGAGCAACACCCCACCCCCAAGCGCCACTGGGTCGCACACCCCACGTGCCCCAGCCTGCGGCAGCGGGTGGCCAGCAGCTGGGGAAGCTGCGTTCCGGCGCCACCGGCTCCCGGCCTGCCCTCCCGACGCCCCCAGCGGCCGGGGGTTCGAGGCAGCGGGCGCTCTCGGCCGGGACCCCGGCAGTCCAGGGCACACGGTCCGGGGGACGTGCAGGGGCACCCCACGAGGCAGTGCCGCCAAGGCACCCTCCCTCTCCAGCTCGCTCACCTCATCTGCAGCTCCTGCAGCTCCGGGGTGTAGCTCTCCCTGGGGTGCTCGCTTCTTTCCTGGGGGGCTCCAGGAGCAGCATCGGTGGGGAGGGTCCCCTGGGAGAGAAAGCGCCCCTGAGGCATCAAGGAAGCCTTTGCCCTGGCCTCCCACCCGTGCCCACTCGGTCAGCCGGGCACTGCTGGCCCACCAGGCAGCCCGGAGGGGCCTCTGCGGCTGTCCGGGCAGAGCTCGGAGGGGCCCCCCAGGGACGGCGCTGGCACAGAAGGCCCCACCCGGCCACAGCTGCTGGAGAAGAGCCGAGGCTGCCCTCCCACCCCCCCGGCGCCCCAGCCCGGCCACACCTCAGCTGCCCCAGGACCTTCCCCATCACCCGCAGCCTGCCGCCCTGGCACTGCGGGGGGCTGAGCGGAGGCCTCTGGCCCAGAGAGCCCGCGTCGCGGCCCCAGAGCCCCCTCACGCTGCACTCCGGGAGCCCACGGAGGAAACCGCGCACGGCCCCCAGAGAGACCGTTCCTTCCCGGGGGCCCCAGCAGGCCCTCCCGGACGACAGGGCCTGCCCCGCCGCCCACCGCTCCCGGGGGCTCACCCCGTCCTTCCCCGGCGGCTGCAAGCCCTGCAGCTGCTTCTCGAGCGCCTCGCAGCGAGCGAGGGCCTCGGCGTAGTGCTGGTGGGCCTCGCGCAGGTTGCGGCTGCTTCCCCGCAGCTGGAGAGAGAGGGCGTTCTTCTCCTCGAAGACCTGGGAGAGCTGGGGAGGGGGCCGCCGGGGAGCACAGCTGAGACCCCGCTGAACAGCCCCCACCAGTGCTGGCCCCCTGGGCAAGGCCCCTCAGGCTCAGAGTGCTCCTCAGCCTCGGACCCCTCCCCTTGCAGGGGGCTCCCTGCAGCTGGGGGCACGGCACACACCACGGGGCTCGGCCCTCCTGGGGATGGAAGGAACCCCACGGGCCTCCACCATCCTGGGAAAGAAGCACCTCTGGCCAAGGAGGGTGGGCAGGACCCCCATAGGGGCAGGACGAGCACGAGCCCACGACCGTCAGTCCCAGTACGCTTAAGTGTGCCCCTCACCTGGCCCCCCCCGGCCCCCCTACCTTGCTGTTGAGCTGCTGGATACGCGCCTCCTTCCGGTGCAGCTGCTCCAGGCTGCTCCGCAGCTGGCCCTGCAGAGACGCCGCCTCGCTCTCCTGGGCAGCGGCCCCTCCGCCCTTCAGCGCCTGGCCGGGACGCACCATCTCGCGAGCGGCCTGTAGGGAAACGCGCTCAGTTCTCCCCGAGGGAGCCGGCCGTGCCCAGGCCTTGTCCTGCGGGCTCCGGCCCCCCGAGAACGCAGCCGAGACCCAGGCCCCCATGCGCTCGGCACCGCCACGCTCCCCTGTGCTGCCTCTTAGCGTGGGGTCGGGGTCCCCTGCTCTCGGGAGCTGCGGGCGGGCAGGCGGCCACAGGGATCAGAGGGTTCTTGCGGGGTCCCGGGGCTCCCTCTTCTGGCCAGGGAGCACAAGAGCAGCCTGCTGGATGCAGGACCGGGCCAGCGTCAACTGCGGCCGGCCACCTGGGCCGTTAGGAGCACCGCCGGGCAGCCCCGAGGGAAGAGCTACAGAGAAACCGGCTCTTCCCTCCAGACGCTGCCTGGTGTTGCTGGGCTCTCTGCGCCTCCTGCAGCCTGTTTCTGGAGACTCTCTGCCGGTTCCCTCACTCCTGCCTCCACCTTTAGGCTGCGCCCGGCTTCACCTGCTCCGCCTTCCACGCCAATCCCAGGAACCGCTTCTCCCCGGCTGGTCTCTCTGGCTTTCGACTCCTAGTCGGTTTTGACTACTCTTTGCCATTTGGACTGGCCTACCTAGCTCTTCTGCGACCTGCCTTGACCTCTGGACTGCCTGACCACCATCTTGAAGAGCCCCGTCTAGCGCACCGGTTCTCTGGGTCCTGGCGCCCTGACCTGCTAGCCAGCCACCCTCCCCCCGGACACGGATTTTTATTCCCTCCAAAACTGTTTCCTGGGGCTCTCGGGACGTGCAAGAGCAACCAGAACAGAAATGTAAAGCTACACGAGAACTTTTCACGCTGAAGGCAAGCCGACAGCAGAGCAAAAGATGGAAGATCTCTCCAATGGATTCTGCAGGGGACACACCAGTCCAGTCCTCGTACGAATTAGCCCAAGACTGAACTGCTGCTCGCTGCACGTGGCACCGGCGGGACTGAGCCAGGGAAGGAAGGTGCAGCGGGGGCCCGTCTCACCTGCCTCTGGCGCTGCTCCTCTGCCACAGCAGGTGCGTCGGCTCTCTGCAGGTGGCCCCATTGCTGCTCCGCAGCCGACGCGGCCTCCAGCTCCCAGGCTGCCTTCTCCTCCCTGCCAAAACACCGGAGGAGGGGAGCTGGGGAGGGAGGGGACCTTGCGTGGCCCAGGGGGAGGAGGGCAAGCCGAGCGCCGAGTCCCACGCGCCTGTTTTCCGGCAAGCTCTGACACGGTGACCTGCTGTGGCCACCCTGGCTGAGCCCAGTGGAACGGTAAGCCGCGTGCTTCAGCCGGTGCCGACGGGAGCTCGGCTCAGGCTCAGCCGGGGCTTTCACGCTACAGGAGCGGGTGGCTCACGCCCAGCCCCGAGGGTCCCGAGCCCTCGGAAACAGCAGGGTGCCTTTCAGCGCCCTCGCCCTAGGGGGTGGGGCAGGGATGCAAGCCAGGCCTCCCATCAGTCGCCAGCCGGCTGCAAGCGGGGGCAGCGGAGGCGCCTGCCCAGCGGAAGGAGCGTGCGCAGCACCTCCAGGCCGGCCTTGTTCAGCGGGATCGGCGGGCTCTGCAGAGGGTGGCTCTCGCAGCTGGACTACCAAGCCCGGAGGCTCGGGAGAAACGTCAGCGCGTGGAGTGCTCGGCCCAGGTTCAGCTCCTGAGCCCGCCCGCCCCGCGGAGAGTGGGGCTGCCTCCTCTGTGCCCCGCTGGGGAGGATGGATGGGAGGGGAACATGGCAAAGCCAAAAGAGGGAGCCACCCGCGAAGGCCCAGCACGCCGAGCTCTGCGCCAGCTGCCGAGACCTGCCCGGATCACGTGGGTGGCGAGGCGAGGCGAGGCGAGGGACGGCCCTGCACGTCTGCGCAGCGAGAGCGGCTGGCCACAGAGGAGGAGGAGGAGTGGCTGCAGCGGCCGGGTGCCCCCCGCCTGCCACGCTGCCGCCATCCCGGCGAGCCCGCCCTCACCTGAGCTGCTGGAGCTCCAGCTGCCGGGAGGCGCCCTCCTCTTTCAGCCGCTCCGTCTCCCGCTTGTGCTCCTGCAGCTCGGCCCGGAGGCGCGCGATCTCGGCTGCATCCACCCCGGCCTGCAGGTACTGCTGCTGCAGCTTCTTCAGCTCCTCCACCTGCGTGACGAAAAGAGCGGAGTCGGGCAGTCACCGCTGCGGGATGGGCTGCCCGGGCCGACACCTCCAGAACGCCCCCTTGCGACAGCCTCGGGGGAGACCTGCCCTTCCTTGGTCCCTGGCACACAGCAGCCTCTCAGCTGAGAGGCCAAGAAGGTCTCTCTCGTGACCGCGTGGATCATCTCCCCCCAACAAAAGCACGCATTCCTGTACACTTTCTCCCCAGTTGCTTCTGGTTATTTTCTCCGAGTGTGACTTTAAAAAAAGACTTGGAATCCAGAACACGGAGCCTCTTTTGAGCCTTGCAAAGAGAACCCAGGTGCATGGGCACCCAGGCCTCCGATTAAAGGGTGGGAGGCGATGGAAGGGAACGTCATAGAATTTGACCACCAAAAACAAACTCTTTTTTTAAAAACAGGACGGCAAAACAAATACCCAGCACGTTTCTAAGCCCTTCGAACTAGAGCGAAAGACTCGAAAGGGGAGCAGGTCGAGCCAGGCGAAACTTCCCAGGGACGGCTGCCGTTTTCCGAGGAGCTCCCTCTGCGCTTCCGCCTCCTTGTGGCTGCTGGTGGCAGAACTAGGCAAACCCAGCCAGCTTCTTGCCAGTCCGTGCGTGAGCTTGGCGTACTTTGGACAGGCCTCGAAATCCGGCTCTGTGAGGTGCAGAACTTGAGCCGAGAGCGGAAGCACCTCCCAAGGCGACTCGGCCCCATCCGGCAGCGTCTGTGCCAATTGCACGGCCGGCTGATCGAGGCTCCTACTGCCCACCCCCGAAATAGCGCCATGGCGCCCCTCGTCTTGGCCCACGGGGACGGGGCAGCCGGAAGCCGCCCGAGGCCCAAGCAGCTCAGGCCAAAGCCAACGTCCACCTCCATCTGCACCACCCAGGAATTCCCCTGCCCCTTCCGGGAAGGCCCTTCGAGGCTGCCTGCAGGCACTCCCTCCTGGGGATGATGGGCCTACTGGCCCGGCTCTGCGCAAGCCAGGCCAGCTGTGGCCTCTTCCCACTCCCCCAATCGGCCCCCCGCCCCCGCCCCTTCCCAGAGAGACCCTCCGCAAAGCGACACACGCGCTCCAGGACGAGGGCCGAGGGAGCACGTGACCCTCGGCACGCTGCATTGGTCTCTCCTGGGGGCCCGAGGGCTGCACGCCTGTGCGCCGGCGCTCAAGCTCAAGCACCCTGGCGAGCAACATGCGTCGCACGCAGAACCGACGCGTGCCCAAGAGGCCTTCCGCGTCCTGGCACCCGCCCTGTCCAGGTAGACCCAGCCTTCTTCCGGGAAGCGCTCTGGCAAACCCTCCATCCTCCGGGAATTTTTGCTGCCCGCCCTTCTCCTCCCCCCGCAAATCCCCCCCCCCCCCCCCCCCCCGCTGAAGGACCTGGAACTTCTTCAGCAAAAGAACCAAGAGAAAGGGGAAAAGACAGGGAAAGCAACAGACGGTATGGCTTCCTCCAGAGGAGGCCTGTTGCCAGAGCACCCAAAGGAGTGGGCAGGGGTCTCTGAGCCCAGGGCACCGCAGAGCCACCCCCAGAAACCTTTTCCTTCTGCCTGGGGGCTCAAGAGCCACCTGCAGCTCAAATTTAAGCTCAAATTTTTGCACCCCAAATTCAAGCGCTCCCTGCCTCAGAGACCCCATTTCCAGAAAGCCACCCAGTGATACGGCGATGGGATGCTTTCTTCTAGCTCTGGGGGAGCAGAATTTCCATCCTGAGGTGGCCCGGCCACGGCCCAGACAGCCACGAAAAGGCCCAGAGCACAGCGTGTGCCCGGGATGCGAGGAAGATGCTCCAGCCCCCTGGAAACGCTAGGCTGAGGGCCCTGCGAAAGCCCCGGACTCACCAGCCTGTCGCGGTCGCTCTGCAGGGCCGACAAGGCCTTCTTGAGGCTCGGCACCTCGGCGAAGCCGGGCGAGGGCTGGGCTGCCGACGGCCCCTTCGCCTCCTCCTCCCCCTTCCGGGCTCTGTCCAGCTCGCTCAGCAGGCGGTCTCGCTCGCCCTGCAGGCTCGCCAAGGCCTTGGAGAAGGACTGCACCTGGCCGGAGGCCCCCTGGAGCTCTGCGGTCAGGCGGGCGAGCTCCGTGTCCTTGGCCCGCAGCTGCTGGCTGAGCTCTTCCAGGCGGGCCAACAGGCCCTTCTCCTCCACGGAGTCCCGGAGGGTGGCCAGCTCAGCAATGAGGGCGTCCCGGTGCTTGGCAAGGCTCTGCTGCTCCCCCTCCAGCCGGGCCTTCTCCTTGCGGAGGCTCTCCGCCAGCAGGGCCTGCTCCGCCATGCCCTCGGAGTGCTGCTTCTCCAGGGCACGCAGCGCTTCGTTGGACTGGTCCCAGCTGTCCTGGAGGGAGCCCATGGCCTTCCTGAAGGAGTGGATCTGGGCCTTCAGGTCCTGGTTCTCCTCTGTGACGGCGAGGAGGCTCTGCTCCATCTCCAGGAGGTCTCTGGCCAGCTCCGCCACCCGCTCCTCCGCCGTCTCGGTCTCGTTCCGCATGAGCCCGGCGTCGTGGTGCAGGCCCCTCAGCTCCTCCTTCATCCTGGCCTCGGCCTCGCGCACCGCCTGGGCCGTGGCCTGGCGCGCCTGGGCCAGCTCCTCCTCCAGCTCCGCCACCCGCTGCTGCACGAGCGAGAGGCAGCCGCTCAGCTCCTGCGCCTCCTGCGCCTTGCTCTGCAGCCGGGCCTGCAGCTCCGGCAGGGGCCCGTCCTCGAGCAGCGCGGCCATCTCCCGCTGCAGCTGGGCGAGAGAGGCTCTGAGGGCCTCCGCCTCCTGCCCCGCAGAGCGCTGCTCCAGCTGCAGCCGGACCACGGCACGCTCGGACTCCTCCCGCTGGCCTTCTGCCTCGGCCTTCTCCTTCTCCAGGGCCCGGATGCGCTCCAGCTGGGTCTGGAGCAGCTGCTTCTGCTGGCAGTCCTTGATGGCGATGAGCTGGTTCAGGTCCTCGCGGTAGCGCACCAGCTCGGCGTCCAGCTTGGCGTTCTCGGCGTGCAGGTCGTCCATCCGGCTGTGGAGGCTGCGGAGCTGCTCTTTCAGGGAGTTGTTCTCGGCAGCCGCTTCCTGGATCAGCTGGTCTTTCTCCAGGATGGCGGCCAGGTGGCGTTGCTCCAGCTGCCGATAGTCTCCCAAGACACGGTCTCGGTCGTCCTGCAGGGAGGACATGGACTTGAGGAAGGAATCCAGCCGGGCCTTGTGCTGCTGGCTCTCCTCCCGGGTGCTCTTCAGCTTCTCCATGAGAAGATCGGCCTTCTCCAGAGCTCTCTTCTTCTCTGTCTCCAGGACTGCCCTCTCCTCTCCCGCCTGGCCAATTCTGCTCTCCAGCTCTTCCAGCGCCTCCTTGTGCTGCTGCTGCAGCTCCAGCACCGCTGCTGCCACAGCCTCTTCCCTGGAGGCAACCAGGTGGATGATCTTCTGATCCTTGCTGCTCATCTCTTCATGCAGCCTCTCCGTCAGCTCCTTGGAAGCCCGCAGGTCTGCTTCCAGCTGCTCCTGCCTGAACCGGCATTCCTGGAGGCTGGCCTCTTGCATCCTGGCCGTCTTCTCCGCATCTCCCCGGGCAGCCTCACTCTCTGCAAAGGAGCCCTGCAGCTCAGCAAGCTGCTCCCTCAGACTCCGCAGTTCTGCCTCGGACTTTTGGACCTGGTTCTGGGAACTGCCGAGCTGTTGCTGCGCTTCCTCAAGCTGTAAGACAAGCTTCCTTTTCTCCTCCTGCAGCAGCTCGGCTTCTTCTTGGCGACGCTGAAGCTCCTTCTGGGTACTGGACTCCTGGGCCAATTTGTTGTGTTCCAGGCTGCAAGCGGAGGAGGCAGAATCAGACAAAATCCAGGGACGCCCCGTTCGCCCCCCCCCCGTGCCTTCCCTCAGAAGCCTTCTGCCAAAGCACTTGGGACCCCCTCGGCTGCCGGAAGATCCCTAAAAGGGCACTGGCAAAGCGGGCTCAGGTGGAAGGAACCGAATATGCAAAACCCAGAAAAGCTAAGAGGAGGGGATGAATTTAAGAACAGGCCAAAAGGAGGGAGGGAAACTGGCCATGGGACCCAGTCAACTGAGGGCAAGAAAGCCTCTTGCTCTGAATCCTAGAGGGGCAGCTTGGCACCGTGCCATCCGTTTCCTTGCCCCAAGGGGAATTAAGCTCTCCAGGGAGGTCCTAAGGAGCGAGCAGCAGAGGCACTGCATCCGCTTTCCTCGGGACACAGGGAAGAAAGACTCATGCAAGAGCAGAGCTGGAAGGGGCCATGAAGGCCATGGGGTCCACCCCCTGCTGCTCCAAGATACCACGTCGCACCACCCCACTCCAATGGCTGCCCAGTTTCTTTCCGAAGGTCCCCAGTGCGCGAGAGCCCCCCACCTCTCCAGGCAGCTAGTCCCACTGGTGCTGGACCGCAATGACCCAGCAGCCCCCTTCCACCCAGGCAACCGCCTGGCTGCCCGCACCATCCTGGCTGGGGTTGGGCCTGATGCCCCACGGGGCGTGCTGTGTGCCAGGGGCTACACCCCCTCCCACGTTCCCAGCAGCCCTGGCGGTGGATACGTGGCACAGTCCTCCCAGGCCTGCAGCGGTCCAGGACAGAAGCGCACCCCCTGCGCTGAGAAAGCTCCTCCGCACGATGCCGGCAGCCCAGCCCTCCTCGGCCTGACGCCCTCAGGGGCCGGACTGCAGCCCCCACATTCCTAACCACCGGCAGGGCCTGATGGGACCGGGGAGCTGCTGCTGCTGCTGCTGGAGAAGCAGGCCGCCCACCCGCCCCCCCCTCCCCCCGGCGCTGTGCTTTACCTGGCTATGCGGCTCTGCAGCTCCTCCACCTGGGCAGCCGTCAGCCTCGCCTGCTCCTCCAGGCGGGAACAGGTCTGCTCCCGTGCGTGCAGCTCCTGCTCCTTCTTCTCGATCGCCTCGCCGAACTTCCGCTCCCACTGCCGGGATTCGTCGATCACGCGGTCCCGGTCGTCTTGCAGAGAGGACATGCTGCGGGTGATGGCTGCCAGCTGGGCCAGCGTGCGGTTCAGGCTGCCCTGAAGCTGCTGGGCCTCCTGGTCCTTCCGGCGCAGGGCCGCCTGGAGCTCGCCCACCGCCCCCTCGGCCCGGGCCTGCTCTCGCCGCACGGCCTCCAGCCTCTCCTCCGCGCGCCTGGCCGCCTGCGCCTGCGCCCCCCTCTCTTCCGCCAGGCGCCTCTCAAAATCCTTCTCCTTCTGCCTCAGCTGCGCCGCAACCTGTGCCTGGCTCGCCTGAAGTTCCTCCCTCAGCTTCAGGCTCTCGGCCAAGACGCGGGCCGCCTCGCTCTGCGTGTCATCCAGCAAGACTCGGCAGGAGCGGAGCTCGGCCTGCGCCTGCTGGGTGTCCGCGCCTGCCTTTGCCAAGCTCTTCTTGGTGGCCTCCAGCTCCTTCTGGGACTCGCTCTGGACAAACTCGAGGGCCTTGACGGTTCGCTCCAAGCTGCTCACCTTCTCCTGGCTTCTGATGCAATCCTTCTGCAGCTGCCTCACCTCCTGCTGCTTCTCCTTCAGGAGCTCCTGCAGCTCTTTCGCCTGCGCCCGGCCAGCGCCGCCCTTCCAGGTGCTCCTCAGCTGCTCCACGTGCTCCTTCTTCTCGGCCGCCATCTCCGCCTTCTCCCTCAGCAGCTGCCGCTGCTCCTCCTCCAGGCGGCTCAGGGCCCCCTGCAGACCCCCCACCTCGCTGCGGAGCTCTCCGTTCTGGCGCTGCAGATCCGCGACATCCTGCTGGTAGTTCCCGATGCTGCCGTTCAGCTCGGCCAGCTGGTTCATGAGCCTCTCCTCCAGCTCGTCCTTCTCGGCGGCCAGAGCCTCCTTCAGCCTCACTGCTCCGGCACGCTGCTCCTCGGACCTCTGGCTGGCTTGCTCCACCGCGAGGACTTTCTCCCGCAGCGCTTCCAGCTCCTGGCCTCGGGCGACCAGCAGCCCCTCCAGGGCTTCCTTCTCCTCGCCCAGGGCCTCCACACGCCCCCACATCCTGCTCAGCTCCTCTGCTGCGGCCCTGCCCTTCTCCTCCAGATCTGCCACCTGCTGCGTGAGCTGCGCCACCTGCTGCACGTACCTGTTGATCTCATCGTGCAAGGAGCGGGCTTGGGCGGCTTCTTCCTCCGGGGAAGGCAGGGCCGCAGTGGCGGGCTCCGGAGGTTCGGAAGCAGTGTCTGGACTTGCCTGCACGTCAGCTGCCTCTGAGGCCGCCACCTCCGCACAGCCATCAGCCTTGTCCGCCACCAGGTTCTCCTCCTCCTCTCGCACACTTCGCAGCTCCTCTTCCTCGCTCTGTAAGCGCTGCCTCCAGTCCTGGATCTGCTGGTTCAGGGAATCCCTCTCAGCCGTCAGCGCTTCCAGCTGCCTGGAGAGGGACTCGCAGCTCCTCCTGGAGCTCTCCAGCTCTTCCCGGAGACCGGCACTGATCTCTTCAGCCCCTTGCGGGCCGCCATCCACGGGGTGGGCCTCAGTCCTCAGCCGCTCGTTCTCCTCCTCGAGTTCCAGGATCTTCTGCTGCTTGGACTTGGCGAACTTCCTCATCTTCTCCCTCATCCCTTCCATCTCCCGCTCGGCCCCTTGCAGGCGCGCCTCCACCTCCTCCTTCTCGGCCTCGGTGCCCTTCAGCCGGAGGAAGAGCTCGTGCTTCTCCTGCCGGACCCCTTCCAGCACCCGCTGGATCCGCCCGGCCTCGCCGCTGACGTTCTCGTACGACTGCAGGAGGGTTTCATACTCGCGTTGCAGCTCCCGCCGCTGCTCCTGCCACTCGGCGAGCGCCTGGGCCTGCGCGTGTCGCAGGGAGCCGGCCTCCTCCTCCAGCTGGGTCTTCTCGCGGGTCACCTCCTCGAGCGCCAGCTTCAGGCTCTCACAGGAGCTGGATGCATTCTGGTTCTCCACCAAAGCTCTGTCCACTTCCGCAATGAGCCTCTCCCGCTCCTCCCCGAGGACTGCCGTCTTCTTCAGCAGCACGGCCTTCCCCTCTTCCAGCTCGGAGGCCCGGCCCTCGGCCTCGGCCAGGCGCAGGGATGTGCTCTCCAGGAGAGCCTTGGTGCTGGCCAGCTCCTCCCTGAGCAGCTTGCTCTCCTTCATCACGTCCTTCCGGGAGACGAGGGCCGCCTGCAGCTTCCTCTGCAGCTGGGCCCTGGACTGCCCCTCCGCAGCCTCCGCGGCCGACTTCTGCTGGGCCTCGGCCAGCTCCGCTTGCAGCCGCTGGGCCCGCTCCTGGCTCTGGGCATCCAGCTGGCTCTGCAGGGCTTTGATCCGGTCTTCTCTCTCGCGCAGCTCAATCTGCAGGCCGCGCAGAGACTCCTCCTTGCTTGCCAGCCGGGCGTTCAGACCTTCCACTTCTTCCTTCCAGGCGCGCTCACGTCGCTCCTCCTCCTCCACCTGCTGGAGTCTCAGGCTCTCCTGCCGCACGACCTCCGCTCGGCTCTCTTCCAGCTCCAGCCGCAGGCCGACCGCACTGGCTTCGGCCTGAGCGCAGGCGGCCTTCACGGTCTCCAGCTCGGCGAGCAGCTGCCCAACCTGCTCCTGAAGCTGCGGCATCACCTCCGACTGGCTCCCAAGTGCTTCTTGCAGGTGGCTCACCTGTGCTTCCAGGTGCCTTTTCTCCTCCAGGAGTTGCTCAAGGTCTGACTGGAGCCGCTCCGCAGAGCCTTCGGTGCCCAGGGAGGCTCCGGGGGGCACAGCACTCCCTGCCGGAGCCACCCACTCCGACGCCTGCAAGGCCTGCGATGCCGGCCCCTCCGGAGCCGCCTCCTCCGCAGGCCTGGGAAGAGAGGCGTCCTCCTGCACCTCGCTCAGGGCCCGGAGCTGGCCCTGCAGAGCCTCCTTCTCCTGGCTTTGCTGCTCGAACTGCTCCTTCAGGAGCCCGTAGCTGCGCTTCTGCTGCTTCAGCTGCTCCCGGTGGTGACGGTCCTTCTCCTGGGCTTTCCTAAGGGCATCCTTGCGAGAGGCCAGCGCTTCCTGGAGCTTCTGCTGGAGCCGATCCCTCTCCTCTGCCAGAGCATGGAGCTTCTCCTCCAGGGCAGCCCTCGGCTCTTCGTCCAGGCCAGGCTCAGCGGCGCTGCTTGCCGCCTGCGCCAGAGGAACGGCCGGGCCAGACACCTCGAAGCTCTGATCCGCTGGGGCTTGTTGCTCAGGCCCCACGCCGCGCGCCTCACACTCAGCCTGGAGGGTGGCGACGAGGAGGTCCTTCTCCTGAAGACTCCGCTGCAGCTCCGTGACCAGGGCTTGCAGTGTGGCCACCGGGGGCCCCTTTTCCCCTTCAGGCTCAGCCTCCTTGGCAGAGAGCGGCAGCGGCAGAGTGGCAGGGCGGCTGTCGCCAGGGGGCTCCCCGTCCTGCACCGCTTCACTCTCCGGGGGTGCCAGAGCTTGGGCCCCTGCCTCGGGGGGCCGCTCTGCGCCGCCCTGCCCACCCGTCTCCAGCTGGCGGACCTTGCCTTGGAGCTCCTTCCTGCTGAGAAGGGCTGCTTGCAGCTTCCTCTTCAGCTGCTCGTTCTCCCGCCGCAGCTCCTCCGCCTCCCCGCTCTCGGCCTGCTGCTCCGGCACGGCTCCCTCCGCCGGGCCCTCCGTCCCCACGCCCAGCTCCCTGGTCTCCTTCCCCTGCGCCAGCCGGCTCAGCTGCTCCGTCAGGTGGCTCAGCTCCCGGCCCAGCAGGAACTTCTCCTCGTTCAGCTGGACCATCCGGTCGGACATGCCCCTGCTGAGCTCCGCCATCCGCTGCTCCCGCTCGGCCACCTCCTGCTCCAGCCGCTCCCGCTCGGCACCGCCTTCGGCCAGGCGCTGCTCCAGCCCGGCTGCCGCCAGCTCCGCCGAGGCCAGGCGCCGGGAGAGCCCCTCGGCCCGGCTGGAGGCCGCCTCCAGCTGCCCCGCCAGCGCCTCCCTCTGCTGCTGCTCCTCCTGCAGCTGCCCGCTCAGGCTCTGCCCCAGCAGGCCCTGCTCCACCAGGTGGCCCTGCGCCTCGTCCAGGTCCCTCTGCAGGGCCGCGATCTTCACCTCCTTGGACTCTGCCTCGTTCTTCAGGCTCTGGATTTGCTCCCGCAGCAGGGCCAGCTGGGAGAGCCCGCTCTCGTGGTCGGAGAGGCGGCGCTTCTCGGAGTCGGCCAGGTCACCCTCCAGCTGCCTCACCTGCTCCCGCAGTGCCGCCTGGGTGCAGAGCTCCTCCGGCTGGGCCAGCAGCTGCTCCCACTCCGCCCTTGGGGCACGCAGGGACGTGTCCGAGTCCCGCACCTGCTGCTGCGGCCCCCCGATGTCCGCAGCCCGCTCCTCCAGGGCGCTCCGGTGGCACTCCTGGGCCTCGCACTGGCTCGCTCGGAGCGCGGCCACCTCCAGCCGCAAACTGGCCAGCTCCTGCTGCTCGGGGAGACTCGCGGCTGCGGGAGCAGCCAGAGCCGCTTCTCCGTCCTCTGCGCAGGGGCCGTCCTGCCCCGCGAACGCCCCTGGGGAGGGAGGGGCCTCCTCCTGAGCCCCCACAGGCCCCGGGGAGCCGCGACTGGGATCGCGCTGCGTGAGCGCTGCTCCGACTGCCTCCGTGCCCGGGGCCTGGGGCCGCCCGCCACCACCGGGGTCCGCGCTGGCGGGAACCGGAAGCTGCCCCTTCAGGAACGCCAGTTCTTCCTGGGCTTCCTGCAGCTCCAGCAGCAGCAGGGACAGATCTTTGCGCCTCTTCGCAGAGAGGTACCCCAGGATGCCGGGCTGGCCGTTCTCCGAGGCAGGTGGAGGCTCCAGGGGGCACCCGCTGCAGGTGCTGGGCTGAAGCGAGGAAAAGGAGGCGTCAGTCGTCCGGCGAGACAGTGCCGGCCCGCAGGCCCAATGCACGTCATTCCCATCCGCCGTCGGAGCCACATCCCATTTCGAGAGGAGGACGGACAGCAGGATGACGAGGCGGGAAGGCAACACGGCATGCGCGTCTCACCTGCGCCGGGGCAGCGGGCGCGTCCGGCAAGCGCAGGCCCTCCTGCGCGTCGCTCCCAAGGCCGTCCAGCGTGCCTGGCCAGAACACAGGAGAGTCAGCCCTGGCCAGGGCCGGAGCTGCCGCCCCCCCCCCCCGCCCCAGCCCTGCAGGTGCCTCTGGAGGGGAGGGGAGGCGAGGGCCCCCCGGCCCCTCCACGCCCTCACACAGGGGCTGCTTCGACGCCCAAACCGGCCCGTTTCCGGTGCCACAGAAACCCCACCCTCCGGCTTCGGCTGGGCCGGCGCCACACGGACTGGCTGGCTCTGCCCTCGGTGCCTTCACAGAAAGGCAAGGGGGAGGGCAAAGGGGCTCTCTGCAGGGGACCCCACGGGAGAGGCGGGGGCCAGTGAGTGAGGCAAGAGCGATCCTCTTCTCGGCCACCTGCCCCGCCCCGGAAAGCAGCAGCATCGTGCAGGTCAAAGTGGGAGCGACCCAGTCCTCTGCGGGGCACACATATCCCTCCGCGACCGCTCAGAGGCAAAGAGGCGGGCGCTGCGGGCGCCAAACTGCACGGGGCTGCAGGATGCGGGCGCATGCCCTGAAGCGGCGCACGGCTGCCTCCTTCCCCCTCGGCTCCCTACCCAGCCTCCGCACCCCGCCTGCCCTTCCAAGACGCCCGATGGCTGCAGGCCCGCCGTGCCACTCCCACGCCTGGCTGAGATCCGGCCCTGCCGCAGGATGCTTACCGCCAGGCCCGGACGAGCCGCCACCGAAATCGCAGGGCACCCCTGGCGTCAACCGGGGCTGCGGCTCAGCATCCGCTTCGGCACAGCTGCTCTTCTAGAAAGAGTGGGGAAAGGAAGCATCTGAGCAGTTGCAGCACCACTGCAGAATCCACCCTGCAAGCCGCACCAGCTCGGGAGCAACTACCCAGGGGACGAGACTGGCTGCGCATGCGGGATCCCCCGGGGCTCTGCGGACACTTCTGGGCGCATTTCTCTGGTGGGATAAGCTGCCCCCGGTCAGCCCGGCCCCGCAGGCAGGCTCCTCACAAGCAGCTGCAAAGTGCTCTCTCTGACCGCTGTGACTCCCCTCACGGAGGCACACAAAACACCCTGCCCTCCCCACAGCTTTCTTTGGAGGAATGAAGACACTTATTACATTCCCGGGCCGGATGGAAATGTAATAAATAAGCACAGGAAGTCCCATGGAGAGAGAGCATTTCTCACTTGCCTTCTGCGTGTGCCAAGAGATCGGCAGACTCCACGGAGGAACCCTCCCCACCCCGCAGAGCCCCCACAGGAAGCTGGCCCCCTGGAGCAGGGTGAGCGCCGGCCAAGCCGCCAGGATCAGCATGGGGGGCAGTTCTGCGGACAACCCACCCCGTGGCCGCTCTCGCTCAAGTCTCCCTCCCGAAACCCTGGCCACGCAGACTCCAGCCTTCCTGCCCAACCCCTGACCCTCTGTGGTTATTGCAGGACATTTCTGTACCGCCTGCTGCCCGAGCTCTCTGGCTGGTGCACAACATTTAAGTCTCCCATCCAGATTCCAACCAGGCCTGACCCTGCTCAGCTCCCAAGATTGGCCCTGCTTAGATTCCAAGACCAGGCTATATGGCTCTCTCTTTAGTTGATCAGGGAAAAGAAACCAGACAGGTTTACAGTCCTCCATCATGGGAAGAAGAAAACTGCCAGCTGCACGGGGACTGCAACCGGCCATTGCAACCGGCTGTTCAGGTGTGGGGCCAGGGGAAGGGGAAGGGCACCGTCTCCGGAGACCCAAAGAGGCCGTGCTTTCAGCTTGCTCAGGAAGGGGGAGACTCAGGCCCCACCTTCGCTGCCGCTTCGCTGGAGGGCAGAGCCTTTGGCTCGCCACCCCTCAATCGGACCCAGCAGAGGCATGCAAGAGAACCCTCTCTTTTGCTCTCTTGCAAGACAGACCAGCAGAAGGTTCGCCTCTGCGGAAGCAACAAGCTGGCTCGGTGAGGCCACAAAGGCGCTGGCGGAAGAGCGAAGCGCCAAGTTCGAGTCGAAGGCAGTTTTTTGTCCCCAGATCAGGCCATCCAGCAACAGCCCAGCCACGGGGACTGCGGAACGGGGCCAAAAGGGGGACGGGGGAAGAGCGATCGCCCAGCCAAAGGCTTGCGGGGAGGTTACCTGGCTTAACTCTGCTGCCCCTGCGGCGCATTCAACCCTCTTCTCCAGTGCAGCGAGTCGGGAGCGGAGGGCCTCTGAAGCGACAGGGCAAAGGACCATCAGATCCAGAGCACGAACCGGCCCTGAAGGGCGCTGCCAGCATCCCGCAGCGTGAGGCCTGGCCAGGCCGGGCCGGGAGCTCACCCCCTTTCCGGAGAGAGCTTGCCGCTGGGACGTGGATCGGGAGCGCAGCTGCCCTCGCCCTCCCAGCGCGAGTCCAAGACAGGGTCGCGAGGGCGAGGCTTGCTGCGAAGGGGACAACGAAGCGCCGGGCTGCCAGGAAGGGTCCCAGGTTCCGCTACAGGAGACCCAGCTCCCCACGCAAGGAGACCCCCCCTTCCTTGAGAGAGGCAACCCCAGGAGAACAGCGGGGCCCCGCAGGCTTGGGAGACTGGCCGCCCGGTGCCTCTGGCAATTGCCCCACGGCATGTGGGCCCTGCACGGCGCGGCCCACGGGGCGACCCATGCTGTGGGGCGAACACGCCGCAGCCGGGTCTGGCTGCTCGTTCTGCAGGGCTTTGCGCCTGCCGGGGGAAGGGGAGTCCCTGGAGGCCCCACCGGAGGCTCCCGGTTGCACCAAACACACTCAGAGCAGGAATCACCGTTCTCCGCTCGCAGAGCTTCTGCGGGGGCCTCGGGGGGCCCATCCTCCTGCTGCCGGGGACCTCCTGCCGCTGCTGCAGGGCCCTGCCCAGGAACAGCCTGTGGAGCAGAAAAACGGCACGTGAGCCGGCAGCTTTCCGCCAGGAACGGTGGCTCCTGCTCCGTCTGAAAGGGAAGAGGCTGGTCAGAAGTGGAGGCCCGTTTACAGTCAGTCCTGCTTAACCCTCGAGAGACCGGAGGGATACAATTTCTCGGCCTGAAATTCACACGAACGGGAGGCAACAGCATCAGGTGCTTTCAGAACGGCCCGTTTCGCTTGTCAGGTTCTGCGCGAGGGAATCTCTGAGGAGGGCCGAGGGTGCCCCCCCCGCCAGAAGATTCAAATGCTCAGCGAACTACCGTGACACGGACCCGTTAGTCGCAGGCCAAGGCATACAGGGAAAGGGGGCAGCAAGAGGCGGGCCCCGCTCCCACGAAGGGCGTGCGAACAGGGAGTCGGGGAAGAAGGCCCCTTTAGGCTGGGCGTGGCAGAGCAGAAGCCCCTCTGCCCGAGGCCACAGGAGCCACTGCCACGCCGGGTCCTGCCCCACTACTCGCGGCTCTGTGCGTCCACGTGGGCCTCTGGGGGGCAGTTACCTCGCTCCGCGCCTCAGAGTCCTGCCCTGCTGCCTGGGCCACAGAAACTTCGGGCTCGGCCTGTGAAGAGCACGACTCCTCGGCCCTCGCAGGGGGCTCCCCTAGGACACAAGCACCATGTTAGCTTCCCCGGGGCAGAGAGGCGTCTTCTGCTCCGGCTGCTGCCGAAGCCTGCGTACGAGGCCCACTCTGCCTGCCCCCCACATGAAACCTGCCGCCCTCCGCTGTGGGGCCGGCGCTGCCAAGCTCTGGAAAGAGCACGTTTCTGGTCCAAAGGGAGAAGAACATGTTTGAGGCGCTACAGGCAGCAGCTGCGAACACCTGCTGCGATCGGGAGGCTGGCAGCCCCTGCAGGCCGCTGCTCCCCACCCCACGACTCCCCCGACAAAAAGACGTTCAGGAATGCCGCCCAACTGAAGCCTCGGCTGCACGAAACAGAGCCGAGCGGGCCAACTGCACAAGCCGGAGTGAGGCTTGCGCGTTTTCCTCCCAGAGCAGAACGAGGGCCTCCTGGGGGCAGAGGCCGGCCTTCCTGGGCCGCTTCCATGCGAGCGAGGCGCCCCGCGAAAGCTGCGTGCAGCGCCCTCCCGGCCTCCTGACCTTGCTGCGTGGAGCCGTCCTCTGTGGAGCGGCCGCTCTCTGCTGGGAGGGCCTCGCGGCTGGGGGGCAGGTCCTGCTCCACGCCCGAGGGCTCGCCAGCCTCCTGGCTGCTCTCCCCCGCCTCCTGGCTCCTGCGCTCCCAGTCCGCCAGGGCCTCCCTGGCCCGGGCCAGCTCCTGCGAGGACTGCTGCGCCTCCTCCTGCACACGGAGGAAGGCCTGCTTCTGCTCCGCCAGCGCCAGCTGCAGCTCCTCCAGCCGGCCACGGGACGCGTGCCGCTCGGACGCCAGGGCGCCGCTCAGGGAGGCCAGTTCGGCTTCGGCCTCCTGCACCTGGGTGAGGAGCACCTGGGGAAGCAAAGCCAAGAGATTCCCGCTGGGATCCGCAGGCCTCCCCGAGAGGGGGCAAGAGGCACCCACACCAAGGATGGGGGGAGCAAGCATGGAAGTGGGCTGTGCCTGTGGGAGGGGCGGCGGGCGGACAGGCCTCTTGCTCTCCTGCGGGGACATCACAGCCCACGTGTCACGTCGGGCTTGAGAGTGGGGAATGCAGGGCAAGTCTCCCCCGGCATGAAGCCTCCGACGGGCTGAGATGCTGCCCGGGAAGGCACACGCCTGCCCTGCTCCAGGCCTAGAGCGAGGCCCTCGGGATGCGGGAGAGAACTGGGAGGGCTGTGGAACAGCACACCCTCCGAGAGCGTGCAGGAGGGCTGAGCTGACTGGCATCATGCGGGGTCAGGAAGGAATCTGCCCGGGCATGGGGCGCGTGGCTGCCTCCCCAGATGCACTCGGCGTGGGTCGCCCCCTGGGACCGGGTGGAACGGGACGGGCCAGCCTTCCGTGGCCAGGGCGGGGCACGTGTGTGCGGGCGAGGAGAGGCGAGGGGGCCGCGGGCGAGCCCTGCCTGCAGCGGGGCAACCGACTGCCGGCCTCTTGCAGGCCCAGGGCACCAGACAGGGGCACTACCTGCTTCTCCCCTGCGAGGGTGTGCAGCTCCCGCTGCAGCAGCTCCACCACCTGCGTCCGCCCCAGCAAGGCTTCCTCCTGCTCCTCCAGCTTCCTCTGCAGCAGCCGCAGGTTCTGGGACAGAGAGCCCACAGGTTGCCGGGCGCCGGGGCTCAAGCACGGGGCGCGCGGCGAGGGCTCTGGGCGGGCGCCCTGCTTCGCTTTCAGAAAACCCCAGCTCGCCACGGTCCCCTTGCCAGCCCAGAACGAGCGTCTGCCGCATCCCGCCAGCCGGTGGCTCCCCCTCCGGCCAGCTGGGGCTTCCACAGAAAGCTGGACGGTGAGGCCCGGACCGTGGCCAACGCACCTGCTGCATTTCGGCTTCCAGGGCGGACTGGGAAGCCAACCGGTGCAGCTCGGCTTGGTACTTGAGGGCCTGCTCCTCCAGCTGCGCGTTCTTCGCCTGGATTTCCTCTCGCAGGGAGTCGTGCTGCCGGCAGAGAGCAGACGTCACACGGCCACCGAGGCAAGCCCCTTGCGGGGGGGCGCGGGGGGGGTCACTCAAGGAGTGGAGAGATTCAGGCTCTTACCTGAATGCCTCGGGGCACAATCCTGTGCACACTTCAACAGGAAAGTCCCTACAGTATTTTCTGTTCAAACATGCATAGGACTGCACCTTTAACGGTGGCAGAGAAGAAAGGAGAAAAGGCTGCTCCACTGAAATACACGTTTTCTCCCTTCCCACCCAACGTACTCTCAGTCTCCCCAGCCACGAAGGTGGAGAGCGCCAGAAAACAGGGGTGACACCCGGGCGCTTGGCAACCAGCCAGGGAGGCTCTCCTGCACAAGCCCCACCTGGGGGCTGACTGGGAGCGGCACAAGAGCCCTGCTGTGCCCAGGCCCCGTCCCCCCGTGCCCCGTCCCCATACCTGGGCCCTCGCTTCATTAAGGCTGCTGGTAGCTGACTCCAGTTGCTCCTGGAGCTTTTTCACCGTTTCCTTCTCCTCCTGGAGCTGCTTCCGCAGCGCTCCCACCTCCTCCTCCTGCTGCTTGTCGCCCACGATTTGGTCACTCTGAACATGCTGCTGCAAAGGAGAAGCAACGAGGCATCACCCATTTTGGTTTGCAAACACTGGAACAGAAGCACAGAACAGCAGAGCTGGCAGGGGCCAGGAAGGCCATCAGGCCCACCCCTGCTGTTGCGGGACGCCAAGTCACCCCACCCCACTCAGGGGGCTGCCCAGGTTCTTCCTGAATGCCTCCAGTGGGGGAGAGCCGCCCCCCCCCCCCCGGCAGCTGGTCCCACTGCCGTGTTGCTCTGACAGTGAGGAAGCTTCTCCTGATGCCCAGCCTGAACCTGGCTTGTCGCAGCTTGACTTGATTGCTCTGTGTCCTGCACTCTGGCAGCAGCGAGAAGAGATCTTGGCCTTCCTCTCTGGGACAGCCTTTGAGGTACCTATGGAGGGATATCTTGTCCCCCCTCAGTCGTCTCTTCCCAAGGCGGAACATGCCCAGTTCTCCCAGTCCCTCCTCACAGGGCAGCGTTTCCAACCCCTGGGTCATTTCTGTTGCCCTCCTCTGCACCCTTCCTAATTTCTAACAGGTGTTTACCTTTTCTCCACTTTTCCCCCAAAATCAAAGATTTTGTATTTCGAGATTCGTACATCTAAATATGCGCGTTTTGAGAAAGCGAGCGAGAACACACCATAATGGGAGCAGGAGGCAAGCAACCCTCACTCTTGCCCTGGCTGACAAACGGCCCAGCCAGGACACTTTAAAAAGCGAGTGGCCACCCAGGTCCTCCGTGGTGGTTTTCCCGACGGTGGAAGATTCAGAGCCGGTAAGGGGACTTCTTCACACAGTTCATTTGTCAATTACACAACCCACTACCTCAGAGTGTAGTGCCAGCCATCAGTCTGGGTGGCTTTAACAGGCCAACGCACGGAGGAGGAGTCTGCTAATGGCTACAAGCCACGATGCACGCGAGTCACAGGAGGACCCAGGTGCAAGAGGGCTCTTGCAGGCCCGTCCCGCTTGTGAGTTTCCTACTTGTTCACACAACGCTGGATTGACTGACCCATGCTCTGATCCACCATGGCCACCCTTCCATTCTCATGGCGACCTTTGACCCCAGTCAACCCCCAGTGTTTGGCTGGCTAATGCGACTCTTCTGCCATTCAGAATGGCCTTCCCGCTGGCCCTGGCCAACAGGCACAGCCGCTTCCACGCCTGTTCCTGCTGCCTAAACGCAAAGCTGAGGAGGAAAACGACCGTCAACACAGAGAAGAACCTGAAGGACAGTGGCCTCCAGCTGTCACTTTGCTGCAGAGCAGACCCCCTGAAACAGGATGCTGCATTCTTGGGGCCCCCAAGAGATACGAAAAGCAGGTGCAAAAAGAACGCATTAGAAATGGACTCGAATTTCTGGGCCTCAAGACTTCAAGCCTTCAAAAAATCTCACTTGGTTTAAGGAGTACTGGTTGTAGCTGGAGACATCTGAAACCTGTGAGCAGGACCTGGCTAAGGGGCCCTTCTGTGGCTGGGCAAGGGGCTTCAGGCCTGCGCACACACCCACTGAAGTGTGCGAGAGCAGAAGCAACGCGTGCAGCTCATGCAGGCTAAGAAGCCCAGAGAGGGGATCCTGTGGCGCCTGCCTTCACAGCCAGGCCGCTGGTGACCCACACCTGAGCAGGAAGCAGCGGCTCCCCCGGCAGCTCCTTCGCCGACGAGGCCACTCCTGGCTCTGTCAGCTCCTCGATGCGCCTGTTCAGAGAGGTCAGCTTGGCTTTGGCCTGCAGCTTCAGCTTCAGCAGCTTGGCCTCAGCGGCCTGCCTTTCCTCCTGCAAAAGGAAGCGTCACATACAGCAATGGAAGTCGGCTGGAAAAAAGCCGCAGCAGCCTGCCAGAGAGAAAGGACACAACCCTCCCTCCGCCCGTCTGTGAAGGGGGGTGGGGGGCAGTGCTTGCCACCTGGTGCTGGGAGGGCACATCTTCCCCAAGATCAGACTGGGATGACATCCTGGGGGCCGCTGGCTTGCTCCCCCAGAAAATGGGGGCTCATCTGTGCAAGTCATTTGCTCAACAGCCTCCCCGGCCCACGCTAGTCCTCCTGGCTCCCTTCTTCTGGATGGGGCAGCGGGCTGGCCCCCCGGAGGGTGACAGGTCAGGACTCTTCCCAAGGGCAGGGGAGGGCTGGGTCGGCCCTTCCCACCCCTCCGAGTCCATCAGGCACAGAAGGAAGGCGTCCTGCCAGAGAGGAGGAAGCAGCAGCCCGGCACGCAGAGCCGACACACACCTGGAGCTGGGCCTCCTTCTGCTGGAGCTGGGCCTCCTTCTCCCGCACCAGCTCCTTCAGCTGCACCACCAGCCTCTCTGTGTGGGCCAGCCGTTCCAGCAGGTCCTCCGGTGCTTCCTCCCCATTTTGCTGGTGCGCTTCTGACTCCGCCTCCTGCAGCCACAGGAAAAGGACTCCGTCAACAAAGCCACGGGAGCGAGCAGAAGGGCCACAAGTCTGCCTTCGCCCTGGGGCTGGGAGTCTGATGGACGTGCAAGGCTGTTGCCGGAAGGACTCGAGAAAAGCAGGGCCGCTGGGGCGGGGAAACGCTTCCCCTCGAGCTGCAGCCAGCGACGGCCGCATGTGGATGAGGCGGCACCCCAGGCCAAGCTGCTTCCAGCCCTCGATCGCCGCGTTTCTCAGGAGTTGTGTCACTTGTTGTGCGTGAGCAGCTGCTAAGGCCAGTACATGTGCTGCACATGCACATGTGACCAGGCCAAACGTGGAACAATTATGCCGAGATTCAGAGGAGTGTGAAAAACTTGCTCCATCAAGTTTCTAAAGCAGATTTGCTTCATTTGCACCTCCTCAACCCAAATGCAGCTTGCAGTCAAAAATCTGTGATTTCTGAGGGTGTGATGTGTTCCACACATACGCAAAAGTTTGACAAAATGCATGAAGGTGTGCAAATCCCAAACGTGAACGGACACATTTAGCCGACAGGTACGTGCATCCAAAAAGGCAAACGTTGTAAAAATGCACAGGCCGATCAAAACGCGTACAACCCTCTGTGTGGTGCCCCCTCCCCCAATAAGCAGGAATTTGTGGAGAGGGGAGGGTACTTACAGCAGTCAGGGCTGCGGGCCCCGCATCCTCTCCATCGCCCGACAGCTCATGCAGGACCGTGTTGGCAAGCCCAGACAGGCGGCTCAGCATCTTGAGCCTTCAGGTGAGCGGCAGCAGCAGCAGGAAGGGAAAGGAAAGGGGAGGTTAGGAGAAAACCCCGAGCAGCAGATAAGTCCTGAGGTGCCTGGAGCGGATTCAGGGACAGCCTCGGGGTGGGTCGTTTCCTCCATGCTGGCAACGAGCGAGAACGGATGCAAGTCCAAAGTGTGTGCAAAACACATGCAGGGCCCCACAGACCATGCAGCCCATCCTGCGCAGGTTGATGCACCCCAAGCATCGCAGGTCTGACATTCGGCCGGCCTAAAACTGGGAAGTTCCATTCCACTGAGTTCAGGGTTAGGAACATGCAAAGGAAAAAAGGGCAATTGTTTTGGTGGCCTTCTTAAGCCAGGATTCTGAGCAAGCCCTCGGCAGGAAACCCCGGACAGCAGGAATGATGTCCAAGCATCTAAACTAAGAAACCTTCAGAAACAGAAAAAGATCTGATTCCTTTATTTCCCCCTCAGGCCAACAATGTGGCACAAGTGGCCATGCCATGTGTATCGGCAAGGGCACAGCGGGAACGGTTGTGGGTGTTTCCCATGGATTTCCTTTCGAGGCTCAACTAAGCCCTGCAGCAGCGCCACAAATCCTGGAAGACACAGCAACCCTCCCCACAGGAAAGGGAGGAATGAACAGGCGGTCAGGTCCCATCACCTGCCTTCCATCCTCCCAGCTTCCAAGCAGCAGGAGACCAGGAATGCCCCATATGTCCCAAAGTCAACAGCAAGCCCAGCCCAGTCTTATTGCCAAGGAGTGCCTTCTTTGCCAGGAGGAGAAGTTCTCATTTCTCAGGCACCTGGTTCAAAGTCGTACAGCACCTTGCGCACTGCGCAGGCTGTCACCTCCAGCAGAGTCCTGAGATAGCAGCCGGAATGTCAACAAAACCACCCGATAAGCACTTCCTGCTGAACTTCCGGTTCTTGCAGGTAACAGGCATGGTTGGCCGCTGCACTGTTTGACCTCAGCAGCATGAAAGAAGCAACGCCACTGCTTTCTCCCAGTCAGCAGGACCTTGGTTCGAATTTCACCTCACCTCCAAGCCAGAGTCTCTCTCAGCCTCACCTCCCCAGCATCAGAGGGTAACAGCTGCCAACTTTACAGAGCTGTTGCTGCTACTGCATCATGGGCAAGCGCCATGACCCTCCAGATAGTTTGGCCTACGATTCTAACCAGTCCCAGCAAGCACAACCAATGGTGTGGTACAGCGGGAGTTGTAGGCAGTAACACGCAGACCACCAAAAGCTGCCCACCCCCAGTTACAGCATGCTAATGTACACGAAATGCTATAAGCTCTTCCAAAAATCTAAAAACTGGGTAACGCTATAGCTAATAATGTTAATCTTGAGCAAATCAGCAATCAGAATGTGTTTACAAGGAGGAATTGATGTCAGGTGTGAGGGAAAATCCCATCTTATTCACCACAATCAATTTTGGTGGTCTTCCTAGCCCTTTGGAAGAGACACCCCAAAAGTCAAAACTTGCCAGAACTCCTGCTAGCCCTCCTGCTCTCACACACGCAGGAAAGCCACGTGAAATGTGCCAGTGGCCTTCAAACCAATCCGAACCCCTTCTCACAGCTTCCAAATGCTTCCCCAAGTGGTGTTCTTAGACAATCTTTATGCGTCACATGTACTACACAGATGAGTGCGCATTTACAAGCGAGAGGTGGCCAAGTCTACAATTTAGCCTGCAGCTACAGTTCTGCCTTTCAGCTAGCCTGAAGGAAACACGACTTTCCTGCCTGGGCAGAACTCCAGCACAAGGGAGCCACACCTGCAAAGACATAAGCATACAGTTGTCCGTGCGCATAGCTAGTGTTCCCACACACGGCCGACACTAGCCAAGTGGCCCTCTGCAAAGCAGCCCCGCAGTCGGGAAAGCGGCACGGAACGACCCCCGGGCGGCGGGCGGCTGAGCACAGCGGCAGAGTCCCCGGGGCCGGCTCGGCCTCCGGCTCGCTGGAGATCGGCTTGCGGGCCAGGCGCGGCCTCTGCGTGACGCCAGGGTCCGAGCCAGAAGAGCCCGCGTTCGCTCCGTCACCTCGCCTCCCCTGGACCCGCGGGCCTCCCGGCCCACGCAGGCGCGATCCCACGCGCCGGGCATCCCGCGCCCGGTGCGAGCCACTGAAGCACGCGCGGAAGGATGCGACGAGCAGCCCCGGCCGCAGCGTCGGGCGCCTCACCGGGCGCCGCGCCCCCCGAGCCGCTGCGGCAGAGCGGCCCCGGTGCGGCTGCGGGCGACCCGCGCAGGGCCCGGACCGCGCGCCCCCGGGGGCCGGGGCCGCTTTCCTCCTCGGCAGCGCCGAGGAAGCTGCTGCTGCTGCTGCTGCTGCGGGGAAGGCCGCGGTCCCTCACCCAGCAGGCCGGCAGCGGCGGGGCCGGCGGCGCCAACCGCGCCCGGAGGCACCGCACCCGGCGACGTCGGCCTGTGCCTTCCCGGCGGTGGGCGGCCGGGCAGGGCCGCGCGGCGGGGCGCCCTGCGGGGAGCGAGATCGGCCGGCCGCGACTCACCGGGCCGCTCGCCTGGCCGCGCCGCTCCGGTTCCGGCCACATCAGCACCGGAAGTGCCTCGGACTCGGCCCTCCGCACTTCCGGCAGGTCCCCCCGCCGGTCCCGCCTCAGTCCCCCCTCTGCAGGCGAATCCCGGGCCGGGCCGGGCCGGGACGGACAGCTCCCTCCTCCAACCGCCGCGCGCGGCTTGGGCCGTTGCCGTGGTTACAGCGCCGCGGGCGTCCGCCGTGCGCGCGTCCTCCAATCCGCGGAGGGGCCTCTGCGCCGCCCCGAGCCGCGCGAAAACAAAGCGAAGGGGCCAATCCCGGGAGGCGGTGTCCGGCTCGCAGGCCAATCAGCGGCCGCGCTGCCGCCGCGAGCCAAGCTGGAAACGCATCAGGGCAGGCGCGAGGGAGGCGGTCTCCGGAGGAAGCTCCGCCCAGGAGGGGCAGACGTGCTGTGCCTGCGGTAGTTCGCGCGACACGTCATGCCCGCCGGTTGGCCCACGCACCGCAATCGGTGGCTGCTCGTTTGCTCGCTTTGCAGCCTTTTCCCTGCAAAGCACGCAAAGCGGCTCGCACCGTTCCCCCCGCCCCCATCCTGGCCCAACGCCCGCCCTGCAAGGTAGGCTGGACCTTGCAGGGCGGGCGTGGGCCCGGGGTAGGAAGCGCGCCTGGCAGCCCGTCGCCTGCATTAGTGGTGCCGATCGAGGCAGCACATGCCTGCAGACGCGCCCCAGATCGCGTCAGACCGTCTGGGGCGGGAGCGCGGCGGGGTGGCCGTTGCCGGGCCACGCAGCCCCTTCGCGCGGCGGGCGGCGCTTGCTGGAGGAGGCGGCTGCTCTTCCGCGGCGCAAACCGCCCCGCGAGCCTCGGTCAGCTGCCCGCGCCGCCCCGCGGCTGCCGCAACACCTCGCCGGGACGCGGAGGCCCCGTGCGGCACGGCCCCCACGCGCCTCCTTGGAGCAGGCGGCGCCGTGCTCGGTGGGCCAGAGGCCGGAAAGCCGCGGGTGCCGTTGGGTCGGCCAGGGCGAGGCTGCGCCTTCAGCCTGACTGAGCTCCGGTACCTTGCTCCCAAAATGTTGCTGGCCCCCGGGGCGGCCCCCCCCCCCCCCCCCCACTTCTGGCCAAAACTTGCGAGGAGGCCGTATTTGTGCTCAAATATAGAGAATGTTTGCTCCCCGGGGAGGAGCCCCCCCCCCATTGCTGGAAGCAGCCCCCGCTGGGTGCCATAGCTGGAAGGCCCCTAAATCTGGTCGTTTAATCCAGAAGGTGCCACTGCCTTGGCAGATCGCCTCCTGCAACGGGATGGAAATAGCAAGGATAGCAAGAGCGTGTGAGAAAGACCAGGCCGGGAGAAAGAGGGCAGCTTCTGGTCGTCTTTAAGTGCTGCCGATGGCTAATTAACCTACTCACCCTTTCAGATTTACCTCCCCAAATAGCAGGGCTTTCCAAGATAATCTCTCCCACTCTCCACCCCTCCTGTTTCCATCCCCTCTTTGCATCCTCGGCCTTTGAGGACTTCTAGACCTCCGACCAGATTAAGAGGCTGTAATTGGCTTGGGATGGTCTCCCACCTCCAGGCCTGCTTTGCATGGTGTCCGTGCTTATAGAGGAAGGAGGAGGCAGCCAGGGCCAGTCCTTCAGCCACCCCGGCAGGAGACGGTGGCTCCGGAGGCTCCCTGCATCACCCGGCCAGGCAGGATGGGAAACGACAGCAGCCGCATCCTGGGTGACCTGCAGACACTGGAGATCCACCACTGGTACAAGAAGTTCATGACCGAGTGTCCCTCCGGGCAGCTGACCGAACACGAATTCAAGCAGTTTTTTGGGCTCCGGGGGCTGGATCCCGAAGCCAGTCAGTACATTGAGCAGATGTTCCACACCTTTGACATGAACAAGGTAAGCGGGAGGCTGCTTCAGCCACGCAGAGCAGCGGCCCCACTGGGGAGACGCCAGGTGTGGGCAGGAAAGGGAGCGTGGGTGCCACGTTCCGAGAGGCGCAAGGGCCCTTTGAGAGCATCTGCAGTGCTGTGCTCGCAACCGCCTTTCTTTGCTTCGGAAGAAACCACCCGGGCGTTGTGAAGGGTTCTGCTGAAAGGCGTCCGCGAAATGAGGAAGGCCTCCCCGCAGCAGTTTTGCAACTAATGTTGATGAATTTGGGGGAGGTGGGATAAAACGAAGGGCAGGGCATAGAGCCAAATAACCACACCTGTGCAAACGCTCAGCCCTGGGTGTTCCGTTATTTGATTTTCTGTAATGCAGGCTGCAGATTCAGGCCCCTCCATGGGTGGGATGTAGCACTAGCCTCACTTAAGCCATTCCTGCTGATGGGTCCACTCTCAACAGCACTGAGATTGGCCGTGAAAACCTGTCGTGATTGCCAGGAAAAAAACCGGCAGTCATTTCTGGAGAACAAGCAATCTCTATTTTGATTCAGCATTTTATTTATTGCATACAGTCCAGAATCTGGCCAAATGGCCCTTGGGTGGTGGTTGTCATCCCAAATCCCAGCTCAGTCGCAGTCTGAAGACTGGGCCGCCTGAGACGGGAGGGAGCAGCCGCTCCGCCACACCCCTGCACTCCTGGAAGAACCCCCAACCGTCTGACTGCACCGCTCCCAGCGCTGTTTTCAGACAATGGGGAGGAAACGATCCCCCCATCTGCCATTCCACAAAATGTCGACATGAATCCAAAATCCATATTTCTGCCTTTTTAAAAATGGGAGAAGGGACTGGTGGACGATCCGTTGTGGCCAGGCCCTGTCCCCGTGGGCGTAGCCCGAGGTGAATCTGCAGAGGATTGCCAAAAAAGCGACACAGCCAATCCGCAGAGGACGCTGCAAGCAGCCCTTCGTCAACACACGACACAGGTTGTGTGAATTGGCCTGGAGTTGCTTTCCCTGCCCGAGGCATTCCTGGAATTAAGGCACACGTGCGGGCAAACACACGCGTCCCTGGGATCACTGTCTTCCTTCCCACCCCGGCCTTGACCACCCCAAGATGGCTGGCTGGGGAATGGAGCCTCGTTTCCTTCTAAACGCGCCTAGGATCGTGTCCCACATTTGTATACCCCAAACGTAAGCACAGCTGCCCTCCGGCTCGGCTCAGTCGCACTTCTCTGCTGCAGCGCTGCTGCCTGGCTAACCCAGCCACCAGCAGAGGGAGGCGCATTTGACACTGAAGGCCTTCTGGAAATTTGCATCCGTCTGGCAGGATTGGACCAGTTATGGGCAAGTCCCTCGTATGGCAGATCAGTTTCTGTTGTGCTTGGCACTGAGCTCCAAAGCCTACCAGTGATGCTCGGCCGCTTCCAATTCTACCCCCTCTCCCATATTTCTCCATTAAGTGCTGCGTGGCAGTATGTGCCTTAGCGCTGAGCACTGGGAGGGGCTGTGCCAGAGCCTGCCAGGCATCCCTGCAAGGCTGTTTTTGCAGCTCAGCACACGTGTTTCTCCCACCCTGGGACAAAGCCCCCCCCCCCCGCTCGACAGAGCAGTGTGCCCACTGAACAGCCGAGGAGCGGAAAAAGCTCTCGGCGCTTGCTGGACGGGGGCAGGTTTCCAGCACCACGGTAGGAGGGCTTCTCGCCTGCCGGAAGGCCACTTGCGACGGCAGTGAAAAGCACTCTGCGCTTGGCTCCCAGCTCCAGACGCACTTTGGGGCTGCAGGTCCCTCTGGAGCGCCGTCGAGCCAGCTGCAGGCCGGAGCGGGGCCAGCTCTGCCACGGATGTGGCGGCCCAGGAGGCCATTCTGCTGAGTGGGCCGGAGGCACTGGATGCCTTTGCCCTAGGGAAAAAGAAGACCATGCGGGCTGCTAGGGGCGACTATGCAGGCATCTCCACGTCTTTCACCAATTCCTGGCAGTTTACTGAGGATGCTGTGAAAGGGGGCACGGAACTCCAGGCATTGATCCCCCCCCATGGAAACAAAGACGGTGGGGGGGCTCTGCTTCTCTCCCCCTCCAGGCTCCCACCCCAGCCCGAGGCCATGGGGGAGGCCCCCGCCAGCCAACAAGGCCCCAGCCCCCCGTCCCCTTTGCTCTGTGCCCAAGGCTTCCTCTCCCCCCTCTCCCTCCCAGGATGGCTACATCGACTTCATGGAGTACGTGGCCGCGCTCAGCCTGGTCCTGCGGGGCAAGATGGAGCAGAAGCTGCGCTGGTACTTCAAGCTTTACGACGTGGACGGGAACGGCTGCATCGACCGCCACGAGCTGCTCAGCATCATTCAGGCACGGGAGGGGGCTGTCCCTGCACGGGGCAGCTGCGCGGCTGATTTCCGGAAAGATGGGGTCTCGGGCATGCCTGTAAATCAATTGCCCCCAATCCCAGATGAAGCCCCCAGCTGCACTGCCCCCACTCCAAGGCTGCGGACAGGAGACCGGGTCCAGATTGGCGGGGGGGGGGGGCATTCCTTCGTCCCTGCTTGTGAGCTTTCTGGACACATCTGGCTGGTCGCTGGCGGAAGCCGGGGCTGGACCGGGCAGACCCAGCGCTGACCGGTCTGGCAGGGAACGTCGCCCCTGCTTAAATCCCGGGGCGATTCAGGGACCTGGAGGCCGCGATGACCCGGCCAGGCAAGGCTGGCGAGGTCAGGCAGGCAGAAGCTGCACAGGTGCATCTCGGTTCGCCTCTCCGTGTTCCGCTCGCAGCAGACGTGCCCTTTCCCTGCAGGCTGCTTCCGCCTGGGGGGCGTCCTGAGCGCTGCCGTTCCCCCAGGGCGGTGGCCGTGGCTGCGCATGCGCCCCGCAGCCACCTGCAGAGCACGGCCAGTGCCGCTTGGAGGCTGGTTTCCCCCGACTGCATCGCCGCGCTGGGCGGAAGCCGCACCCGTTGAGCAGCCGGTTCCCACGGAGCGAGCGGGGCGACGCAAGTGCCGAGCCCAGGCAGCTCAGCGGGTCGTCCGAAGCCTCCCAGAGGAAGGCTTCCCGCTGGGCTCGCAGCTCTCCCCTCTCAGCTGTGGCGCCGCAGCGGCCACATGGCTCCGGGTGCCGGTGAGGCCCACACGTGCCCAGGTGCGCCGGCAGGCAGCTGCCACGGGGTCTGGGCTCAGGCAATGGCCCTTCGCCCGTCCCGCCCCCACCGCTGCCACCACGTGCCGAGGGGCGTGGAAGAGGCTGGCTGCTCCTGCGACCGTCTTGCCGGGGCCGGTGGGGAGACCGAGCGGGAGGAGGCTGCGCCATGCCCCGGCCTGCCAATTGCGGGCCGAGGCGGTGGGGGCATGTCGCATGAGGCCCCCCGGGGGTAAGAACAGAGGAGGTGCCGTGCTGGGCCAGAGCAGGGGTCCGCTGCCCAGCCCGGCATCCCAGTCCCCCAGGCGGGACGTGAGCGCCGTCGCCCGTCCTCGCCGGCAGCCGGCATCCGGAGGCAGTGGCTGTGGGGAGCCCAAGGGGCGTCCTGGAGAGTGGCCACCGAGAGCCCTGCCTGCTGCCTGCAGGGCCCCCCAGCAGACGGCCCGTGGGAGAAGGTGGCAGCCCCCCTCCCAGGGCCTCGCCCGAGCCCCGTGGTGAGGAGTGCACACTCGGCACGAGAAGCCCCGTGGGGGAGCTTCCCGCATCCAGATGAGGCTCCGCGCACCGTGCCTGCCGGGCTGCACCCTGCCCAGCGGGAAAGTGGGCCGGGCCTCCCCCCGCCAGCCCCCCTGGCGTCTCAGCAGCCCCGCAGCCCCCTCTCACAGGCTTCCCGCCCGCTCCTTCTCTCCCACTTGCAGCCTCGGACTCTCCTTCTGCACTGACATGCACTGGTGCGTGTGACCAGGACTTGGAAGGCAGGGGCCCATCTCAGGCCCCTGGGGGAACATGGGTCATGATGGCCCTGGACACACAAGGCTGAAAAGCGTCTCGTTGCAGGCGATCCGAGCCATCAACGGCTGTGACCACGAGACGAGCGCCGAGGAATTCACCAACCGCGTCTTCAGCAGGATCGACGTTAACGGCGATGGTGAGCCCCCTCCCCCCGCTGCCACCCCCACATGCTAGCGCTCTGGGACCCACCGCGGCTTCCCGGTTGCCTTGACTTTGCGAGTTGCGCATTCCCACGTCTGGAGCCGGGGAATGCTGTGAACGTTGGACTGGAGGTGCTGAAATCATTGGACTGAAATGCTCAGAGACCGTTTCAAAAGCAGACGTGCTGTCTGGGGTGGGGGGGCGGCTGCACAGGGCGCTTTACCCGGCATCCAGCCGAAGCCCCACGCATGAAGGCCCTGGGGGGACTGGCGCACTGAGCCGTGCATGCTCCGGCCCGCCCTGTGCTCTCACTCAGGGCTCTGGAACGGAGCAAGAGGCCTGTGGAGGGAAAGCGGGCGGCTGAAGACGCGCTCCTGGCCAGGCGGAGGCAGCGAGAGGCCTGCCGCCCAAGCCTGCGCCGGCCGGCACCTGAGCTGGCCGTGGCCCCAGCTCTCGTGGGCGGCAGCTCAGCACAGGCCCTGCCTGCCCAGGGCATGCGACCCTGGGCAGGCCGGCTCCGGGTCTTCAAGGGCGGCGGGCAGGCCGGCTCCCCCGGCGGGCCCGCCTTCCCTCCCTGCGGTTCCACCTCCTCTCCATCATTGTGGCCACTCACTGGCCTCCAGCTCCGCCTCCTTCCTCCGCTGGCTGGGCCGGGGCGAGGGCAGCGGGGTGTGGGGAGACTGCGAGGAGGTGGTGCCCAGGCCCTTTCCCGGCATTCCCCTGCCGGGCTGGGGGCCCTCAACTGGCGCTGGATCACCCCTGCCTGATGCCGGCAGTGGGCAGCTGCGAAAGACCAGTCCCACCCCTCACCCCCGCGCTTCCCGGAGGGGCCGCCTGGGGGCTGCCGGCTGCCGTGGGGAGCAGGGCCTGGGCCGACGGGGCCTGGGATTGGCTGCCTGGCCTGTCCCGGTGCAGCCGGTCAGCGCTTCCAGTCCACTCGCCCATCCCACATGTGGCCGATTGCGGGAGGTGATGACTTTTTGCTGAGCCCAGAGCGTGTTTGGATCCCCTGGGGAGGGGAGGGGAGGGGAGGGGAGGGGAAGTCAGTGCAGAGGCCGAGGAACAGGTCAAAGTTCTCCCTGTTGCCGTCCTCTTCCAAATTCCTCCTTCCCAAAGGCGCCTGAAAAGCATCAAGGAGCAAAATGTGCCTTGGGACTTTGCTCCAGGCAGGGACAAGCAGCATGGCAGCAGGGTGGCCCCCGGATGAGGCACCGGAGGGACACGCTTTGGCCAGCCGTCCTGCCCCCCTTCCGCGCTTCAGCAGCGGGTAAAGTTCAGCTGAGCTCGGCTAAGCCTCACTAAGCCGGAGTCCGGACTCTGCCATGGGGCCGTGCCAACATTCTGGCTCATGTGCCAGCGAACGAAGACCGGGAAGCGAACTATGCCTGGACTCTGCCGTCAGTCGCGAGGCGTGCTGGTGGGGCTTGGTCCCCCCTGCTTTTGGAAGGGATTAGGCACATCTGCCCCCGCAGCTGTCGCTCCAGGGGGGAAAGGGGAGCTCGAACGTGCCCGTTCCTGGGGAGGGACCGAGGAAGGGGCTGTTCTCACCCCGGGGGCTTCCTGGGGTGCGTAGCACAGGGCCCCGGGCCGGCCCAGGAGCACAGGCACGCTTGTGCAGCGGCCCAGCCTCGGCCAGGGACCCACGCCGGCCTCCCCCAGGGACGGGACGGGACGGGGGCCTGGGGCACGCCGTTCCCGGGAGAGGGGGGCAGGCAGCCAGCGCCTTGCCCTCCCGCCCAGCCTGCCTTCAGCTGTGCCGTGCCGGACTTGCCCCCCTTTTGCAGAGGGGTGGGCCCCCTTTCTGATCCTGCAAGGGGGAGGGGAACAGCCCCTTTTCTCCCCCCCCCCAGCACGTTCCTATGCCCTGTTCGTTCCTGCCTGCGACAGGCGAGCTCTCGCTGGAGGAGTTTGTCGAAGGCGCGAGGAGGGACGACGAGTTCATGGAGGTGATGATGAAGAGCCTGGACCTGGAGCACATTGTGGGCATGATCCAGCGCCGGCGGCGCAGCAGCGTCTAGAGGTCGGCAGCGCCGGGCGGATCCTGTGGGCAGCATGGAGGCAGCGGCGCACGCCATGGGGCGGGACACCAGAGGGGGGCGTGTGGAGACGCCATGCGTTGGTGGGAACTCCCGCCGGGAATACCCGCGCCGTGTCTGGATGGTGCGGAGCCCGCCCTCCGTGGCACATGACCCTCCATGGAGGTGTGGGTCGCGCTAGAGGGGGCGGCTGGTCCCTCCCCGTTCTGCACCCTGTGCGTGCTGGGGATGCCCTCGGTTTCCGCTGCGTGAAACGGGAGCGGCACGGGTCTTCGGGAAGAGCAGGCGGCTCTGCAGATGCGGCAGCGACCCCAGTCCGGGTGCCGTGAAGGCCCTGCGTGGAGGACAGGCTGGGCTGCTCCCGCACATCGTGGGCTCGCGCAGCCCCGTCCGTCGCACCGAGGCCTGCCCTGGGGAGCTTCCTGGAGGACTGGGCGTCATCCTGGCGGGTGGGAAAGGGCGCTGCTTCAGATTTGCCGTCCGAGGCATCAGGGTCTCAGCCGCAGACCTGCTCAGTCCCACTCCCGAGTCCTCAAGAGGGGCAGGGAACCACCCAATGGGGAGGAAGTGGGGGGGTCACCCCGGAGGGACAGCTGGACCCCCTTTCCGCTCCCTTTCCGAGCACCACCTGGTCCAGTTTTATTGGTTGAGCGTCGGCTGTTCGAGCCGGAGGACGTGGAGCAGGTGCTTGGTCGGCTCCGGCCCCCCACCTGTGTGCTCAACCCTTGCCCCTCATCGCTGCTCATCGGATCCGGCCCAGGAATGGACTTGCACCCGGCCGGGAAGCTGTGAAGGCCTCCCTGAGCGAGGGGCTCCCGTCCCCTCGAGGCAGGCTGTAATTGAGCCACTCCTGAAAACGTCCAGCCCGGACCCGGAGGGTGCTGGCAAGACAGGGGGGCTGCTGGCGGGTGGTCCGTCTCCGGCTGGGTGATATTCGGGGGGGGTCACACTCCTGCAGGACGAGGCTCGTGCTGTTCTGGGTCGCAGGCGGAATGGAGCACCTCGTGTCTGCTTAAGCGGATGTGCCCCCTGCCACCCCACCTGGGCAGAGAGAGCCCGGCCAGCGCAGTCCACGCTCCGGTCGCCTCGCGCCGCCTCGTCCGTGGGGCTCCCTTGAAACAGGCGGGAGGCAGGGCGGCGAGACGGATCATCAGAACGACTGCTCCGTCCTCTTCCGACCACACTGGCTGCCGGTTGGAGTCCGGGCCCGATTCCGAGTGCCAGAACTAACAGGCAGAGCCCGAAGTGGCGTGGGGCCAGGTTACCTGAAGGGATACCTTGTCCCGTATGCACCTAGCCGGGCCCTGAGGCCACCTTCAAGGCCCTTCTCCGGAGCCCCAGAGAAGGGCCTTCTCAGTTGTGGCACCCCAGCTGTGGAACAGGCTCCCCACAGGGGTGCCCCAGCCCCTCCTCTTTATTCTTTCTGGCACCAGGTGAAACCCTTTGTATGCTCCCGGAATTAACAGCTCAGTTTCTAACTTTAGTTTTTATACTGTATTTTCTCATGCACCGCTGCTGCGCCTCTGTGCCGAATTGGTTGCAGGTGCTGTGATCTTATTGCCTAAAGTCTGTTTTGTTGCGTGTGTTTAACTTCGTTAGCCTCCCAGACAGCTTCGGCTGTTGGGCGGTATAAAAGTGGAATAAAAGTGGGATAAGTAAATAAATATTTACTTATTTATCTGGCCAGGGTGACTTTTTTCTTTTCTTTTATAACTTCTTTTATATCGTTTATATATTTTTTATTTATTTTATATTATTAATTTTAATTTTATATTGTTATTTTTGTATTGTATTTTATTGTGGTGTAAGCCGTCCCGAGGCTTCGGCAAGGGGCGGCATAGAAATGTAACAACAACAACAACAACAACAACAACAATAAACCAGTTCTGACGCCTGAAGGCTCACGCTGCCGGCTAGCCCTGCGTCCGTCCGGGACAGTGGCGGAAGAAGCCCAGGCCCTTTCCGGGAGCCTGGGTGGTTGGGGCGGCTCCTGTTCTCTGAGGAGGGAAGAGGGGAATCGAAAGGGATGAGGGGCTGCGGCATGCTCAGCGCTCTTTGTACACGTTGCCGTTGAAAACGCCGGAACCGCGGCACCCAGCGGTTCTGCTCTCCCCACGTCACTCCAGCCAGTGGCTGCTTTGAATGGTGCCGTCCTCATTCAGCGGCATCGAACCGCACGGTGTTGCTGGAGGGGGCTGCCTGTGGGTCCCGGGAGGGCTTCCTTGGGGTGGCTAAAAGGAAAAGGGATTGCGAGGCGCCCCAAACTGGGAGAAAGGGTGTCGGCGTGTCCAGGCGGCTCGGGGTCAGCAAGCGATGAAGACGTGGGGCAAAACTTCCCCTCTTCGGGTGTCCTGGGAGCTTGCGGCAGAGAGAGGATGGAGGGGCAGGTGTGGTGGTGAGCAGGAGGAGGAGCTGGGCCCCTCCCGGGGGAGGCTGCGCAAGTCACAGTGCAGCCCATCTGGAGGGCATCGAGCTTGGGGAGGGTGGAAATGTGCTCGGTGGCTGAGTCGTGGGGCGGCCGGCGAGGATGCACCCCGAAGGGCTGTGGGAGGATGGGGAGCGGGCTGCGATCCTGTTACTGATTTCATGCCCACCCTTCCTCCTGCACGGAACCCCCGTGGCTTCCCGTGCCTCCTCTCCATTCCGTCCGCACAACAACAACCCTGTGAGGTAGGTGAGGCTGAGAGCCAGTGACTGGCCCAAAGTCACCCAGCTGGCTCCCTGGCCGGGTGGGGACTCAAACCCGGATCGCCCGGGCCATAGGCACTCTCTCCCCACTGCACCAGGCGGACTCTCGCGACGGACAAACCACAAAGCCCCCAATCACCCGGCCAGCTCTGTCTCCGTCGCTCGCTTCCAGCTCGGTGTCCTGGGCCTCGAGGCCTGGCCCGCGGGTCTTCCTCCCACACTGGGTCAGAGCCGTGCAGCCAAGGGGCGGTGTGGGCACGGCCCACCTGGGTCGCCGCACAGCCCCCTGCCTGGAGCACTGGTGGCCCTTTTGCCCCGGCCCCCCGGTCGGTGCCGAGCACAAGCGGAGCCAGCTGGCCTGGAGGCGCGATCCTCCCGTTGCTCCTCACCAGCTGCCTGTGCTGGCCAGGGATGATGGGAGTTGCAGTCCAGCAACGTCGGAGGGGGCACACATTCCTCACCCTCCTCCCCACGCTTGCAGGCTGAGCTGGGTGCTTGCGGGGCTGCGCCACGGAAGCCTGGCGCACAACTGGCACGCACTGGCGCAGGAGAGCGTTGCCCCGATCCTGCCCAGAAGAGAGCAAACACCAGAGTGCTGGCCACAAACTGCTTCGAGGGGGTTTTGTTGTGGCAAAGAGGGGTGGAAAAGTTCTGGAACCGCGATGCAGGCGCCTCGGGGTCTGTGCGGGTCCCGCCCAGGATTGGGCTTCCCGGCTCGCTGGCCTCTGTGTGTTCACCCCCACAAACCCACCCTGACCTGGCCCAGAGGAGGCGGGCAGAACGTCTGGTCCGGCCCCAGGCCACACTCGGCTGCCCCGGTGCCCGACCACGCTCCTGTGTGGCTGCGCCCTTTGTGCCAGGCTGTGCCGCAGCTGACCGAGTCCCAACCCCCGAGTTGACTGGGGCCAGCCAGCGGGGGGGGGGTGCATGGCGAGGGAAGGTGGGCTTTCGTGTCCCCCCGGGGATGCTGGAGGGGGTCTCCTCTGCTGCGCGGGATGCCCCCAGCCCCGGCGGTTACACGCCTGTGCAAGGAGTTTGCCCCCAGTGGGTTAACAGGTGACTTATTGGCCCGGGTTCCAGCCCTGGTCAGCTCTGGGCTGCTCGGCTCGCCTTGCATAAGACCGGAGGCTATAAAGGGGGGCGGGTGGCCCTCCCCGCGGTGGTGCCTGCCGGCCTCTGGGCTGCCGACAGCAGGATGAAGGCGCTGAGCACGGTGAGTGGGGCGCTCTGAGGGGAGAGGGCAGAAGGCCGTCCGGGGGGCGAGAGGGAGAACAAGCGGGATGCAGGGACTGGGCCAGAGGGATGGCGAAGCCACCGGCTGCTCCCCCAAGCCCCCCGGGCAGGATTCGCCAGCGGCCCCTCGGACCCCGAGAGCAGGTCAGGCGCCGCACCCCTGGCTGGGCCTTTCGCGCAAGTGCAAGCTGTGGCCCCAGGGCGTCTCCCGGCTTCCCCGGCAGGTGCAGAGCGATTCCCGGGAGTGCGGGGGCCCCGGGGGGGCTGGCTTCCTGCCTGAGGTGCAGCACCAGGCGGTCCCCCTCCGAGTCCCCGTTCCAAAGCCAACCGGACAAGCCACCGAATCTTCTGGCAGCGCTCCTCATGGGACACCTTGTCCGCCACACGGGCAAATGGCGGGGTGCTCAGGGGAGTGGGGCAGCCACGCGGCCCTCGGGAGACCCCGGCACCTGCTCACACCACCCAGCGGCAGGGCTGGCCCCGGACCTGAGCACGTACCTGCCAAATCGCGGGGCGGCCATCGCGCTGCTTGTCGCTGGGCTCCCCTTCGGCCTTGTGGGCGACGCCAGCTCTTTCTCCCCACCAATGAGGGCCCCCCTTTTCGCCTCTGCCCCCCAGCAGTGGCATCTGCTAGCTCCCCTCCCCAAGCGCTCCTCCCCGAACGGTGCAGCACCCAGAACCCGCCAGCGGACACCCCAGCTCTGCTGGCCACCTGCGCTTTCCCCACCAAGGGAAGCGGCACGCCTGCCCGCCCCTGCGTGACCTCCCAGGACCTCTTTCCTCAGGGCGGTGACCCCTCGGGGATCCCCGTACCAGGCGCCAGCGGGAAGCCGACGGAAGGCTACAGGAATTTCAAGGTCAGTGCCGAGCGGCTGCTCTGAGGAGCCCCCGCCCTGCCGGGCAGCTTCCACCCGAAGCCCCAGAGCGAGGGGAAAAGGAGGGACTGCTTAGTGCAGGCAGAAGCATCGCCCAAAACAGCGCGGGATGCACCTCGTGAGGATTTGTTTATTTAATTTGTATGCCGTCCAGTTACTAATGTCTCTGGATGGCCAACAGACCCACTCTGGCTGCAAGGCAATGCAATACTATAATAAAATGACGATGAGGATGCAGCGCATCCTCCGGGAGAGTCCAGACTCAGATTCAGCCCTGGCCAAAAAAGCGGAAACCTGCCTCCACGCCTGCCCCGGCCGGATGTTCCTCTGCACACCCCCCCCCCCCCCTTCCCGCCCCCGTCGTTGGGCACCGTGGGTTCCAGCAGGCACCTGGTCTCCCCGTTCACCTCAGGGGGAAGGGCACAGACGAAGGAGACCAGGGCGCTGGCTGGGGGACGGCAAGAGCGGAAGACCCTGCAAATGGGGGTGCCCCCCGGCACAGCCTGCCTGCCGGTGGCATCCATGCGGGCGCAGGACGCTGCCAGGGATGGCCCGGTGCTCGAGCCAAGGCCTGGCCCCCAGAGCGCCCCCCGCTCCATTCCCGCCTCTGCTGGGACAGTGCCAGCCTCAAAGGCGGGGGCCGCTGCTGTGCCACCTGGCCTCCTGGGGGCGCTTTCACGCCATGGGTCGTCACATCAGCCTTGCAAGGCGGGGCACCCCTCTGTGGGTTCCACGTGAGGCTTCTTTGAAATCCGCCTGAGCAGGTCCCCAGCCAGCCGTGCCCCTTCCCCACTGGGCCCCTAACCACCCGGGGCGTTCCCAGCTCCTGCACATCGCCCGGTCTGAGGAGAGGGCTCGGCTCCCGGGGGCCAGCCGCAGGAGCTCGCAGGGACGCTGTCCGGCTGCTCCGGCCACCCCTCCGGCCTCGGGGCCTGCCCTGCCCGGCTTGCTTTCAGCTCTGCCGGCCCTCGGACTGCCACCCCGAGATGGCCGTGGCCTCTTCGCCATGTCTTTTCAGGACGGGCCCCTGACGGACCGCGTGTACAGGACCTACCTGCTCATGCACACCAACCAGACGGTGGAGTTCGTGCGGAAGAAGGTGGGTTGCCCAGAGGGGCGCTCGCCTCCCACGGCCAGGGCTCCGCCATGGGACAACAGCGCCCACGGCCGAGTCGAAGCAGCACCCCTGCTCAGCCCTGCCTCCGGCCCTCCTTCGCTCGGGTTCCCCGGGGCCTATACCTGCCGGCTTGTGCTGCACCCGGCTCAGCTGACCTTGCAAACCCCTGGCCTGTGGGTCGCAAGACCTGGCCTCGCGGTCAGGGTCCTCCTGATGCTGCCCGGAGGACCCCCACCCCACCCCACCGCTCGGCGACAGCACCCTCACAGCCCCCTCTCGCTAGAACGAAGAATATGGGGGCTGCAGCCGCTGCCAGATGTCTATCATGGAGGTTCTGGACCTGCTGGACAACGTGGTGGATGAGTCGGACCCGGACGTCGACTTCCCCAACTCCTATCATGCCTACCAGACGGCCGAGGGCATTCGCAAGGCGCACCCTGACAAAGGTGAGCCTCCGGTTCCCCCTTCGCTCTCGATGGGGAACGGCGAGTGGATTCCCGGAAAGGGGAGGGCTTGGGTGCAGGAGGGGAGGCTGCGGAGCTGCTTGGGGCCAGACAGAAAGCGTGAGGGGCCGCCCTGGCAAACGCTGAGCAGGTGCGGGCAGGGAAGGAGGCACCGCACACCGCGCTGGACTGCGGGGCCCCCAGCCCTTGTCCCGGCCCTGCCCAGTCCCACAGCTGCCAGACCGGCCCTCGGCTGGGGCCTGCTCTCACGCCCGCGCAAATAACTGGAGCACACGGGCGGGAGGGGCGGCAAGGCGACGCTCTCAGCGCCCAAATCCCCTCGGTGAACCTGCCTCTCCGTCCTCTTGCCGGCTGCAGATTGGTTCCACCTGGTCGGGCTGCTCCACGACATGGGGAAGGTCTTGGCACTATTTGGGGAGCCACAGGTGAGGAAGAGGGGGCCCCCGTCTCCCCCAGGCTCCGGCATCACTTGGCAGTTGTGCGGAGAGGCAGCCTCCGCCCCTCCCCTCCACCCATGTCGTACGTCCTTGGGGAGCCTAGTCACCCTCAAAAAGTTAGCACCTCCCTGGAGAAGGATAGCCCCCCCCCCCCTGAAGATGCAGGTCAGTTAAAGGCCACAGGTGGGGCTAAGGAAATCGCCGCACGGCAAACAGATTTCTAGCTGGCCAGGAGCAACTCAAGAATACCAGGAGGGGGCAGCCCGGTGCTCTCCGGGGGTCTCGGTCCCTGCCGCCTCCGCCCCACCCAGCCAGCCCAGCGGCTGAGGGAACAGGCCGCTGCTGTCCAGAGCATCGGGAGGGCTCCGAGCGCCCGCAGCGGGGTCTCCCCGCCCCCTCCCCGTGACCTTCGTGCCCTCTCCCGGCAGTGGGCTGTGGTGGGAGACACGTTTCCGACCGGCTGCAAGGTCCAGCCCTCGGTCGTCTTCTGGGACTCCACTTTCCTTGACAACCCCGACCTGAAGAACCCCGTGTACAGGTAAGCGCTGCTTGCCCACCTTGCTTGCTGGCCTGGCCTGGGCTTGGCTTGGGCCGGGGGGCACGGACGGCCGAGGCCGGCAGTAAGCTCAGCGGGGCAAGGGACCCCCCAGGGCCACGGACCCAGTCGGTCCTCCTGGGGCCCCAGTCAGGCGCTGCGGGGAGGGGTGCCCCCGGCCACTCGCCCTTGCCCGCCTCCCTCCCCTGCTCTCGGCACACAAATCGCGTCGGCGTTTCCCAGCTTTTGGGCACTTTCCCTTCCTTCTGAAAGGCTGAACTGCCTCTTCCAAGGCTCACCCCCGGCAAGAAGAGTTCTGGGTTGCGAGGGGGCAATACCTCGGCTTCACCCCTGCGGCTTCGGGCCCCTCAGCCCCCGAGTGCGTCTCCAGAACGGATGCCTTCCTAGGGCGAAAGCGCCTGGAGGCCCCTTCGCCGTGCCACACACGCAGCCAAGCCAGGAGGGTGTTCGCCTGGGCAGGATGCGGCCTGAGCTGCTCCCGTTTGCCTCCCCAGCACCGAGTACGGGCTCTACCAGCCTCACTGTGGCCTGGAGAAGGTTCTGATGTCGTGGGGCCACGACGGTAAGCCCCCCAGGACCGCTCCTCGCCAGCCCAGGACTTGCGAGCCCCGAACCGAACCTTTGCCCGGATCTGCAGTTCCGGTGAACTTTCACAGCCAAGCGCAGCATTTCAAATGTGACTCTTTAGACAGGGATCCGCACTTGGTTTGCTGAAGTTAGTCATTTGCCCCTGGACTTTCCGGTGCTCACAAACCCGGCAGTCTTCTTGGCACCCCGCACGGACCTGAATGTAGGCAGCATAACACGCCCCTGAAGACGGTTGGTGGGAAAACGCACTGGCCAGGCCGGTGCAGGGAGCAGAGCGAAGCGCTGCCCCTCGCAGGCCGTGCAGGCAATTCTCCGGCACTGGCGTGGAGCCCCGAAGCCGACCCGGCTCTCAGCTGCAGCGCTTAGCAGACCGGCTGCGAACCGTCTGGCCCATCCGGGGGCCTTCAGTGGCAAGGAGGGGCCCGCCTGGTGGTGGCCCCCAGACGGGGACTCTCTCTCCAGGGAGACTGCCGGGCCCCACACGGGCCTCGCCTCGCCTCACCTCCCTTCACGCTCGGGCTCTGGGCGGCACGTGCCGGGGAGCTTGGATTGCTGGGGGGTCCCGGTGGCTTCGATGAAGAAATGTTGTAACTCGTTTTTAGGCTGTTTCAAACGTGTGAGTGCATGAGGGTTTTACAGTGCTTGAGCAGAGTGCGGCCTCGCCTGAGCTTTGGCCGTTGGGTGGTAGAGAAACACAAGAAATGAGTTACCTCCAAGGCAATTGTAGAAGGGCGCGATCCGGCACACGCCGAGGCAGAATAAAGGCCTACAGCTCCCAGCATGCTGGGCAAGGCGGCTTACAGCTCCCAGCAGGCTAGGGCGTGCTGGGAGCTGTAGGCTTTCATTCTGTCTCGACCTGTGTCGGATTGCGCCCCAAATCCAGCTCTCCTGAATTCATTTTGGCGTTTGCTGCCAGGAGCGCGGGACCCTGAAAATGTGCCCGCAGATGTTACTTCAGCCCCCTCTGGAGCGTGGCTTCTGCACCGCCGATGCTCCAGCAGCACCCGGAGGGGCTTGGGGCGCGTTCTGGAGGTGTCTTTGGGGCCCCGGAGGGACCAGCCGAGCCCGACCCGCTCTTCCTCCTTCTTGCCTTTCCAGAGTACATGTATAAGGTGATGAGGCACAATCGCTTTGCGCTCCCTCAGGAGGTAAGGCGACGCTGCGCTGGGAGGGAGTCACCGGTTTCCCCCCAGTGGGTCCTCGAGAGGGAGGGCCCTTGGGCAAGAGACCGGCCCCTGCAGCAGGTTATTCTCAAAGCCGGAGGGTGGAAGGGCGGTGGAACGGAGGGATCTCTGGCCCCGGCCCCCGTCGGGCAGCTGCTTCAGCGGGGGAATCGGACATGCCGTACCAGGACAGTGGCTTTCATTCCGGGCGAATCCAGGGCGATAAACACAACTCTGGGGGCCACCAGGATGGCCCAAGAAGGCCCTGCGGCACCTCCGCTCTGGCGAAAAGCTGCATTGCGGCGAAGACGGCCGCTCAGAGCAAATGCACTCAGAAGCAAGCAGGAGGGCAAAAAGGCGGGCGCAGGGGCAGTTTGGCTGGAGGGGCCGGAGCCACTGGGGGATCCCCAGGGGGAGAGTGACGGGCCACGCCCCGCTTGCCCCCGCAGGCTTTCTACATGGTCCGGTTCCACTCCTTCTACCCGTGGCACACGGGCGGCGATTACATGCACCTCTGCAGCGAGCAGGACCTGCGGATGCTTCCCTGGGTGCAGGAGCTCAAGTACGGCTGGGGGGCGAGCGGTCCCGGGCCGGTGCGGGAGGCGCCACTGCGACCTGCGCTGCATCCCAAGGGAGGGGCATCGCGCCCCCTGCAAGCCGGGGCGCATCTCCCGGGTTGTCCCCCACAGCTCATGTGCCGCGTGCAGTCGCCCCTCCTCCTTTTCCCACCAGCTTGGTGTCCCCCAGATTTTGTCTGGGACAAATCTCACCCGCCCAGTTTTTCCCAGCTTCTCGGAGGGGCGATTCGGCGCCCCCGGGGGCATCAGAGAGTAACTGCTGCACCTTCTCCGCTCCTCTCCTGCAGCAAGTTTGATCTCTACACCAAGAGCGGAGACCTCCCGAATCCGCAGGAGCTGAAGCCGTACTACCAAAGCCTCGTGGACAAGTACTGCCCCGGCCGGCTGGCCTGGTGACGCTCCCGGCCCCTTCCTCTTCCTCGCCGAGGTGCCTGCGCTCACCGCATCCTTCAGGACTTGCTGCTTGGCAGTGGGAGCCGGGCTGGGGAGTGAGCAGGGCCCCAGAGCAACGCCCCCATGCGGGGGGCACCCCAATTTCTGCACGGCTTCTCGAAAACGCACAACGGTCATCCACACCCCCATGAAATCAGCAACTTAGAATTAGTAAAGCGCTGCTTAGATGTCTGGAACAGGCTTGTCGTCTGCTTTGTAGTTTCCAAGGATGGAGAGCGAGCCCGGCACCCCCCCAAAATGCTGCCGGGGCCTTCCTCAGGGTGGTCCCTCCGGCAGGTGCAGAGCAGTGGGTCCGCTCCCAGTGATTCCGCGACTGGTCGCAGAACAGGAAAGTGGGGTAGCGATGGTGGGCGGGGAGAAGCCCGTCCCCCCCCCCGGGGATCAGGCCTGGGAGTGGCGATTCTGCGCTTGTTCGTTCGTGATCGATCTCAGAGCGAGCCGCGAGGCGGCCAGTTTCGCCGATGGCATCCAACTATTCCAAGTGGCGGGAGCAAAGGAAACAATTTCCGTGCACCGCACCAAGTTCTCTAGAGACCTGGGGACGCAGGCACTAAACGGGCCAGGAAGTGTGGGAGGAGTAAATCAAGAGCCATGGAGGAGAAATCGTAATTCAGTGACGGGGACTGAGCCGAGTAGGAGCAACCAGGAATGGAGCCTTGGGAGCCAGGAACTCGATCGAAGCGCCACTCTGGCACGTGGCCCCGCAAAGAGGCAGCGTCAGGGAAGGGGTCGGAAAAGGAACGCTCGATTTAGCAAGGCCAATACACCTCCAGGGGCCACCTCGCCATGGCGTGCACAGAATTATAGCTGCAGATTTCTGGTTGGCACATCTGAAAGGGTGCACAGCAGAGCTGGAAAAGAGCAACGCAGCGGATTTGGGGTCTGGAGAACCTGCCTAGCAGGAGATCGTACCAGGTTCGTTGCTTTTTAGTTGAGAGAAAGAGCGAGCAGGGGAGACGCATGCTACGCCCGGCGGGAAGAAAGCGCAGGATGGCCTTTTTCTTGGGCATGAAACTCAGCGGGGTTGCCCTGGGGAGCCCATTGGTGCCGGGATTCAGGGGAGAGAAACAGAAGGGCTTCTTCATCCGGTGGAGATTTAAGCAGAATAATTTGTGGCCAGAAGATGGAGCGATGCAGTTAAAAGTGGGTCACAGAAATTCATGGCGAAAGCGATCTGTCGCTACCTGTTGTGCGATGGCTGCCTAGGACCGCGAGGGGGAGGAACGGGCTCGGGTGTCCAAGGACAGGCCAGACATGCGCATGGGGGCATGGCGTGAGTGGAGCCAGCTGGAGCCAGGGTCAGACTGGATGGCCCGGGAGCCCCTTCTGACTCTGTTTCCCTGAATGGGCAAAGAGCCCGCTTGTCAGACCGAGGGCCACCTGCCCCGGTGGCAGCGCAGCTTCCCGCGAGGTCCCCCAGCAGGTGGGGGCAAGGCCCCTCCCTGCCCGGGCTCCTCGGCAGCAGTGCGTGCAGGCGGGCCAACGCTGGTGGAGGAGCCCGTGGCCAGCAGGGCCAGTGGTCACGGAGAGCCCCCTCCCAGGAATCTGTCCCATCCCCCTTAAAAGCCGTCCAGATTGCCGGGGGAGCATCTCTCGTCGGAGGGCAGCCTCTGACCGGGGCCCGGGGCCCGGGGCCGCTGGCGGGCTTCCCAGAGGCAGCCGGGGCCACGGCTCAAGCAAGATGCGGGACTACGGAAGCCTTTGGCCCAGACCAGGATCGATCTTGGGGTCTGCAGGGGAGTGGGAGCATGCTGGCCATACCAGTGCCCTCTGGGGGGCAGGGACCGCTCCCCTCCCCCTCGGAGGTCCATCCCGCTGGGCGGTGAAGCCCACGGCAAGCACCCGCCTCGTCACGAGAAGAGCGGGGCTCCTGCGGCCCCCGGCCCTCCTGCAGAGAAGCGGCCGCGATGCGGGGGAGCCAGGAGGCCCGTCTGCTCGCTCGCCCATACGGCGCGGGCATTTGGCCGTGGGGGGGGGCAATTAGAGGGCTGCACGGGGCCACTTGCCTGGACAGGGAGGCAGCTCGCCAGCCAGTCGCCCTCCTGGGTCCACGTTTACCACACTCCGGAAGCCCCCCCCGGGGAGCTTCCACGATTCCACGGGGCACTAAGCAGGCAGAGCCCCGGGTCACCGAGGGCGCTGGACAGAAGGCCCCCTGCTGCACGGCGGCCCTCCAGCCCCACCTGGTTGCACGTCCCCCCCACTGCCTGCTCTCTTGCTTCTCCATCCACCCCCGCCCCCCCGCCGGTGCCCTCCTGCCCTCTCCCGTGGAAAACAGCCCGGGGCACGTCTCCTGCCCCCCCCCAGGGCAGCTCACAGGGAAGAGCCACCCCAGTGGTGCCGGCCCCATTCCCAGGCCACTCCGCACCCCGGATTCCGTGGCACCGCCCCAGCCGCGTGTCTGCAGCACGAGTCCCACTCCGGGGGACCCACCTCCCCGGTGCAGTGGCCCGGGGGGACACGCCGAGGCACCTGCCGCACGGCAGTGTCCCCCACCCCGCACTCACACGCAGGCCCGCCGGAACGTGAAGGCTTTATTTAGAAAAGTATAGGCAACTCTTTCTGGCCCCGCGCAGCGCCTGGGGAAGGGAGTGGGCTGCAGCCGAGCCCTGGCTCCAGCAAGGCCCCCGCCCAGGGGCAGCCCTGAAACCCCCCGCCCCCATGGGCAGCGGGGCTCCGCAGGCAAGCGGGGCGGCGGGGGGGGCCACCGGGGTGGCTGCGACTGCTCCTGGTTCAGGGCTGCAGCACGGAGGAAGGGGCCTCGGGGACTCCTAGGGAAAAGAAGCCCCTTCTTCCCGGGGGGCTTCTGGCCACTCTCCCCCCCCCTCTCCAGCAGCCCAGTGGAAGCTAGTGCCAGAGCCAGTGGGCCTCAACGCGGCCACGGCCGGTCCAGCACGCGCCCCTTGGCACCCCCAGACTGCGAGAGGCCGGCCAGGGTGCCGGGCGCCCCGTGGCGCTGCGGCCCATGGGAGGAAGGCTGGCCCCCACGGCCTAATTCCCGGCCTCCACAGGAGGAAGGGGGGAGTGCAAGCCCCACGGGGTGCTACGGGGTGTGTGGGGGGGCGGACCCACAGCCTGTTTGTGCGGAGGGGCAGGAAACGGGGGGACAGAGGCAACAGCAAGGAGATCCTGAGAGAGACCCCGACCCCCCCCACAGGCACTCCAGGGCCACGCTGGGGGGGCCTCCCCCAGACGGCCGAGGGGGCTCCGCGTCCAGAGGGAGCCAAGCCCAGGCCGGCCGGCACCGCTCAACCTGCGCCCGGGAGTCGGGTGCCACCCGGCACGGCGGCTACTTCCTCTTCTTGGCATTGCGCGGCCCCTCCGTGGGGGCCTCTGCCGGGCCCCGGGGCCCCTTCTCTGCCACCGCCGCCGCCGCCGCCACCGCCTCCTTCTTCCGCAGCTGCCCGTTCTTCTCACCGCCGGCCTGCTCCCCGCCACCCCCGGGGTCCGCCCCCGGCTCTGCCCGCCGGGCGCTCCGGGGCTTCCCGCCGCTGGGGGGGCTGCCCCCGAGCAGCGCTGCGGCCACCCCCCGCAGGAGGCCGATGGCTGCCGCCGTGAGGTAGAGGGCCCAGATGATGGCGGGGCCGGAGTGCGAGGGGAGGGAGGCCCGCACCCACTGCAGTGCCGCCGGCAGGAGCCCGTCCGGGGGCCGCTTCAGGGGCGTCTTGTCCTGGGGGGGAGGGAGAGGCTGGTGAAGAGGGGCGTTTCTGGGGCGGGGGGCCCAGGCAAGGGCAGCACGGCGGGGGCAGTGGGGGAAGGCTGGGGCTGGCGGGGGGGACTGGGAGCCCGCCCAGCCCAGCTTGCCCTCCAGGAGGGCCCCCAAGGCACGTGCCCCGCTTGCCCCCGCCCCAGCATGCACAGGCCCCCCCCCGGGGTCCCCTCCACCGGCCCACCTTTTCCACGGGCCGCGGCCCCACCGCCCCGCTCACCTTCAGGTTGTGCTGAGCTAAGAGGGCGTCCAGGTTGGGGTCGCCCAGAAAGACCACGGGGAAGAACTCCTCGACCCACTGGCGCCTCCACCAGTTCTGGGGAAGGGACCTGCGGGGGGGGGGGGGCACTGTTCAGCCCGGCCTGTCCCGGGCCCATCGCAGCTGCCCCAGGCTCTCTCTGCCCCCGGCCCCCGGGAGAGGCTCAGCTCCGTCCTCGCTTTAGGCCGCCGGCCCTCCGTGGGCAGAGGCGAGGGAGGGGAGGGCAGGGCCCACGTGACCTGCCACGGGGCCAGCCACGTGGGATGGGCAGGACAGAGCGCCTCCCTCTCCGGTCAGGGCCCAGCCAGGGCCCCGGTCGCGCCCCCCGCGCCCCCACTCACCCGTCCTCGCTGCTCCTGGTGAACCAGTACTTGTAGAGCTGCGCCCGGATGTAGGTGGGCGGCCGGGCCGCGAAGGGGTACCCGGACTCCTCGGCCTGCACGAGGCGGATCACTGCGGGGAGGCGGAGGGGTTGCCGTGCGTCTGCCGAGAGGGGGGGACTCCCGCCTGGCCGCTCCCCAGGGCCACGGGTGGGAGGGGTGCCTGCCAGGGGCGCAGGCTGGCCTCCCGCAGCCCTCCCCCCCCCAGGAAGCTGTCCCAGCCGTGGGAACGTGTGCCCCTGATTTTCCTGGGAACGAGTTGTGTGGCGGGCCGGGGGTTCTTCTGGGGTGGCCACCGGGAGGCAGGAACGCCCCCTCAGCTGCAGGCACGGCAGCCCCAGGAAGCCGCCGGCGTCTCCAAAGGGGCCGTGGAGGCGGCCGGGCCAGCCCCTCGCCGGCCCGGCCCGGCCACTCACCTTCCGTCTTGCCCTGCAGGAGGCGGTAGACAAAGCTGGCGAACCAGGGGCTGTGGCTGTGGGGGCCCAGGGCGGCGAACCACATCTGCCAGTCCAGCCGGGGCTGGTGGGGGATCAGGACGGGGGGCAGGGCGCTGGTGTTGCCCGGCTTGTACATGAACTCGATCTCCTGCGGGAAGCAAGGGCCGCGTCTGGGCGGGCTGCTGGCTGCGGGCTGCTGGGGGGGGGGGGGGGGGGGGGGCCCTCTGCAGCCACAGAGCGGGACCCCAGGGAGCCAGGGGCGCCCCCGCCCCGCCCGAGCCCCGGAAGCTCTCCAGCGAGCCCCCTGCAGCTGTGCTCTCACGCTGCCCCCGACCCGACCCGACCCCACCGCCCCCGGTCCATTACCGTCCAGGCCTGCTTGTCGTGGCTGCCTTCCAGCACCACCTCGGGTCGCCCCCCGACTCCCGTCATGCGCCGGAAGAGCCCGTAGGAGTTGGCCACCTGGAAGCGGTCCACGGCCCCGAAGAGCTGGTGGACGCTGGGCCAGAGCCGCTCGTTGGACTCGTACTCGATGTAAGTGAAGGGCACCTGCAGGGGGAGGGGAGGCGGTGGCTGGTCAGGGGGCACGGCCCCCCGCCAGAGTCCCCCTGCGGGCCTGGGCACCCCTCACCGGGGCCGGTGGGACACACCGGGCCCCCGCAAACGGCTCTTCCCGGAGCGGAGCGGCAGAGGCCCTGCGGCCGGGGGCACAGTGCCTGCAGAGGCCTCCGGGGGGGGGCGACTCCCATTCCCATTACCCCCAGCTGGGAAAGACAAGCCGCCCCAGGAGGACTTCAGCCGCATTTAGTGCCAGGCCACAGCTCCAGGATCCCATCCGCTGGGCTGGGGCTGATGGGCGTCTGAGGCCAAATGCACCAGCTGCAAATCTGCTGGGGGTGGAGAGGCAGCCATGGAGGGGGTGGCCTGTCCGAGTGGAGGGGGGAGGGGGCCAAGAGCGACTCGCATGGGGGTTTCGCCAGGGGCCCGCTGGCGCGAGTCTCTGCCTGGTTCACACTCTCCAGGGGCAGCTGGCGCCTTTTCCATTCAGCAGAGCTTGGCCTCTGCCTTCGCTTAGCCTCCGGACGCTGCCCGGGACGCGCGAGTTGAGAAAAGCAGGACACCAACGCGCTGAAAAGTGCCTTCCGTTCCAAGCAAGGAGCCCCCGCGGCCCGGCCCTCCCCCTCCCCCCCGGCAGCGCCAGGCCTGCTCCCGCCTCCCCCTGAGGCCCCTCACCAGGCTGATGGCGAACATCCCCAGGGCGGCGGTGGCGAAGACGACCGTCTGCACGGTGCCCCAGAGCTTCCAGAGGGCGCCCCGGGCGCAGGCAGCGCTGGAGGGAAAGGAGCACATGCACCAGCAGCCGGGCACTGGGAGAGGAGGCACCCCTGGCCGGAGCTGGCCACCCGGTCACCCGCCTCACAGGGCCAGGCAGCCCGGGGAGAGCGGCTTGGGCCGCGTGCCCCCCACACCGGGCCTCCTCGCGGGGCCCCTGCCCGTCACTCACCGGTAGCCGGCCTGGAGGATCTCCCAGGCGAGGGAGAGAAAGCCCAGCCCCACGAGCGGGAGGGTCACCGTCTTCAGCCACTGCATGAACTCGTGGTAGGTGAATGCTGTGGGGAGAGAGCCGCCAGAGTCCTTGCAGGCTCCCCGCAAGGGGGGGCCCTGCATGCACCCCCACCCCACGTGCCAGCCTGCAGGCACCTGCAATGGGGAGAAGGGCTTGCGGAGCGGGGGTGCCCCCAGGCCTTGCCCACCCGGGGCAGGTGACCCGTGTCAGAGCGAGCCGGCACTGGCACCGAGGCGACAGCCAGGGTCTCGGGGCGGGGATGAGCCGGCCCAGCCGAGTGCGGCCCCCGAACCACGTTCAGGGGGCGTTAGCAGCACCTCCCATTCACTGAGCCCCACAGGGCCGTGGCGCCCCCGCTGCTCCCCCCCCCCCCGGCACCCCCCTGTCCTGCACACGAGCACCTTCTGCTCCCAGTTGATCTCCATCCCAAAGTAGCGGGTGGTCCAGTAGGCCAGGAAGCTGTAGGCGCCCAGTTCTGCCAGCGCAGACAGCACGGACAGCACCCGGGGGGGCGCGGCTGCGGAGCGGAAGCAGGGCAAGTGGCAGCAGCCCACGGCACATGCCGGGCCGCGTGGTCGGGCCATCCGCTCTGAGGGGACTTGGGCACGAGGCCGGCTGTGTTGGCAGCCGCCTGCCAGGAAGCCTCGCGGGAGGCTCTCGGGGGCCACCGAGGCGTATCTGAGGAAACGGGGAGCCTCCCCCCCCCCGGAGCCACAGGAGAGAGGGGGAGCCGGAGGGTCGCTCGCAGACTCCGCAGCCACCCACGTCTGGCTCAGTCCGCACAGGGCCGGGCCCCCCGTCCCACCCCTCTGCGAGGCCTGCTGGCGAGACGGGCCAGTCCCCTTGGCCTCCTCCGCTCGCGCAAGCCTCTGCCCGCATGGCACGCCAGGCGCATGCTGGCAGCCTTCGCACGCAGGGGCATCGCTCCGAAAAAGCGGCGGAGCAGGGGAAGCCAGCCGATCCCAGGAAGAGGCGGCCTGGCAAGCGGGGGGGGGGGGCTCCGAGGGCAGGAGAACCCTTGCTGGCCGGCACTTTGGGCCCCCATCCCATCGGCAGGCGAGCAAGCCTCCACCGCTGCAGCTGCGGCCCGATCGGAGGGCCCGGGGCCCTTGTCCTCCGAGGCAACGGGCGGCCCAGGCACTCACCCCCTGCCGCTTTCCTCCGGCCGTGGCCCAGCCACAGCCCCACATGCTCCTCGTCAAGCAGGGAGAAGCTCAGGACAATGGTCAGCAGGTTGAAGAAGTTGTAGTTGCCTGTGATCATGATGAGCAGCTGCAGGAGGACCTGGGATGGTTTGAAGCTTCGTGAGGGGATGCGCTGCCCCTCGGCTGCACCCACCCCCCCGCGCTGCCCCGCAGCTCCCATCCTCTCCAGGTGGGAACGAGGGAAGCTGCAGGTGCCCCCAAGCCAACACCGCCGGGCTGCAGCACCGCAGGGCGGCGCCCCCATGGCCGCACCACGTCTGAGGGGCACAAACGAGGCCCCAGCCGGGATGCCCATCCCAGGGGCGCCAGAGGGCTCGCCCACTCCGCCCCGGCTCAGCAGCAGCCCCGGACGCAGCGAGGGTGGTCCCCATTTCCCCGCCAGCAGCCAAGGACCGTCCCCCCGCAGCCACACCCCGGCACCCTGCTCCTCCTGAGGACCGGGAGCTTGCTTTGCGCCTCTCGGCAGGAGGGGCCCGCGAGGCACCCAGGGGTACCTGGCTGTAGAACGCGAACAGGCGGAGGCGGCGCACGGGCGCGAAGAAGAGCGGGGGGATGGCGATCTCGATCACGTAGGTGGCCACCACGCTGAGCTTCTGGAACCAGACGGGCAGCTGGTGAGCCAGCCAGGCCGCCGGGGTGGGGATGCACTGGGTCTCGTAGTGGTACGTCAGCGCTGGAGGGGGAGAGGGAGGGCGGGCGGGCGGGTGGGACAGAGGCCGCGCCGGGCCAGGGGGCCGAGGACAAGGCACTGCTGCGCCCCCCGCCTGTCCTATTCCAGGCCGCGGCCCCTCATTTGGGAACACTCTGGGCCAACTCTATTCCAGGCCGATTCACAGCCCCTCCTCCCGCACGCGCCCGGCATTGTGTGCCTGGGAGTACCCGATGCGCAGGCGCGCCCCGCCCTGAGCCGCCTCTCTGGGGGAACCCTCTTTTGGGGGTGCACACACGTTTTACACGTACTTCTGCAAGCTGGGGCTCCCCCAGGCAGGCCAGCAGCTCCCCCGTGCTTCTCTGTAACTCCCTCCAGGCGACCCCTGGCCTGGTAGGGCCGCCGCCTGCGTTGGCACCAAGCCCCCGCGAGGGCCCTCCTCTCCCAGTGCCCTGCTCCGCCGCTCGCAGGGCGGATCCGGCCACGGAGGCTGGGCTCGCGTGGCACGGGCAGAGGCGCTCAGGTCCAACAGCGAGGGATCCCGCCGCCGAGTCTCAGCCACACGGCTGGCGGGGGGCGATATGCAAGTGCTGTGCCAAGGCTTCCGCACGACTCACTTCGAAGGCCGCGACACCTGGCGCACCTGGAGGCGGGCGGGAAACACGCAGCCGCAGCCCCCTGCGCACGACGTGGCCGGCCAGCCATTGCCACGTTTCAAAAGGGCTTCTGCAACGACCGCCGCGTTTCCACGCCAGGAACACGCCCCTTCCCCAGACCTGCCCGGAGCCTCTCTGGGCAGCCCCTTGAAGGGGATCCCCTGCGCACAACAGTGCGCTGAGGTGAAGCCGCCAGGTGCCCCGGGTTTGGCTGGAGCGTGAGCGGACTTTCTGGGCACAGAACCGGCAACTGGCGCCTCAGTTTCTTGCTCACTTTTAACGCGCTTTGCTCCGAAGCAGAGCCATCGCTGCCCCGGGATCCTTTTTAAAATCGGGGCAGCCAACGCCTTCCGTTCAGATCCACCGCATCTCCCGAACGATCTCACTTTGCTGGCAAACGCCTGGGATCCACCGGGGAGACGGCATTCAGCTCCGGGTCGCGCTAGTGATGTGCGCGCCCACTCTGCGCTCGGGGCACCACCCCTCCCCACTCACCTGTGAGCCCCCACCAGGTGGGGCAGCGACTGGTGAGCTTCACCACCCCCGAAGCAAACATGAGCCGGAAGAGCAGCCAGCGCACCAGCCAGAAGGTGACCCCGTCGTGCGGACGCCAGGCTGTGCCTCGCCACTTCAGCAGGTGCAGGGGGGCCACCAGGACCGCCAGGAAGCCCGTCTCCAGCAGCAGGCTGTCCCTGGTGGAAGGCAGCGGGGGGTCAGCCCACGGGAGCCGCTGCGGGGGGCCCAGCGCTCGGCACGCCCGTGGTGCTCACCAGCAGTCCCACCGGAGCGGGGCCCAGCCGGCCCCCCTGCCCCCAAATATCCCTCCTGCCCCGGGTGACTGCCCTTGCGGGCCGCAGGGAAGTGACGTGGGGCCCAAGCCCTCCCCGCCATGGCTCAGCCCCTCGGGGCCCAAGAAGAGCACTCCGTCTTTCCCTTTGGGCCGGAGTCTCCACAGAATTAAGCGTGGAGCACCGAGCCCGTGAAATACGCCCGGCCCCGGCCCCGGCCATCGTCCACGACCTGAGCAGGAGGCCCCGCCCCACGGGGAAAGACCACACCTGACGGCCCGGAAAGCTACTTACCACTGGAAGTACAGGAACACCTGCCCGACCTGCGAATGGGGGTGCGGGGGGGAGAGAGAGAGCATGTGGATGGAGAGGCTTTGGCCGCAGCCACGCGGCGTCTGCAAGGGAGCTGCCTCCAGGAAGGGTCTCCGGAGCGAGCGAGCCGGAGAGAGGCGAGCCGCAGCTTCGCTCAGGGACCGGGCCCTCCCCTGGCGGCCCTCGCAGGGCTCTGCGGGTCCGGCTCGGCCCAGGCGCTCGGCCCTTCCCAACGCTTCGCTGCGGCCCCACCTGCAGAGGGCGGGACACACCGCCCCATCCGGGAGGGGCCCAGCCGCACCCCCCCCCCCCCGGTGCAAAGCCCAGCTCTCCGCCTGGGCCCACAGGCGGCCTTGACTCAGACGGGATGGCCTGGAAGCAGGGCCAGTGGCGGGGGGGGGGGGGCCTTCCCCAGAGCCGCCCTTCCCCCAGCACATCCAGCGGGAGCCACGCTGGGAAGAGCGGAAGGGAAAGGTCATCTCGCTTTCCCACGACTGGAAAGTATTCGGGGGAGAGCCACATTCTGGCCGAGCAGCCGAGCAACAGGGCTGCAGCCTGAGAGGCAGCGGGGGCGCCACTGCGGCCCCCCGGCACGGCTCCTCTCGTTAGCTGACACCCAGCCCTGTGGGGGGCCGCGGGGGGCGACCAAGCTGCGGCCCTGCTGGAAGGCTGGCCGTGCGAGCGGGGAGCCTCGCCACGCAGCCGGAGGGGCGGAAGGCACGGCCGGGCTGCCACGCAGCTCGCTCCCTCGCTCGCAACCGTGCCTTGAAAGGCAAGCGGGACCGAGGACGGCCGTCCGGCCGGTTAAAGGCAAGGGAGGATCCTCCAGCCCCACCGAAGAAAGGGGCTCTTGCACAACTGGGAAATGTTGGCCACGGGTCACAAACACAAGTGTGGAGGCCAAGCGTGCGCCCGAACTCTGGAGCCCGGGGCACTCGGACAGGACGCGACCCCAAGGCGCCCCCCACCTCCTGGGCCAGGTCGTGTCCCCCTCCCTCCCATTCGTTCCACCGCATCGAACGCTGCCCGTGCCCCCAGCGCCCCCCGCCCAGCTGCTCCCCCAGCCCAAGAGGGAGTTCCATGAAGTGGCCGAAAGAGGAACGGTTTTCTCCTCCAAGGAAGGGCTCCCCTGAGCACGGGATGCCTCCGGCAGGAGGGGCTGGCGGGCCCCGTCTCGCCCCAGGCGGGGCAGCGGCTGCACACCGAACCCCTGGAAGCTGGGTGCCCAAAGGGGCTGAAGCGTGCCCAGGCCCTCTGGGCAGCCTGGGAGATGCTGGCCAGCCCCTCCGGAGGGCACCCCGTTCCGTCCCTCAGCGCCACGTCCCCCAGCCCGCTCGATCATTTCGGAGAGGCCGCTGTGGCTCTACGGCCCTTTCCCCAGCCCCGATTTTGCCCGCCTCGGGCCCCCCAGGTAGGTCAAGCCGTGCACGGAGACCCAGGCACTGGCTGCGGGACACGTGCACCCCCCCCTGCGGGGGCATACCTGATAAAGCGAGAGGTAAAAGGCCCGGAGGAGCAGGAAGACGAGGCTGTCGCGCAGCGGCTCCAGCAGCAGGGCCCCCAGGGCGAGCAGCGCCCCCAGCAGGCACAGCAGCTCCATGCCTTGCTCCGTGTCCAGGCCCAGGTGGGGGCAGAACCACAGGAGGGTGGGCGAGTCCCGCAGCTGCTCCCAGAAGCCCTTGCCCGTGACGCGCAGCATCCTCCGGGCCGGCAGGATGCCGTCCCGCCCATAGAGGCCTGGGAGGGGGGACAGAGAAGGGGCGTCGGACGCCTGGCGGGGGGCACCGCGGCCTCCCAGCCCCAGCCGGCCCCCAGGTGTGTTGGGTGTCTGCTGTGGCCCCTGCCAAGCCCAAGCCGTCCCCAGTCGATCCAGTGCGATGGGGCCAGCTAGGGAAGAGGTGCGGCTGCAGGGCGCCGGACTGGAGGGGCGCTCGGTGGTCCTGGGGTCTGGACAGGGGCTTCGGGGAAGAGCAGGGCTGAGCGAGGCGAGGAGTATGTGCCACAGCTGGGGCCAGAGGGTCCCCCACTGAGGGGGAGAGGGCAGGGGGAGGGGTGGGGAGTTGACCTGCCTGGCACACACTCGCCTTCAGGACGGCAGGGCACGGGTGCGAGCCCAGCCGGCCTAGAGGACACCAGGCGGGGCAGCCGGCCTGCCGGCAGCCCCACCTCTCCCCCCTTCAACCCCTCCCTCAGACCCCCCCAGCCTCCTGCAGGGCCCTTGCTCCCTGCCTGCCGCCCAGGACCACGAAGGCCGGCCGCTCCAAGGGCCGGGGCCGCCCGCTTGCCTGTTCCACGCCAGCTCGGAGCATGTGGCCTGTAACCCGCCCCCCCCACCCCCCGTTGCTGGGCTGGCAGCACCTGCAGGTGACCACCCTTGGGGGCCGGAAGCCACACAAGTCCCCACCCCCCGAGGAGCACGAGGGCAATTCTATGGGCACAGCCAGCGTCCCGCCTTGGCTACAATCCAGCCCGGGCAGAAGCGGCAAGCTGAGAGCGTTCCTGCGGATCGGGGCCCCGCAGAAATGCCACTTCGCGCTACTTCGTTTGGTGGTGGGCGACAAGCGAAGGGCAGCCCCAGGGAGCACGCGGGTGAGTGGCTGGCCCCCCACCCCCAGCGACCCCCGAGTCCGGCTCGGCAAGCCGCAGCATCGCCGCCTTGTTTCCCGACCGAGCTGCGGGCACGGGCTGCGGCGCCCGTGCCCGGGGCCAGGGACAGCCACGCCACCCCTCGCGGCCGAGGGGGAGCAGGGGACGTCCCCGGGGGGAGCCCGGCCGGCAGGAGCTGGCTGCACTTTCTGGCACGGCTCCGGACGAAGGGCTGCTCTGCTCCCGGATGCCGAGGGAGGAGCTGGCGGGAGCCAGAAACGGGAAGAGAAACCGGAGCAGGGAGGGCGGCTCTCCCCCAGGCCAGCGGGGCGAGGGGGGGCGGCAGGCGGGCGAGGGGGGACCAGCCACCAGGGCTCCGTGCTGCCGCGGCAGTGCGGGGCGGGAGGGGGCCGGCGAGCCTGCACCCCTCGTCCTGCACAAGGGCGGGCCTGGCCTTCGCAGCCCTGCTAAGTGCCACGTGGACGGACGGGGGGCCGGGGAGAGGGGCCCGCGGGACTTCCCGGCCTGGCCTTTGGTGGGGGTCGGCCTCCTCTGCCTGCAGCTGCCTGTTCGGCTTTCCCAGGCTGGGGATCATGGGAGCCGTGGTCAGGGGCACTGAGCGAGCATCTGTTGGAAGGAGGCTTTCGTGCTGCGTAAATCATTGCACGGAGCGGGCAGGGGTGGGGAGGGCCACGGGTGCAAGCCGCGTCCGCAAGAAGTTCCACTCATTTGTACGCTCTGCCACCCGCAGCTCGCGAGGAAGAGGAAGATGGGAGTGGCACAGGCGAGCCCTCCACAGGCGGGGTGGGCACCTCATGCCCTCCGGACGCTCTGGGATTCCAACTCCCACAATCTCTGACCACTGGCCATGCCGTTTGGGGCTGATGGCAGTTGTAGTCCAAGCCCACTGGAGGGCACCTCATGGCCTGAAAGAGCAAGCGCCCTGCGCCCCGCGCCCCCTGCCCCAGCAGCAGCCCCGCTTGCTGCCACGGATCCCCCCCCCCCCCCGAGTACTCGGGCAGCAAGGCGCGCGCTCGCTCTAACGCAAGGGTCGGCTGCAAGGTGCCGTCCAAATGCGTTGGACTACAACTCCCATCAGCCCCAGGCAGCGGGGCTAATGGCAGCGGCTTCCAGGAGTTGTGGCCCCGAACAGCTGGAGGGCTGCAGGCCCGGGAACCCTGTGCGGCTAGCAGGGGCGCCCGACGTCGCCGCGCCGCCCGGAGCAGCGAGCAGCGCGGGGAGGGTCCCGGGCGCCCCCGAGCCCTGCCAGGCTGACGTGGGCCCGCTGCCTCCGGCTCCCGCGGGCGCCGAGCGGTGCAGACGCGCCGAGCGCACCCTCCGGGCAGGAAAACACCCCGCGACGGAGCCGGCGGCTCTGCCATGCACCCGCCGCTCCGGCCCACGGAAGGTGCGGAGCCCGGCAGCCCGTCCCGCGCAGACGGGCAGGAGCGCGCCCGAGCATGTGCAGAACGCCGAGCGCCCGCGCCCCAACCGGGCCGCAAGGATGAGGCTCCCCCGCGCCCGGCCCGCGAGAGGCTCCGGGGCCGCGGGACACGAAGGGCGCCCCGCCGCCCCTCGGCCCGGGCGGCCCGGCAGCGCGGCTCACCGGGCAGCTGCACGTAGAGGGAGGCGAAGGCGGCGACGTAGGCGGCGGCCAGGCCCGCCAGGAACAGCTGCCGCGGCAGGCGGGGCGGCTCGGCGGCCATGGCGCTGCGCTCGGCTCGGCTCGGTCCGGCGGGCTCGCTCGCTCGCTCGCTACAATGTAGCCGCTCGCGGGGCGGGCGCAGAAGCTCGGCCGAGGCCGCGGATTGGCCCGGGCGCGCGGGCGGGCGGGCTGCGCCACACCCCGCCCACGCGCGGGCGGGGCCCGGAGCTCGGGGGCGGGGCCCGGGCGTGACGTCATCGCGGCTCGACGGCGGCGCCCGCCGGGAGCGTCACTGGGGGCGGTCGGGCGGGAAAGACGAGTGTACTGGCGCCGCCGCCGCCGCCCTGCTGACGGGGAGCCTCGCGGTCCCTCGGTAAGCAGCCCCGGGCCCCTCCCCGCGGGAAGCGCTCTGCACGCCCTCAGGAGCCGCCGTCCCCGCCTTCTCCCCTTCGCTCCGGGCAGTTTTCTTTGGCCCCGGGCTTCCTGAGAGAAACACCGGGAGGGCACTCGGCGGACGTCGCGCGACGCTGGGCTCCCGCGTCAGCCTCGCCCCGGCTCGTGGGCAGCGGGGCTCGTGGCGTCCGGCCCCGGGTGCAAAGCGCCAGGAGGGCTCGGGGGCTGCCGCGCGGCCGGGCTTGGCTGTGCAGCCATCGCATTCCTGTTCCTGCTTCATAGCTCTCTGGCAGTCGGTAAAGCAGCGCTCGGAGAATTAAAAGTTAAAACCGAGCACGTGAAAAGCAATACCCAGATGGAGCCTAGTAGCAGTGCAAAGGTTTAAAACAGAACCTGAAAATAAAACGGCAGAGAAGCCCATGAGGCTTTCGCCTGGCACCTAAACATAAACACCTCCATGAGAGAGGAAGCGGTGTCAGCCCCACTAAAAGAGCGTGTAATTAAGAGGAGGCGCTTAATCTGGACCCAGAAGGTGTTAACCAGCCCCCCCCCTCCCTGGGGCAGCAGCTGGAGCGGGTGGTGGCTGAACAGCCCCTGGCACTCTTGGAGGAAAGTGACCAACCTGATTCACTGCTGTCTGGCTTCAGGCCTGGCTTTGGAAAGGAGACCGCCTTGGTCACCCTGTGGGATGAGCTTTGCCGGGAGAAGGATGGGAGCGCAACCCAGTCGATCCTCCTGGACTTCTCAGCAGCATTTGATACCGGCAGCTGCGGTATCCCTGTGGATAGGCTGGCTGGGCCAGGAGTGGGGGGCGCTGCCCTGCAGGGGTTCCACCAGGTGGAGCTGGGGGTCTGTAGCTTTGACCCATGGCGGTTACGCAGAGGAAACCGCACTGGCGTGATATGCACTCGTAGGCCAGAAGCAGCCTGTGAAGAAGCCTCACTGTTATATTTAGGATTAGTGGCGGTTTTTGGACCATTTTCAAAGACAGCCCCGTGCAGCATGCATTGCGGTAGTCCAGATAAGAGGTTACCAGAGCATGGATGACTGTGACCCGGCTCTTCCTGTCCAGATAGGGACATGGCTGCCAAATCAGTCTAAGGTGCTCCTAGCCACTGAGTCCACTCTGTTGCTCTGTTGTGCCATGGGGCACCGGGAGGCTTCATTTTATCCCCTCTGCTATTTGTTTGCCAACCACCCAGAGAGCCCTCTGGGCTATTAGGGTGGTATATAAATGCAAAGAATAAATAAAATAATAAACATCCACATGAAACTGCTGGGGGAGGTACTGGGGGAGGTACTATCCAGAGGTACTATTAATATGCAGATGACACAGTAATCCACAACCATGGAATTCTCTTCTCTTTGTAGCCACTCACCTGGCTTCTTTCAGTGGGGGCTCAGAGGAAGGACAGCCAGTCATGGTCTTGGGGTCCAGGATCTTGGTGTGTGGAGGGAGACAGTCCTCCTCCCCAAGCTGCAAAGGGCTCTGAGCAGTAATACCTGGAAACAGGCTGGCAGCCAGGGCAGGTGGCAAGTACTGGTTCTCGCTGGCCGGTCCCCGCAAACAGCCTTGCGGCTCTGTTTTGGGCCAGCTGCAGTTCTTTGGCCATTTCTGAAGGCAGCCTCACACCTGTAACACATTGCAGCTATATAGATGGGGAGTTAGCAGAGCACAGGTAACCGTACCTAAGCCGTCAGTGTCCAGGTGTGGGTGTAGCCAGTGTATCGGCTTGAGGTGATCTGAGACCACTCGTACCTCTGGGGCCCACACTGGGTCCAGCAGCATCCCCAGCCTACACGTCTGTGATCCTGTAGCGGGGAACGTGATCTCCTCCAGAACAGGCCGAGTATCACTCGGCTGGGCAGACGAGCTGCACGCAAACAGCACCTCGATCTTGCCTGGATTGAGCCCCAGAATGTCAGAGCACGGGGCTGGTCCAAAGCAGATGGGCAGAAAATGCGCATCTGTGGGGGTGCCTCCTGTTGTGCAGGCTTCTGAGCACTTTTCTTCAACAGACCAGGGAGCTCCAAGCCTAGAGTGCGCTGAGTCGTCCTGCAGCGCCCGCCCGCGCTAGAAGCCAGCGGCTCCATGGAGGACGTCGAGTCGCGTTTCACGCACTTCTTGCAGCCCATCCGGGATCTCACCAAGAACTGGGAGGTGGATGTCGCAGCTCAGTTGAGCGAGTACCTGGAGGAGGTGAGTGACCCTTTGCTCCACGCAGCAGGTGGGCGGAGCGGTGCCTTTGCAGCCGAGCTTGCTGGTGCACAGAGAGCTTTGGGGTTTGGCTGCTGGAGCGCACTGTTCTGACTCGCATGAGCCTGAGGGGCAGCACTGCTGCGTCCCAGCTGGAGCACGCATTCAGCGCACAGCGAGGCTTGGCACCTACTGCTAACAGTGAGTGCCTGCGGAACGTGCAGCGAGCGCCAAGGCCTTTTGCCCGTCGGCCCCAGTGCAGATGCCGTCGATCCGTCCCTCTTCCTAAGCTCCCCTGTGACGCGGTGCTCTCCTCCTGCAGCTTGACCAGATCTGCATTTCATTCGATGGCGGCAAAACCACCATGAACTTCATAGAAGCAGCGCTGCTGATCCAGGGCTCCGCCTGCGTCTACAGCAAGAAGGTGAGGAGAGGTTACAGGTGGCTCGGCCTGGCGGAGGAGAGCCTGGGCCACGAGGAGCAGTTCAGCTCAGGGCGCCTGGAGGCGCTTCAGCTGCTGCTCTTCTCCCATCGAGAGACCAAGACCAATATCCAAGGAGCGGGCGGGAGCACGGCCTCCTCGGTGCGAGGCTATGCCTGAACCGCTTGCCAGCATGTTTATGAGTCAGAGGAGGTCTCCGCCTCTTCTGGCCAGACTCAGCTGGCTGTGAGGTTTGCGGGGATTAATTCTGTCCTCTCAAAGCACTGGAGCAGAGAACCTCACTGGGGCACCAGTATGCTTACACTGGGACCCAGAAAATGCACCTGCAGGCATAAAGTTCGTGTCCGGGAGGGTACCTGCTGCTGGCTGGTCCACAGACTCATAGAAGAGTCAAGTGGGGAGGGGCCATGAGGGCCGTCGGGTCCACGCCCTGCCGGTGCAGGACAAGTTATGCCGTCCCGCTCAGGTGGCCTCTCGATCCGCAAATGCTTCAGGTAACCGTGTGCACAGACGGTCCTGCAAGGATGCTCACAAGAAGCCCTAGGGACACTGGGAGGCGCCGCTGGTCCGCTGACTGCTTAGTGTGGCCATTCATGGACGAAGACGTTTGCTGCCAAAACCTCGCCTGCCCCCAAGTGCGGTGGCCTCCTCACTGTCTCGGATAAGGAGGGTGTTCACTTGTCTTGGACTGAACAGTGTTTGGTCAGCCCCCAGTGACGGGCCTGGTTTCTCTAGATGCCTGTAAGCGGAGGTGCTGGGGCTGAACCGCAGACCACTGCGACGCTGGTTGAGTCCTCTGCCACGCGGCCGCCGTGTGCCCTGGGCTCGGCTCCGCACTGCCAGAAAATGTGCTTTCCCCAGACCGGTGGAGCGCTTCCTCTCGGCATTCCACGGAACCTGTCATTTTTTTTTTCTCAGGTGGAGTATCTCTACTCGTTGGTCTACCAGGCACTCGACTTCATCTCCAATAAGAAGTGAGTGAAATCTTTTGAGGCAGGAGGAAAATGGATTTTCACATGCAGAGGCCAGCAGGGCTGTCCAGCTCCTGCCCCGAAATCCCTCCCTTTGGCCTGCTGCTCTCAGTGATCGCTGAAATAGCTCTTTGCCTTGCCTGGACTCCCTTCTTCAGAAGCGCGTTGTCACGGCACCCTTTTGCTGCCTTTCCTTTTCAGGTTTGGCCCATCATTTTGTGCTCTCCATGTTGTATTTTTCAGCAAGGCAGTTTGATAATCTGTTTTGCGGGGTAGTACAGTTGCCCCTTCCGGAAATGTTGAAGGACAGGAATGGTTTCGAATCCCCTCATGCTTCTCACAGCCATAACGTTGGCGCATAACTCACAAAGGGAAGGAAGAGAAGGTGGAGCGCCTACAAACAGTGCCCACCGTTACCTGGGCAGAACGCTTGCAGGGGGGTTGACATTCTATGCAGGGGCCCTATGGTGCTTCAGGTGGTGAATCTCAAGTATAGAAATCCTACATCGTGGGTTCTAGAGGACCAGTTCACTAAAAACCACTTTAAAATGACATCGTTTGCTTCCCCTTCTCTTCCTGTCTTCACCCCACCTGTTAGGCGTGAGAAACTGCCTGCCTCAGTCAGAGAGGACGGAGCCGACAAAGATGTCAGCGCTAGATCAACGGCAGAAGAGGAAGGGGTGAAGTCCGGGGCCGTGTGCACGGAGCGTGTTTGTGTGGTCGCGCACGCGGCCCAAAGTGGGGGCCCTGTGCCTGCAGGCGGGGTGCTGAGCTGGCAGTGGGACCGTTCGCATCGCGCTCGACCAGGACTTGCTTGCTTGCCGCTTCTGGCCCCAGTTCCTGGCCTGCCCTTAGAGCCAAGGAGGAGACCCTCTGCTCCGTCTCCTGCTTGGCAGCTGCTCAGACGTTTCAGGACCACCCCGTTCCAGGAAAGCTCCTGAGCGGGCCTTTTCTGCACTATAGTTTATGCTTGCTGTGTGTTTGTTACAGAGCTTTTAAAGTTGCAAGCGATATTGGAGCAGAACACAGTAACTTTAAGACAAGATACAAAAGATGGAAATATATGCAACGGGCTCAGTAAAGCCATGGCTGAGCCTTCAATCACTTGGATTCCTTCATTACGAAGCTTTTAGGGATCTCGGTGATCAAATGTGCAGAAAATGCTGTGGATGGTCCCTAGCTGATTTCCAGACGGGGAGCTGTGTCCGTCTGTTGGGGCTGAAACAAGGACTGGCACAGCCCAGGCTCAGCTAGACAGAGAAAACCCTCCAATTCCCAGCATGCCTCGGCCCGCAGGGGGCATAGGATTGCGACCAGGACCTTAAAAGCAGATACTTCTATTGTGGCATAAGCTTTCCTGGCCTTAATCGGGTGGGGATAGCTCCATAGATGGAGTTCAGACACGTCTGGTGTCGTTTTATTTTAAAGCTGTGACCTGCCATATTGGTGGGGCATACCTGAAAAGCCGTGGGCCCACCTTTCCTGCTCGGTGGCCTCCCGTCGCCCTACCTGCCAAACAGCAAAGAGATGCTCTCTTGCCTGAGGCAGGTACCTGCCTCTGACAGCTTCTCTATCTTTTTCTCTGCAGTTCCTCTCTTTGAATGACATCCGGGATACCAGCAGAGCAAAGGAGTTGAGGGACGGCCAGCAGCCCGTGGTTCGTGATTTCTGCCTTTGCCTTTGTTGGGGATTTATGGGGCTGAAGGGGATGTGAGAGGCCAGGAGGCCAGGAATGCCTCTGCTGCCACCCCCAGAGAACATCCAAGGCTTCCTGGGCACGGAGGAGGTGACAGTCAGACAAGCTAGACTTTATTCCACTGGATCTGCACGTAGCTGTTTGGCACGTGCCTAGAATGGCAACAGAATGCTTCCGAGTTAATGCTGGAGACCCGTGGCTCGCACGCAGGGGAAAGCACGGCCCGTCCTTTTCCCAGGAAAGACGGGTGGCGACACCCTGTCCCACCCCGCTGTGCTGCCCGAGCGCTTCCCGCTTATTCGCGCTAGTGGCCCCAAAGCAGCGCAGGGCCACACGTTCTGTGGGAACACGGCCTGCGGGGTGCCGCCTTTCAGGCTGCCTTCTGAGCTGCTGGGAGGCATCCGGCTTTCCTCTCCCAGGAACTGCTGCCGCTCCGCTTTGCTGATTCCACTCTCATAAGCGCCACTCCGCTGTGTCGTCCCCCCTGTCCCCCACGCCCCCCCCACGATCTTCTCTGAAGAGGCCTTTCTTAATCAGGAAGCCAATCCACCCCACCTGCCCCTTCCTGGACTCTCCCCAGCTCTTGTCCTGGCTCCTTGAGGGGCCGTGTTCTCTGCAAGGGAAGCAAGAACCCTTCAGCCTCTCCTGCACTGTGGGGTAACTGTCATCCCCCAGCTTACTTTCTATGTGGCAATTTACACATAAGCAGTCCCACCGAATGGCGGTTCTAAGCCGTTGCCCCAAAGGACCTGGTCTAGTATGTCCCCAAATTCAGCTTCCTACCTCATATGGTCTTTTCCCCATAAAGTGAAATGTACCCGAGGCACCAAGGTACCCCAGAATCTCTGTAAGAATAGTTGTGCGGGGTACTTTATACCCCCAAAATAGGCCCCTCAAAAAGGAACCAAGGTTCAATCCAGATAATTTTGGTCTCTTTACAGCTGAGGTTTTTTTTAACTCAAAGCCTCCAGCAAACAGAATTGAAATCCATGAGGGAAGAATTGGAGGGAAAGCCGTGCAAGGATTTTTTAAAAAACTGGTAGGCTGAAGTGTTGTTATGCAGCGAAAAGACCAAAGGGCCTGTCCCCATCAGGCAGATTTTCTTGATTTGCGTAGTATCAGGGATGATTAAACCTTTAATTATCTGTTCTGGCTGATAGCTGGAACTAATTCTTGTGCTGACTGAAACCCCAAAGGAAAAAATTCATCCAGAACAAAGGCATTTGAGATGCAGCATTTATCTTGCCTGAAGCCCCTTCACCTGGGGCACAGAATGACCCCAAATGCAATCCCAAAGTGGTAGCAGGATTTGTGTTACCACAGAGCTCTTTGGCGGGTAGCTTCTGTGTTGAACAGGGAAGGAGTGAGTCTCCTCCAGGACCTGCGGATGCATTATCGATCCTGCCCCAAACCACAGGACGTTATTTTTCCATGTCTCCACCCCTGCCCCTTTCCGGGCCTCAGCTCTCCAGGAATCCACTGTCTTGTCTCTCCAGAATGACGACGTTGTTCCCTTGACGCCAATGCCCTTGGTTCCCCCAGAGGAAGCAGAAAAGACGGACAACCTCCTCTACAGGTAACCCCTTCACTCGCCTGAGCCACCTGGGCGCTCCGGCTGCTCCCTGAGGGTGGCCGCCGGCCGCGGCTCATCCGCATTCTGCTTCCCTGCAGCCAGAAGGGGGAGCTCTTGGCCAGCCGGAAGGACTTCCGCATCAACGTCTACACCCCGCACCACACCGGCACCTTCCTGCTGGAGCTGGCGGGCGCCTTGCCCCTGCGGTGCCAGCCTGGGCGGAACCCTGCATGGGGCAGCGGCAGCTCCATGGGTACGGATGGCCCCGAGCCCTCGCTCCCACCAAGGCCACCCTCCGGGCCCTTAGGGGTCCCTCCTGGAATGGGACGGGCACACCCGAGGAACGCAGGTGGCGCTGAGGCAGCGTCCTGGAGGACCGGCCCGGTGCCCCCCGAGCCCTCCGCTCTGCCCAGCAAGATGCCTGCGAGTGGCGCGCCAGAGCAGCAGCCGAGAGCAGCGCTGCCCCTAACACTGGGCCGGGGCCTGTGCGGAGGGCGCTGAGCACCAGTGCCCCGGATGCAGCCGGCTGCTTGTGAGGGGCTCCTTGCTGACAGTCCAGGGGAGCCGGCCTGCTGGCTGGCTGGGCGGAGGCTTTCCGTCCCTGGGCCTGAGGGGCCCGCTCTCGAAGGCGCTCAGCACCCTCGGCCCCCTGGCTTTGTTGGGCCGCGTGGCTGCCCGCTGCCCTGGTCTGGCCCGGAGTCTGCCCACCTGCGATGGCCACTGTGCCCGGCTGCGTGGCAGGAGGCGGGAAGGCTCGTGGGGGGCCCTGGAGACAGTGCTTCCTCTCCCGCAGGGCCGCTGAACCTCGTCCCTGCAGCTGGGTCCACCCCCATGGAGGTCAGCGTGTGCACAACGCCCGTTCTTGCCCTGAACTTCTCCGAAGGAGGTGAGTGAGGGCTCGCTTTCCGCACTGAAAGACAGCCGTTCCGGGGCAGCATCACCAAGTTCAATCCCAGGGAACCGCCTCATTCGAAAGCTTCCAGAACATGGGCCTGGCTCAGGTTTCTTCCTGGAAAGCCTCACGGGTCATGCGCTGCCTCCCAGCCAGCAAATGCTCGGGGCAGCTTACGAGCTCGTGGCTGTCCGGCAGGCCAGGCACCAGCCTGTGGGCCTGCCGTCGCAGAGGCAGAAGCGGGCCGTGCGCCTCTGGCACGGAGCGTCAGGCCAGGGACTTGTGCTCCCGAGGCTGCAGCCAGCCAGAGGAAGCCTGAAGCAATCCAGGCTTGGCTGCAGGACTGGCTGAGCGAGTCAGAGGAACAGAGCGAGCCAGAAGGGGCCTCCCGGGCCATCTAGTCTGACCCCTGGCTCCAGCCGGCTCCGCTCACGACATGCCCACCACGTGCATGCCCAGCCTATCCTTGAACACCTGCACCGATGGGGTCTCAACGACCTCCCGGGGAAGCCCATTCCACACCCTGGGGGTCCCGACTGTCAGGAAGTGCTTCCTGGCACCCAAATGGACCCTTGGCTCCCTGAGCTCGGCCCCGTCGGAGTCCCGGCAGCAGCGGGAAGCCCTTGGCCACGTGTCCCTGTCGGTGAGCATCTGCATACGTGTCGTGGCGGATGTGGCACGCTGTGCTGCGTGCGCTGCTCCTGGGTGCACTGCGCCCCACCAACGTGTGGGAGAGCTGTTTCTAAAATGGGAATGTGCACAAGCACCCCGAAGCACAGGCCCCGGTTTGGCCGCTCTGTTTCCTTAATGCTTGCACAAAAGAGCAAGACCCTGAGTCGATCCGTCTCCCCGTTCCCTTGGCCACGGACCCATCCAGTCCGTGCCTGCTGCCAGAGCCGGGAAAAGCGCTTGGCACAGGCCACCCGCAGCTTCTTGGAGTTCATTCTGGACCTAAAAAGGAAGCGGGAGCCCCGCGTGGCCGTGGAACTCCCAAGGGCCACGCCACCGACCGGCTGGCCGTTTCTCCACACTGCCCTTCTGGAGGAAGACGTGATTTCGGGGCCGGGGATTTGGGGCGGTGCTGAGGAGCGGCACGGCACCACGGGGCGCGTGCCTGAAGGCGGCCCTTCCCAGCGGTCCTCTGGCGCCGCTCAGCCTAGCGAGCCTCACAGCCTGGAAGGCGCTCCCAAGCGGGGAGGCACTGGGAGGAGGCGGCGGGCAAGTGGCCGCCCGGGGGCTCCTTTGCAGAGGTCGGCCGTGAGATCGCTCCTCTCTCTTCCCTCCCCGCCTGAAAGGAGATGTAGACGCACCTCCCTGTGACGATGGCGACGACGGCGGCTTCGCATGGGACGTGCCGCAGGAGCCCCCGGAGGCCTCGCCCGCTGGAGCGGCAGAGCGTGTGGCACTGCAGGCGGTACTTGCTGGGGAGGCGAGGGGGGCCGCCGGGGCCGCCCTGCCGCCGCCGCCGCCGCAGGGCCCTGACAGCCCTGCCTCTCTTCCAGAGCCTCCCCCAGAGGAAAGGGTACATGCTGCGGGAGAGAGCCCCCGCCCCGGCTGCCAACACCCACCCCAAGGTAAGGGCAGGTCGGGGTCAGCCATCTGCCGCAGCTGGTCCCCGGTCCCCCACACAGCACAGCACGGGCAGAGCCCTGGGCACCTCCCCGGCATCGCTCCCCCTGTGAGCCGTCCTGGCCCCGAGTCTCAACTCCGGGCCCTCTCTCTCCCAGGAGCTGCAGGACCCTTGGCGCAGCCTGGACCCCTTCAGCTCTTCTGAGGACAAGCCTCTGAGGAGAGGTACCGGGGCACCTGGGGGGATCTGACTGGGGAGCCCACCCCGGGCCTGCAGAGGGTCCCGCGGACACCAACGGAATGCGAGGAGTGATGCGCCCCCTAAGTCTCCCCCCGAGATCCGGGGGTCACACCACGTGGCCTGGTGTCTCGTGGCGGTCCCTGGTCCCCGCAGACGGCAACCACCGGGGCGGGGCGGGGCGGGGGACTTGCCCGTCTGGGGCTCTGGTGCTGGCCAGAGAGGAGCCAGGGCTGCGGGCTGGTGTGGGTCAGGAGCCGGCCTGGCGCCTGTTCCTTTGCGCCAGATCCCAGGTGCCCCCCCTTCCTCCCCCCCCTTGTGCTCTCTGCCACAGGCAGGCCTTTCACGGTGCCGCGTGGCCTGGAGGATTTGCCCGGCACCAAGCGGAAGCGGAGGCTTTCCAGCCGGCTGCAGGAGTTCACAGCCTGGTTTTCGGCCACAGGTGAGCGCCCGGCTTCTGCCGTCTCTCCCGAGGCGGGATGCTGCACCTGCGCGGGTCCAGCCGGTTGTGCGGCACGAGGGCTGTCTTGGGCTTGCGCATCCGGTGCCGTGGGAGGGCTTGAGGCGGCCTCTTACCCCGGAGGCGCCGCCTGGAGCACTGCGTCCCGTGGTGCGAAGGATCCGACTTACTGCGGAGGCTGCAGGCTCTTGCCATCGCTCTTTGTGGTGCAGCCTCAGACTCTGACTCGGCGCCCCCAGGAGGCGCCCCTGGCACCCCCCCGCCCAGCTGCCTCTCCCGCTGGTTGTATTTTAAATAAGCGCCTGGACACCGGCAGTCGCACAGCGACTCGCCACCTCCAGCCTCTTCTCTTGTGGCCGAGCGCGCCCCTCGCCCTCCTGGGCCCCGGCAGGGCCGGCTGTGCCGCACTTTGCTTGGGCCCGGCTGCCGGAAGCGGAACGGAGGTGAGCAGCCCCCTCGGAGGCTGGGGGGCCGCCGGTGAGCGAGGCGGGTGGGGGCTCGGCCTGCTTGGGGACGCGTGGCAGGGAGGGGGGGCGCGCTCTCCCGGGGCTCCGTGGGGGTGCGCATGCCAGGGTGTTCTGCGCGCCACCGGACTCCTCAGCCGGGCGCTCAGCGCCTTCGGTGCCGCCTCCGCCTAAGCGGCCTGGCCGGGCCGGGCCTTGCCTTGCCTTTGCAGAGCACAGCAGAGCCGACGGCCAGAGGGGCCGGAAGAAAGGCCCGACGTTCGCCGGTGAGTCCGTGCGGCTTGAGGCGGGGGGGGGGGGGCCCCCCCCCTTTGGCCCCCCCCCCCCCCTTTCCCACGCCAAAAGCCCCCCCCCCCCGCATTTCTGGGCAGATCTGGAGGTCCTCTACTGGAGGCACGTGAGGGAGCGCCTGGCCGCCCAGAGGAAGCAGCAGAGGAGAGTGGTGAGCGGCGTGACTTGCCGGGGCCAGTCGCCCCAAATCTGCTTCCGCCCACCCCGTGGAAGGAGCCCTCGCCCGGCAGCAGAGCCCGTGTCTCGCAGGAGGAGGTCGGGCGTTCGGAGCCGCCTTCTCAAGGCAGGGCCGTAAAAGCTCCTGCCCGAAGCGCCGGGAGTTTCCTGCCGGTCTGTGCCTACGAGATGGGTCCAGCGGACCCAGCGAGGCCGAACCCTGCAAGGCCGCTTCCCACGGAATCCCAGAGTGGCGGAGTTGGGGGGGGGGCCGGAGGGGCGACCCCCCGCGCAGTGCAGGACTCCCACAAGGCAGCCCCCCGAGTTAAACCACCCTCTCAGAGGGCTGTCCAGCTGCACCTTGAAGGCCCGCCACCTCCCCCAGCCATCGGCTCTGTTGTGGTGGCGATCGGGAAAACAAGCCTGCCGTTTTTTCTGCTTTCAAATGAAGCAGGGCCCGCTGTTGGAGGAACCGGGTGCCCCCGAGGAAGACCGGGAAGACAATTTCTTGGAGAACGCCAGTGATGGTGCAGCAGGTACCTGGCTTGCCCAAAGCGTAGGGATATTTCTCAGGCGACGGGAAGCGTGGGCGGCCCTTTCTTGTTGGCAATCCCCGCGTCTTCTCCCCCTGCCCCCCAATGCTCTGAAACAGCCCCCACTAAATCAGCGCGTCTGTCCTTGCAGAGGGAAGCCAGCAGCCCCACGGAGGGGTAGTGGCTGGTTCTCCAGCCTCGAGGGGAAGCGGCCCCGTCTGCCACCCTCACTATTCCGTTTCAAGCCAGGAGATGTAATCCTCCGAGTTCAATAATCCACATGTCAAAATGCTCGTGCCACAAGGGCTGTGGCTCTCCGGGCTTCGCGCAAGAGTTGCGGGATCTCCACCGCGGACGGTTTTAGCAGCTCCGCCCGAGTGTTCTCGTTTCTGCCCCCGACCCCATTCCTTCCCAGGCCCGGAGTTACGGCACAAGGGGTCTGGATGAGGCGGGCGGAATCTGTCAGGGTGCGATGTGCCAAGTTGAGCACTCTCGCCTCCGGCCGACCTTGCTGGGGCTTCCTCCTCTTCTGCGCCTTCAAAAAGCGGTAACGGGGACCCCTAATGAAGTCGCTCGTAATGTGGCCAGGCCGGGCAATGCGGAGAGCGCCTTGCGGACCAGCCCTGAGCACGTGGTGGGCCTGAGGGCTCCGGGCCGTGAAGTCTTGGCCGAGACAAGCCAGCGCTCGGGAGGCCCGTGAGCTGCAGGCCCCCTGTGGGCGGAGCCAAGCGGCAGAGCGTTCGTGTAAACTGGGCCGGATCCAGACTCGATGGTAGCTAAAGCAGGCCTACTGAACGCGGTAGGGCTAAAGTGAGCCTTGGCGAACTGAAGTCCCACTGATTTCTGTGAGCCCTCTCGCACGCGGGATCCGTGATGCTGCAACGATTGAAGGCAACATGGAAAGGGCAAAAATTACGGCCAAGGCACAGATCCCTACGGATCACCCACGGCCTCCTCCGGTGGGCAGGACATGCTCTGTGTCCAAGAAAGCCACACGTGTATAGGAACCTCCAGGGTACGTTTGTTTCTATGGTTAGGACCCCGAGGGTGTGGAATGGGCTTCCTCGAGAGGTCGCTGAGGCCCCATCGGTGCGGGTGTTCAAGGACAGGCTGGACGTGCATGTGGTGGGCATGTCATGAGTGGAGCTGGCTGGAGCCAGGGGTCAGACTAGATGGCCCCGGAGGCGCCTTCTGACTCGCTCTGTTTCTGTGTTTGCTGCTAGCTGGAATGGGCTAGCTAGCATGCTGCTGGGGCAACCTGGGGGCACATTCATTGGTGGCTGATGTGCCCAAACATTTCCCCAAAAGGGTGATTCTTTAATGCAGCTGCCCTGACCGAGGTCCTTTCCTTCCACAGATGACTCTCTGGAGCATGAAGCCATTCCCCTGCTCGAAGCCCCGGAGGAGCTGCCCGAAGACCACACAGGTAACCGGCGGGGGGGGCATGGGTCCACCAGCTGCCATCTCATGACGACGGACAGCAAGCCCACCCCTAGCACACCCGGGAAAATTCCTCACGAGGAGGGTGCCTTCGGTCAGGTCAAGGCCGATGCTCGTCACCCAAGGGCCCACGGCTTTAGGGAGCGGGAATTAATACTGGACCCCTGCAACTCCCCCTCGTCCCCCTTTCCTTCCAGCCCAGCTCTGGCACTTCCAACCTGCTTTCCTTAGACACTTGTTTAACAGTATGTCTGAAATGGGGAGCTGTGGTCAGGGTCAGGGTCTGCAGGCAGAAACCACAGTTCTGTTTCTGTAGTCATGGGAAGCCTTTTGAAAGGGCCAGGCCGAAGCCCCCGAGCTGGTGCACCGTGCGTGGCAAGCAGCCCGAGCCGCCCTTCCTGGCTCGAGCATCCGAGCCACCTGGCGTGAAGGCCCCGTCCAGGCGGAGGGCCAGCAGTGGGCGGGGGCTCAGCAGTGGGCGGGGGCTCCGTGGGCTGCCGGGCCGGCTGCAGGCGTGCGCAGCCCACCTGGAAGCCGGGGCAAGCGGGGCGTCAGTGGCCCAACGGTGCGCGTGGCTCCTCTCCGCTCGCCGCTTCTCGGGGCTCCAGCGGCTCCCAGGGTGCCTCGGGGTGGGCTCGCTCCTCCGAGATGCCGACACGGATGCCTCGTTCTCGCTTTGCTTGCAGCCACTGCTGACGTCCCCCCTTCCCTCAATTACGAGGAGCTGGTGCAGAGGAAAGTGGTGCGTAGCCTGTCCTGGAGGGCGGGGGGGGGGGCAGGATCCCACCCGCCTCACAGAACCGGACCGGCTCGGCTTCCCCTTCCCCCTCTGGCTGGGCGAGGGACCGGGGGGGGGGAGCGCTCTGCTCCGTGGATGCGGAGACGAGTGGCCAGGCCAGGCCGCCTGGCTGTGCCGGCCGCTTTGCTGGCTCCAGACCTCGTGACAAAGCTGGCAGGCCAGCTGCGGGAAACGGGTCGCGCCCCGAGAGAGGCAGCGGAGCCCCCGGCACTGGGGCCGCCAAGCGCCCGCCTGCCTGCTTCCTGTCCCGGGCAGCCCTCGAGCAATGGTGCTCTGGGCCAGGGCGAGTGTGGTGGAAGACGCAGGGGGCGATTTCCCTCTGGCCGGTGACCCTTTTGGTGAGGGTGAGCGCAAAATCGCCATTGCGTGCAGGAGTAAGCCGTCCCCGGGAGGGCCCTCTGGGCTCCAGTCCTGCACGGCTGATCCAGAGCCGAGGACCGTGCGTGTTTTAATTTTTCTCTGGGGACCTCCCTTCCCTGGACCCAAACCTAAGCGGCCCCCCCCTTTTCTGCACGCGCTCCCAGGAGCTGTTCATGACGCACTCCCAGAAGTACGCCCGCCAGACGATGCTGTCCCAGCATGTCCAGGACTGGGAGGAGAGGATGGGGCCGCAGCTGGAGGAGCAGGTGAGGGGCAGGGCGTGCTGCTGTGGGGCAGGGCAGGGGCCGCGGGTTGGCGCTCCTAAGCCGCGCTCTCCCTGCACAGGAAGCCCGGACGGCCTTCGACATCCACAGCTACGGGGACCGCCTGGGCTCCCTCCTGGGCCGCGTGGGCGAGTGGCGCTCCTTCGCCAGCCTGATGGCCGGCCGGCCGGCCTTCGAGGTCTGTCGCTCCATGCTGGCCTGCCTGCAGCTGGTGAGTGTGGCAGGGGAACATGGGGGGGGGGGGCACGCACGCAGGAGCAGGGCTTCTGGCGTGGTGGTGGCAGCGTGGGTGTCCAGGCCTGGCCCGTCCCTCGGGACCCCCTCCCCAAGGGCTGGGTCGCCCCTTTCCCAGGCCCGGCCCACGTCCACGCCTTCTGGCCCTTCAGCGCTCGTGTTTCCCTAGGCGAACGACCACACCGTTGAAATCTCCCAGAAGCCTGGCCTGGAAGAGGCGGTGGACACGATGGCGCTGCGCCTGCTGACCCAGGAGAAGGCGCACGAGCGCTTCCGCACCTACACCACTCCCTCGCTCGCCCAGCAGTGATGGGCCCTCCCCCAGCCGCGCATGCGCATGTGTGTGTACATATGTATATGTCAGATGTCTGTACAGCCTTTCCCAGCTGGTCGGCGCTCGCCTGCCCCCCCCGCTGCCTCCTCTCTCGTCGCTTCCCTGCAATAAACGGCCTGGAGAGCCACACGCTGAGTGCTGCTCAGCCCTAAAGCGAAGCGGAGACGTCTCGCTCGTCTGTTGGGTCCAGCCGGGCGGCGGGCGAGTGCGGCGTGGGAGCGGCAGGGCCACGTACGGCAACCCTCCGGCCCTGTGCCTTCCAGCCCTTGGCTTTGCTGGCCGGACGGTGGGAGCTGTAGTCCAGGAGAGCCGCAAGGCTGGCGCAGGCAAGCCAACTCTTGCCACGGCCCAGCCCCCCCTCGGCCACCTGCCTCCTTCGGCGCAGCCGGGGCTGGAGGGCGCGTCCTAGGGAGGGGAAGCGGCTCACACCCGTACCCTCCGGGTCCCGCGGGTCGGCTCCTCGCAGAGCAGCTGGAAGGCTGCCTGGGTGGCTTAAAGGCAGGCCTCCGCAGAAGGCTGGCAAGTCCAGGGCGCTCCCCCCACGGCAGTGGCGGCCTGCCCCTCGCCTGCGAGGCCCCCTGCGCCAGCTCCCGCCCAGTCAGCCTTCGGCCAGCGTGGCCCGCTCTGCAGCGGGGACAGAGTGCAGCTGTGCTGGCCCAGCCCAGCCGCCGCCTCCTGGGAAGGTGCTTCTGGACCTGCCCCGCTCTAGCCCTGTGGCTTCAAGCCCACCTCCCGGGAGCAGCCGGGCAACACCCTTCCCGGCCACGCGGCTGCCCAGGAGCGAGAGCTTCAGCAGGAACCGAGGGGGGGGCTCTCGGATTCGCCACCTTCAGCCACTGGGGGAACGAGGCACAGGAGGCATTTTCAGCTGAGCAGCCAGCAGGAATGGCGTTCTCACGGTTTAGGGACGGGTGGGAGGAGCACAAGCCGTGCTGGGGCAGACGGAGGGCCCATCCAGCCCGGCCGTGCCGAGCCGGCTGCCCACAGGATCCCGGGCAGGATGGGTGCAAGGCCCACCCTGCACAAACTCCTGTGTCACTGCTTCCCGTGACGGTGACCTCCATCACTCAGGCTACTCCCCTTCATCTGCCCCACCCAGGGCAGACGGGCGGCCAGTCTGGGTTCGAGTATGATGGGAAAGACGCCTCTCCACTGCGCATCATTTTGAGCACCTCTGTCATGTCACCCCTTACCTTGCTCCAAGGGAAACAATCCCAGTGGTCAGGTGTGGGGGGGGGCTGTACCACCCCTGCCGACCATTTCTGCTGCCCTTCCCTGCGTTTTTCCAGCTCAGTGGTGTCCTTTCTCAGGTGCAGCGACCGCACACGCACACAAGATTCCCAGTGCAGGCGCACCGATTTTTTTATAAGGGGAGCACCACCTTGGTAGTTTTTCGTTCCGTTCCCTATTATGCCTCACCCAGAGGCTGCCCCTTCCATGGCGGCCACGTGCTGGGCTGACAGACGCTCCTAATGGGACCAAGGGCTTTTTTGCCACTGGTTCGTCTTTCCCTGTAGTTTGAACCCGCTGGCCTGAGCTGAAAGGTTTGCACGGGATGATGGGGATCAAAAGAGCTGCCCACATCAGTAATGTGTGTGCCCAGCAGGCCCACACAAGGGGGGCTCTGGCAGGAAAAGCAGAGACCACAAACCGGAAACGCCTAACTTTTGAAAACTAGTAGTTAAAACTGCAGATTGGCTGCGGCCGCTTGATGGCTCCGTTAAGTGGATTTGGGAAGTATCTCGAACACCGTAACAACGAGGCTGGTTTCGCCTGTCTGAGGGGAAGGAGGTGGTGGAGACAGCATTCCGAGCTGGAAGCACAGAAATGTTATAATATTAATTCCAAACTCTCCCGGTGGAATACTACAGGCGACTGCACCCAGCCTGCAGGCTGTGCTCCATTTCGTCGAGGGGGGAAGCCTGCCCCCTCACGGAACTGCAGATTTTAAAAGAAAAATGCCATGACACACTTGCGAGAAATCGGGAAACCACGTTAAAGAATGCAAGGGCTCTGCACAAAATAAATCGAACATTTATAAATCAAAGTTTGCAAGAATAGTCCCATCCGCACGCATGTTCCACGGCAGCGCAGTGAGGCGGCAGGCACACCCGAGCGCAAAAGCTGCGGTTCTCTTCGAAGGGCCGCAAGGGCCGCAAGGCGGTTCTCTTCGAAGGGCCGCAAGAAGTCCACGGACACGGCTGCCCCGCTCCCGGAGGAACCGGGGCTCCTGCGCGCTCAGCTGCGCCCCGGGGCGCGGGGCCGGCTCAGCCCACGAGGCTCTCGTAGGTCTCCATGTGGCCCTTGATGCTCTGCACAATCTTGGCCTCCGTCTTGTACCGGTCGTAGTAGTCCACGAACAGCCCGTCCGGGCCGAGCAGGTACAGGATCACCGTGTGGTCCACGATGTAGTCGCCGTCATCGTCGCGGGGCCCGGCGCTGTAGTAGACGCGGTAGGCCCGGCCGGCCTCGCGCACCTGCTCGGGGGTCCCGGTGAGCCCCAGCAGCCGCGGGTGGAACTCGCGCACGTACCTGGCCACGGCCTCCACGCCGTCCCGCTCGGGGTCCACCGTGACGAAGACGGGCTGGACGCGCGGCAGCCGCGCCTCCCGGTCGAGCAGCTCCACCACGCGGCTCATCTTCTCCAGCTGCTCGGGGCAGATGTCCGGGCAGCGCGTGAAGCCGAAGTAGAGCAGCACCCAGCGGCCGCGCAGGTCGGCCTTGCAGCACGGCCGCCCGGCGTGGTCCAGCAGGCGGAAGTCGCCCTGCCCGACGGCCGCCCGGCGCAGCTCCGCCAGGCGCCGCGCCCGCGCCTCCTGCGCCT